TCGAAATTTGCGAAATGTTGGAGACTGTCTTGACAACAGCATGCCAAATGAGGCTGAGCGGTGCGTTACAGCCTCTGTTCAACCATGGTGTTAGCTTACCCTGCATGTCTCAGAAATTCTGCGGCGATCTGCAGAGTCTACCATGGTTTCTATCGTCAGGACCATTTTTGGGCGCCTGCATACTCTTAATCCTACTGCTGAAGAAGCTAGACTCCTGAACGAGGAGGAGCCTCAGCATGGGGAAATCAACATGTCTGTGTCTGCTAATGTCACTGATGCCGGTGATTCCTTGCAGGTATCAGAAGGATTAACCTCGTCCACACAGCATAATGCAGTTTCACTGGAAGATCCCGAGCGTTCTGCAGCACCTGAAGTCGAGGGCTCATCCCACGCACTTTCGCCGCCACGGCCGTGTAAGCCACCAAATCTAATTATTAAATTCCGTAAACTCATCATAATGTAGATGGTCTACCAGCTCTTCTGGAACTGCTTCGTGTGCTTGTCAACATTTTGGACCCCAATGATCAAGTTCACACCGATTCAACGCGCCTGACTGCGCTTGGAATTCTCAATGCTGCTGTCGAGACGTCTGGAACAGTTATGAGCGACTATCCTTCTTTGTCAGCTCTTATTCTTGATCCTGGATGCAAATATCTTTTCCAGCTCGCACGCTCCGACAATTCTTTGGTTCTACAAGCTGCTTTACGGACTATCACGACAGTATTTCAGACCATGCGAAAACACCTCAAACTTCAACAAGAGCTTTACCTTGCCTTCAGCATCGACAGGCTGGCAGCTCCTCCGCAATTGAAATCAATAAGCTCCAAGAAGAATAACCCTACATCTCCACGTCCCAGCACCCCTGCAACTGGAACTCCTATCCTAGGACCAGTTGATACTGAGCTTGAGCTTGATAAGGGGAGTCCGGTTCCATCACGACCCCCTGTTCAGCCGGCCCGTGGCGATACCCGCGACTTGATGTTGGAAACTCTCAGTCAACTCTGCCGGCATCCCAGCTCTATGGTCGACCTCTACGTCAACTATGACTGCGATATAAACTGCGAGAATCTGTTTGAACGCTTGATCGAGTTTCTCACAAAGGTCGGTCGTCAGGCAAAACTTGTGCGCTTGTCGTTGAGATTATTGGCGATTCAGGGCGTATATCCATGGCAGTATTCTTCGGCGTCGGATGCACAACATTTACATTCCCAGTATCTATGTTTGGATCTGTTGCTTGCATTCGTGGATGATATGACAGCACGAGCTGAGGGTGTTTGTATATTCACTGTCCCGCATTGTTCAATGTTCTGATGTGCTTTCAACTTTCAGCGAAGTGAACCATGGCCTTCCGTGAGTATTCATTGCCTCTATTCTCGATTATGCAGGTCATGACACAATACAGGATTTTATTTTGCCAGATTCATTGATACAAGACAAATCTAGGAAGAAGCTTGTTCTTACCGGAGCAGCACGGTTCAACTCTAAACCAAAAATTGGCATTGCATTTCTTGAGGAGAACAAGCTCATCTACTCCGATCTCTCCCCAGAGGTATCACGAACACGCAGTCTTGCTATCTTCTTGAAGAGCTGCACGCGTTTGGACAAGCGACTGCTAGGAGACTATATCTCAAAGCCAGATAATTTGGAACTCTTGAAAGAGTTTATTGGGCTGTTCGACTTTAAAGATGTATGGTGATTCCCATCTATAATGTTCGTCGCACTGATGAGCAATTATGTTGCGTAGAAACCAATTGCAGATGCCATGCGCGAGATGCTGGAAACCTTCCGACTTCCTGGAGAATCTCAGCAGATCGCTCGGATTACAGAAACTTTTGCCTCAATCTACTTTGCATCTGGTCCAGGTAGAGCCCTGAATTCGAGAGTATGCGACTGTTTGTTCATTAAATCACAGCGGAAATCAAGATGGAAGATGCGGTCTATGTATTGGCGTACTCCGTGATCATGCTCAACACTGATCAGCACAACCCGCAAATACGAGTCAGGCCTTTGCACTTCTTATGCGCTTTCTTTATCTTACAAAGCAACAGAAACGCATGTCGATAGAGGATTACCAGCGCAACCTGAGAGGTGTCAATGATGGTACTGACTTCTCGCCCGAGTTCTTGGTGGGTAGCTTTCTGCTGTTGAAAATCTATGGTGTTCACTCCCAGCAGCAAAGCATTTACGATTCCATACGCAAACGTGAAATTGTTATGCCTGAAGAGCATACTGGCCAACTCGGCTTCGAGTACGCCTGGAAAGAACTGCTCACCCGTTCACGGCAATCGGGTAAGTCGATTGTGCAGAAATTGTGGTTGTAGACATAACTAGATCTCCCATAGGTCCGTTCTTGATGTGCAATTCGGCATTGTTTGATCTTGACATGTTCAAGACCATTTGGAAACCATTGATATCTGCCATTGCTTACGCATTCATCAGTTTTGACGATGATTATGTTATTCAACGGGCTATTTCTGGTTTCCGTCAATGCGCCACGCTAGCAGGTCATTTCCACCTTCCAGATGTTTTCGATTTCGTGGTCGTTTCGCTCTCGCAAGCGACTAGTTTATTATCTGAGAATCTGCCGACACAAGTTCCTAATTATCCAGTGGTCGAAGTGGAGGGACAGTCGGTCACGGTCTCATCGTTATCGGTCAAGTTTGGTACGAACTTCAAAGGCCAGCTGGCAGCCGTCGTGCTTTTCAATATCGTGAATGGAAACGGAAATGCCCTGCGCGAGGGCTGGACGCAAGTAAGTTGACGCGACAGGCAAGTATCTCCTTTGCTAAATATGAGATACAGATCTTTGAAATGTTCCAAAACCTGTTTATGCATTCACTACTCCCCACACGCATGCTCCAAATGGAGGACTTTTTGGGCGGTGTCACAATGATCCCCCTTCGCGGCGGCCAGCACTCGCGACCGGCGCCACGAAGTGATGGGGGTTTGTTGTCGACGCTATCCTCGTACCTTATGACACCATACGGTGCCAGCTCAGAGAATCTCGTTCCTGAAGCTACGGATACAGAAGTAGAAAGCACGATGTGCACTATCGATTGCATAACATCATGTCGGTTGGATGAGCTTTATGCGCAGACTATGTGAGTCTCATTCAACTGATGAGCTTCAATTTCTCAAAAATTTGTCAGACAACTTGACTCGGAGGCGCTCGTGGCTGCAATCCGAGCATTGGAGGCTCTTGCTCATGAACGGACAATCACGAAGTGGAAGCAAGAGTCCGACGAGCTGACCACCGCATTCAATACATCATCCGCAGGAGATGGCACATTTACTTTACCTTATGATCCTGCTTCCGTTTTTCTTCTCGAGACTATGGTCAGCATAACCTGTCAAACCTCGCGGTACATCGAGGACTTATGGCACGTATCTTCATCTTTATCGAAGATCATTTCTAATTTCTACTTAGGCCAATTCTATTTGAGCATCTGTCGGCATTGTTATCGGCATCTACGCACTATAGCGTTCTACTTATTGAGCGTGCGGTCGTTGCATTGCTTCGATTGTGTCTTATTCTCGCTCAAAAGGCAAGTCACTTATCCTTATCTCCACATTGGCCTATGTAACTGAACAGCCCATGTAGAAAACACTTCGAGATCAAGTCTACGTGTCGCTCGATTTGATCGCCGGGCTTCCCCCAATAGTAGCCAATTCCGTTGCCGAACAAATTGTCGCAGGCGTGACTTTGATTCTTCAAAATCGTGATATCGTTAGGTACCATCAATATTATCATACCTGCTTATCTATCGCTCACAGATGCCAACAGCTCGCAAACCGAGTGGAAGCTTGTCTTCGCAGCCCTTCGGTCAACGACTTCCCATCCAGAGGCTGCTCGTTCAACATTCGACTTGGTTTTGAGTTTTGTCACAGACGGACAGTCGCAGTGGATGACACCAGATAATTTCAATGGTCTGATCACAATCTTGGATGAGTTTGCAAACTCCGCCGGTCAGTCAATCATGGTTCCCCAGAAGGGACGACGAGTACCTTCGCAGCCACCACCCAAGTAAGCAATTTTTCTCTATCATAATCTGCTTACTGATCTTTATTCAGCGCGCCGCCTATCGAGCGCGGGAGGCGATCGATCGATATCATTTATGATATGAAAAGGTTCATCGCACCTTTTGCTGAGTCTGCTGGTCTGCAAACGGGTCAAGGTACGTGAGCGCTCGCAATCACAAGTCATTCTTGACAGTTGCCACGCAATGCAGTCTGGCGCCAATACTGCCTGCCTTTGGCGTTGTCGTTAGGCAAGCAGTCGACAAATCCCTCACGACTTGTCCGGCACACTGCTATCAGCCAACTTCAACGTCTGTTGCTTGGTCCTCGATTTGTGTATGACGAAAACGACCATGGTCAAGTCGAGGAGATCTTCAATAGTATCATCTTCCCCCTTGTCGATGAACTCCTGAAACCACAAGTACAACAATTCGATCCACAGGGCATATCAGAGACTAGGTTGCGAGCCTCGGCCTTGCTTTGTAAGGCATTTATGCACTTTGAGGTCCGGGAGGATCGCACGAAGTCAGACATCAGAATCTTGTGGATCGAGATTCTGGATCTGCTAGACAGGCTTATCAATGCCGGGAAGACCGAGCAGCTGGTAGGCCTTCATTGATGTTTCACATGTCGTTTGGTTCTAATGATCCTAGTACGAGGCCGTCTCGGAATCTCTCAAGAACGTGGTTCTTGTGATGAATGCAGCAAACATTCTCGTCCCACCTTCCCAGGAAGACCAACGTGACGAACATCAACGTACCTTATGGACAGCCACGCAAGCCAGGCTAGAACGTTTTCTGCCAGGATTTCTGACAGAAGTGATACCAACTCCACAATTGCAGTTGCCACCCCCAACGCCCGTTCCAGGTTCAACCTCTGCAGTTCCTGCTACGGCACCTTCTACAGCATAGGGCACATTTACATACACGAGATTGTTGCTGCTAGAGTAATTTAATCAAAACAAAATAAATTGGTCGAGAACATCAGAAGAATTTCATTTTGGATGTTCTGCGATGTTGGTCGTTAAAATGCACGGATGCCTTACACGATAGATCTACTAACCTGACACGCGCATAGATAGCTAGAATTGCAACTATCGGCGCAACAGTATACCCGACAAACCGCACCACTGACTGGCTATGGGAGGTCGCCCAAGTAGACCACGCGCCTCCAAGATAAGCAGTCATCAAGAGAAGGGGGAATAAGACATAGCCAGACAGCCTGCGAAACGTATTAGCAATCATCGCTGGCATTCCCCTGGCTACCCACGTTACCTGTGGTATTTCCATAACATCTTGGCCTTCATACCGCCCCCAAACGCTGCACCTCCATACCACACGCTTCCGCCGCCAAGGATCACTTGTCCCACAAGCCACCCGACGGAAACGAGTCCGAGGGTCTGTGTCAAGGTAGTCAGAGAATTCATAAATAGAATAGAAACAAGAGCCTACCCCATGCCACGTCGCGAAATGTCGATGTCCTTCACTGAATTTGTGGATCTCGATTGCTAGGGTCCCCAAGGCGATACAAGGGAAGCCAACGGCAAGCATCGTTTTCTGGTGTCGTTGAAAACCAGCTGCTTTAGTTTTGGGGTGCGCAGTTGGTTGGAGTGTCAGGATCCCTATAGACAAGTACTCAAGTGAGCTTATGCTTTGAATGCCAACGGCCGAATACGCACCATAGGTGAAGCAGCCGATACCTAAGCTCTGGAGAAGCGGGTGGACGGGGAACCACCCCGCTGATGTAGGGTTGTTGGTGAACACGATGAACCAAGTGACGCATACGAAGATCTTCCAAAGGAAACGTCCACTTAGGGGTCAACTCCTCACACGATATAGGTTGTTCGCCTCACCAGCATGGAAGCCTGTCATGACGCAAGAATGAGTGAAGATGACGAAAAAGCACACGAGGGCATGCACGCACGAGTGCTCCATATGCAGCCAGTTTATCCCCCCGGCGTTCCTCGGATTTGTTAGCGCTGTCAGAGCCCATGGTTGGTGTGGGGAAAGGCAGATGCTCCGCTGAGGTTTCTGGTTCACCGCTGGTGTCCAGGAGTCTGTACTGTTCTTCAGATTCTGTCAATTCGTCGGAAGTATGCTCTGGCATGATGGAGGGACGATGGTGAAACGTGCAGTTTCTACTAATATGTATGTGGACACTTACTAAAAGTGTGGCGTTGGATGTCGCAACCAATTCCAGTGCATTGGCAATACTAGGCTTAGGACTAGTCTGGTAGTGCCACGTAACTAGTGCAGTTGGCGCCAATGAGTCGCAAGCACACCCAAAGACCAAATCATTGTGTGTGCAATTGCAAGTAGTACTTAGCGAATTATGTAAAAGTCTTGCATGCCTAGTCATTATTCACTGATATTTAAACGATCACTCATGACAAAACTGATGAAATTATAACACGACATTATTCCATTATTGACCACAATATTAGTGAGTACGTATAGCAAACAAGCAAGATACAACAAATATGAACAGTGACATGATGAGTGATCACGGTACGTAAAGAACATGAATACGACTAGCTATAGAATGCAGGGGAAAAGGTTAACAACAACAAAAAACATTCCAGGCTATAATCACAACAAAGCAACTTATCAAATAAATGCACACACCGACGGTCGTTCATGAAATAGTTTAACGGCCTTCGAGTGATGGCCAAGAGCCCTCCGCTTTCCACTTGTCCACCACTTCGCGGAGCGCGTCGTGCGTGAACTGTGGACGTATGAGCTTGTATCCGATGACTTTCTTGATTTTGCTGTTGTTATAGGAAAGTTTGCGCCGTGATAGGGCCCAGTGGTCCATATAGGCATCGAGTGGGGTCTGTACAATCGGAGGATTGGATGTCTGAAGCATTTCAGTCCAGGTACCAACGTGGTGCTCGTTGATTTCTTCGACAACGTCGTCGAGCTTGAGCTTCGAAAAGTCAACAAAGCTTTGATGATGTAGTGTAACACAAGCGCACCTTTGCCATGGCATTTTCAAAGAATGAGTAAAACTCAAACGTCGTGCCGAAAAATTCTGTGATCATTGACCCTCCCTTAGCCATAGTCATCTCTGAGTCGTCAACCTGCGTAAAACATGAGAAAATGTAAACCACCAAGTTAGACCTTACATACCAAGTTAAAGACAGGTGCTACGGGTTGCGCATCAGGTATGCACGTGCCCTCGGTATCCTTGACCTTGGTTCTGTCATTATGAAAATAGATTTTCTCTCCCGCAGTTGAATTTGCCTGCTGACGGCCAAGCGAAGCTATCCACTTGGCACATGCCCATAAACCACCTGAAACATCATCTATGTGTACTGTGTTGACGCCGTCTTTTCCTGGGCCCCATCTGAAACGGAGATGAGGGGGGTTTGAGCGGAGGAAGAGGTCTAGACTCACGGTGTTTTCATCGGTTTATTCATGTAACCGTAGATGGACGCAACGGTGATCACCAGTGGATCTACCAAGAACGTTAATCTCGTGTCATGAAAAAAAAAAGAGAAAGATAAATTTACAGAGTCCGAACTCGACGTAAGGGCCATATACAAATCCAATTCGCAGGACGACAAGAGGAAGGCTGGATTGCAAGTCAGAAATAACACATTAGGTAAGAAGAATTCAAGAACCTACTCATCAATAGAAGCTAGCATCCGAAGAGTTTCATGCCACCAGACGTCTAATGGTCGCACAGGCTTGACATCTTCCTTCTCATCATGCGGACCCTTGTCTGAGGTTTCATACACGGGTTGCTGTAGTCGTACGTAAGCATTGACTTTTCTACGGGCAGCCTCCAGACCGATGATGCGAGCGACGTTGAAAGTCAATTTGATGGCAATCTAGAATGGAGATGAGAAGATTGGTCTATTTTAAGAGTAGAAACAAGTCGTACAACTTCACTGCGGTCATGATTGATCTCACCGGTGAGATCGAAGACGTATGAGTAGGGTGCCTTGCCTGGCGGGGGATCGAAGGCAGACGCGACCACAGCTTGAAAGAGATAATGAATAAAGCAATGAAACGTGAAATGAGTACATACAAGGAATGGTTAGATTAGCTTGCCGATATTCAACATCGGGTTGAGCCAGGACCTTTGGGAACTCTGCGCCCAGATATCTAAGGAATCGCCGATCAAAACGAGAGAGACGCAAATGTAATAAAATTTACACACGTTGTGGGCGGATTAACAGAGAATCTATCAACGATACGAAGGTGCTATTATGGATAGATGGAACCGGTGAGTGAGATGAGCCATCGATGAGAACCAATCTGAGAGATCTGACGTACCGAAACGAGTCTCTCCCCCTCAGGTGGGACGAGTAATGCTGCCAGTGCTCGTGAACATGTATTAAGACCACCTGTACGGGTGAATTTGAAAAAGTAATTGTGAGCGACTTGGGACCATGTGCAATAGCGATAGCAGTTACCGAAAATGATAGCACTCGGCTTTGAAGACATGTAGTGGACGAGGGAGAGGAGAGGGAGAGTGTAGGGTGGAGGGATGATTAGTTTGACTGACAGCGATTTCGAGATTAGGGTGATTTATATGCCAAAGTTTTATACCATGTTATTACTGTACCCGACCGCGTCGCGGAGGCAACCTCGAGAGAAAGAAGTTCCCTTGCTCTATTACGTAATATATAAACTTTCATCCGAAGAACCATAAATTTAAAAAAGGAACCGCTCCCCGGAATTTTTTAGTCATCATCCCTCACCGATAAGCATCACCTACTTAGTAGCCGTTACCAGCTACCAGTACACATGCACTTGCACTGCAAAACTACTTCCTCACCGACATTTTCGCGGAAGAATAACGTAAATTACAGCAGGTACCCGTACCTGACCATCTAGGCCTACACGTTCTTCACAGAAAAACATAAGTAGGTATATGTTTTTGGACAAATAATCAGGGTCACTAAACTACGCCGCGATCGATCAGTGACTCGGCGAGCCCACGGTCGGAGCAATTTTCACGTCAAAACCACCCTATCTTATGTACAATCATCAATCATTCCGTAATTTCGTTGCCGCCGGACAGTACTGACTAATAGCACTTTATGGGAGCTTGTAGGCACAAGTAAAACCCTCAGGCGCGCCCAAACGTTTATTATTTACTTTCTGCGCGGAACGGATATAATCAACGCTATCTGTAAGTCCGAGTCCGCATGATCTCTTTAGTCTTTCCGTCTCATTTGTTCCAAGCGCTCGTACACAGAAGAGAAGTCCTTTTGTGCCAGATCCGGTCGATGCCTCAACGTCTCGGCATAGAAATTCTGCGCAGATTTCCCTAGTGGTAATGCACTGTCGGTAGAGGCCGCGACATCAGTCGCGAGAAGCATATCCTATACGACATTCAGGAAGCACATCTTCGCCGCTGGAAGTCTAACTTACCTTTAACATCAAAGCAGTCGCAAATCCGCCCTCATAATTACGTTCGCATGGAGGAGATTTGTCGGCAAGCGAATACGGTACCGGATTGTTGACAGACGAAGCCCAGCAACCGCCGGTAGAACTGTTGATCACCCCTGCAAGTATGCGCGGATCCAGACCCAGCTTCTGTCCGAGCAACATTGCTTCCCCGACGACAATCTGTTGCACTCCAAGAACAAGATTGTTACATATTTTGGCGCCAAGACCAGCGCCAGATGGACCACAATGGATAATGCGACCGCCCATGTGGGTGAGGATCGGCTGCGACAGCGCAAAAGCACCCTCGGTTCCGCCAACAAGAAAAGCTAGCGTGCCCGCTTTGGCACCTGTGACGCCTATTTGGATAAAGTTAATATTATCGTACGTGTAAGCAGGGGTGCGGGAGCAATGAATAACAATAGCACGTACCACCCGAAACGGGTGCGTCCACCATTTGTGCCCCTGCAGACGTTACCTCCGTCGCAACGCTTCGGGCAATTCCAACATCTAGCGTTGTAGAGTCGATGAAAAGAGAGCGCGCCAACTCCGCGGCGCTCAGAGACTGCAACGCAGGGATGACCCCGTTTGCTTCAGAATAAACGGTCTGGACCTGAGGCGAGGATGGAAGCATCGTCAATACTGTTTGAGAAGCATGTACTGCCCTAGATTCCAAGTGGCGATGTCGTAAAGGGGAAGCTACGCGGTTTGAATGTAGGAATGGGCTTACTCTTTGGGGGTGAGAACAATGTCGATGTGTGCCCCAGGAAACTGGGCCATAAAGTTCTGACGGAAGGTAATCGCACTGGTTGGGAGCGCGTCGCACACGACAAAGCGGGTATCAGGTGATTCTGCGAATGTCTTTGAGAAGAAGTTGAAGGCCATCTCTGAACCCATTCGACCAAGACCAATGAATGCAGTGCTCTTGGCACGCATAGCTTGTCGCTCAAGCGACTGAAGGACTCTGGCAGTATGTCTCATGGTGAAGCTACGTTCGGGAGAGAAGTGCAAGTGAAGGTCCGACTTGCCCTCGTGATCATTTCAAATCATGCGGGGAAGCGTGCCGGATCAAGCGCGTGATTGTCACGTGCCGAGCTATTATTATGTCAGCTACACGTCCGTCATCTTGCTGTGAATCGTCTGGCACTGTGGTCTGGGTTATTATTACAGTCCTCTGGGACAATAACTGACGTGGATTTACAAATTCAAGATGCTTGCAGCTGCGACTTCGTTTTTCTCCAGAACAGCCATATCTCAGTCGTATAATATTGCCTCGTCATATGGCAGCAGGCCCTCCACCCCAGGTCCACCGGGATCTTCAAACTCGCTTCCATCTCCAGCGTTGCCATCCGTTAAAGTTGGTCTCTGGAGAGTTCAGGGTGCATCCCACAAAGTTACGAACAAGAAGGTTTCCATATGGACCCTTGACAAACGCGCTGAAATGGAAGGACTGGGTCCTATATCCAGGGAGCGAGTTTTGGAGGTTTTGAAGGCAGAGGTATATTTACAACGTCAATTAACCCACCGCTTTTTGCTCAGTCGTCATTCTCTAGGCGGCAGCACTAAGCAAACTGCGCCATCCTTCTATCTTGGGTAGGGCATACAAAACTCTCCCTACGTACGCATTTTTGAGCTTACTATTCACAAAGAAATGGTTGAACCCCTTGAAGAAACGAGGACCGAACTGATATTTGCAACGGAACCGGTGCTTTCGTCACTTGATCTTTCGATACCACGTGGGTCTCGCCATACGCCTCTAGTTGAGCTAGACGAAATCGAAGTCCGTCTGCTTCTTTTGATGCGGAACGCCGTTAATAAGTTTAACTCCACCCAGATTCAGAAAGGCATACTGCAGCTGTGCAAAGGCTTATCTTTTCTGCACACTTCTGCGAGATTGATTCACACCAATTTAAAACCTGAATGTGTGATCATCAACGACGTCGTAAGTGTTTTCCATTCCTGATGGTCATCCATGTGGCTACATTCTAGTCGCCGCTTTTTAGGGTGATTGGAAAATTTCTGGCCTCGGCCTTACCATCCCCCTCCTTGGTGCGGATGGATCTCCGACCCGTTGGGAATTTCCTGGTTTTGATGGTCGCGTGCCGTCATACATTCAGCGTTCTTTTGATTATATCGGTGCGTGCAGCGCTGCTATCACAACATGTGCCATCTGACCAATTTCCACGGATCGACAGCTCCGGAATACGCACTGGATGAAGTCCTTATCACTGCATCAGATATGTATTCCCTCGGTTGTCTGATATATGCCGTACATTGTAAAGGCAGTCCGCCGTTCAGAAACCATGGAAATGTAGGCGGCCTCAGGGATAATGCTGGTCGTCCCGTCCCGGACATCGGGCAGCTCGACGCAGATTTGCAAGGTTCTTCTACTTTGCTTGAGCTTATTATAGAATCATTGAGGCACAACTCTATGTAGACCTCCTTCGATCGCTCATTACTCGTGGTTCGAATAGCCGACCGACCCCATCGACGCTCCCTTCGCATCCATTCTTCTCCTCACTACCGATCTCCACACTTAACTTTCTAGATCGCTCGAACTTCACAGCAAAGACGCGAGAGGAGAAAATTTCATTCATGCGTGGCCTAACAGGGGTTTTGGATCGCTTCTCAGAAGGTCTACGCACACGGAAAATCTTACCATCCTTGCTTGAGGAGGTACGTGTCCTGTTCCTGTTTCCAATTCAAGCTGCAGAACTGACGGAACGCCGTTTCGTTGGCAGATGAAAGACACGCATTTGCTTCCGTATATCCTTCCGAATGTATTTGCCATTTCCAACGTTCTTTCTGCGCCACAGTTCGCTTCGCTTGTTCTGCCTAGTCTTAAGCCCCTGTTCACCGTCAAGGACCCGCCACAGAATATGCTGACGCTTCTTGACAATCTCCACATGTTGCAGAGTAAAACTGAAAAGGGTGTTTTTCGCGAACGTGAGCAACCGAATCGGCATTGCATCTCACACGGTTTACATTATTTTCAGAGGTTCTCCCACTTGTGTATCATGCGCTGGAGTCTGAGCATGCTATGGTGAGTTTGTCAATAAATGACATGTCATAGCATGATCCGATTACGTACAGGTACAAGAACGTGCCCTAAAGGTGGTTCCAGATCTTTGTGAGACAATTGATTACGCCGAGGTTTCCAGCGTACTGTTCCCCCGAGTGGCCGTGAGTTGCAAACGCGTCGTTCATGAAAAGCGCTGAATCTTGCATTATGCAGTTGGTGTTTACAAAAACCAGAATATTAACTGTAAAGGTCGCTACGCTGGTAACGTTCCTTAGCTTGGTAAAAACCCTTGATCAGGTTTGCGTCACCTTAATATTTTTTCTTAGACGCTCACATATCCAATGTAGACAAATCTCACGCAAAAACTCGTACCACTGTTGTCAAAAATTCGTACGAAGGAGCCTGCTGTTATGGTAAGGTATATATGTTCTTGCCATGGCTTTTATTGTCTGACAGTGTTTAGATGGCAACTCTTGCGGTACAAGAGGCTATGGGTGTCAAGGTTGACAGAGAAGCTGTGGCTACCCTCATCCTACCGCAATTGTGGACAATGTCGATGGGTCCTTGTGTGTATCATCCCTTGTTTCCCGGTGGTTTGAACTGAGAGCAATTATAGTATTGAACATTGAACAATATCAACGCTTCATGAGCGTTATCCGTAAGCTCGGTGACCGCGTGGAAAAGGAACACAATCAGTTCCTCCGCGACTCGCAAAGGATTGAGGATCGCTCAGCAACGAACACCAATGGTGTCACGTCGCCTGCCTTCCGATCCGGTGTCGATTTTGAAAGTTTGGTGGGGCGTGCAAACGGTGCTACTGTGAAGCCGGACACGGTGATCGACGGAGATAGTTCAAAGGGATGGGATGATGACGTGTGGGGGACCATCTTCAGCGGCACGCCTGAGGTAACTTGTTGGTATTTGTTGACAATACTCGCGCTGATCGTCCCCATCAGCCATCACAGAGTCCACCTCCAGGCCCTGCTGTTTCTACCATACAACCATCAGTTGCTCTATCAAGTCAGGCACATTCACTACCTTCGTCACCACGGATATCAACGATGCCGTTAGTGTCTCGGCCGTCACGATTAGGTGCTAAGCCTGTTCCATCTACCGCCTTTGATCCATCTGCTTTCACATCACCTGCAATGCATCCCAGTCAGCCAAATCGTATCTCATCTCCATCAGCACAACCCCAGCGACTTGCGAGTTTCGCTATGCCATCGCCCCCAGTACCACCTGCACAAAAACCCAATTACAATATCTCGTTATCCGACTTCGCCGCTATGTCTCCGAGCGCGATTCCTTCTGTGCCGAACTATGTTCCATCGGGCCATACCGCATTGCAGCCTACTTCTTCTGCATTTTCGATGTCATCACCTCCTCTACACGCATCACCACTTTCGATGGGGAGCATACTAGCACCTACTCGACCGACAACTGCCACAAGGCCAATCTCAAAGGACGACTGGGGAGATTTCGATCCTCTGAAGTGAAGCGAAGTCGATTGCGTATACGCACGCTGGATGCCATTGTCGGCACTGGAGTCCCTGCGATTAGGCCCTTCACGTTGTTTGTCATCGCCTCTGCGCTGGTCAATGGCCATCTAGAGTTCCCATCTTAGCTATCTCATATAACTACGCACGTGGTTGGAATTTTAGCCAACTGCACGATCGTTAATTTCCAAATCTTCGGATTTCGCGTCTGATGGATTAACTCATATTTCTTCTTTCTAAGCCCTGCGCAAGTCAGTTTGCTTCCGAGATCTATTGTTTGACTCGAAGCTCCGTCGCCACTCTCGACTCTCCATGACATCGTCCCTCGCAGGAAGCAGCATGAGTCTGTATGACTGAAGATCGCACTGTGGATCACTGTATACAGAAAACATCCATTCGTTTAAAACTCTACTACGTACACTAGATCGGCGTCCGGTTTATCGACCTTGCCTTGACATAATTAGAGTCCCCGACTGCCGACGTTAATGGAAGAAGGGCTCTTGCGATCGGCTTCCCATCTCCCTGGTGAGACTAGTCAAGATGGACATCTAGAAGTTGGAGAACATCATAATATGTAGAATCCCATGGTACTAGCGGAACCCAAAATTAAAGAAGACTAATTTATGTTTAATTCAATGAACACAAAACATGCCAGGAACAAGCGAGTCGGGGGCTGGCGCTAGCGCCGTTACAATATTATGCTGGTGCATTGGAACTTAATCTAAGCCGGTTCCACTTGAACGCCGTCCAATGGTCGAATATACGTCGCTTCAACAATAGTCTCGGATCCTTGCGAACCGAATTGTGTAGCAACACTGTCGGCATCGATGTCAAGGTTCAATAATGCCTTCAAAATCAAGAGCGCCCCCATCTTTGAGGCAACGACATTTCCTTCCGAACAAGTAGCGCTATGAATGCCTGTGAAGATGATCAGTAACGAGAATGAATCTTTAGAAATAGACTTGCATTTGTCACAACCATCCTTGCATGAACAGGTTTCCACCATGTCGTGTGCCTGTTGCAAAACTTCGCCGCCTGCGATATCACTATGAGAACTAAGGCGATTCATGGGGACAGTATGCTCACTGTGATCAAATGCCTGGGCAGACACGCTACCTTTCCGAGATGCATCATACAATATCAGCCTATACTCTGACGTGAGTGAACTGATGGTACTTGGTAATGAGCAAGCAGATATACCTAGCGGGACGCTTCCGTTGCGACTCCTCTTTATTATATTCTTTCTCTGCTGCCTTACATTCTGTCCGCAAGTCGGGAGAAAGAGCAAAACGATTCATCCATGCATGCGATGCAGAATGGATGGCTTCCGCAAGGTTGAAATGTTTTTCCTTCAGTAATCCAAGTAAATCTTTGGGCACATCGAACCAGAGTCCGGTGACTTGTCTTTCGTACGGTGGCGTATCAACGTCGACGACATCGAGTACCTTGTTACCCCTAAATAGCGACTTCGAGATCGACAGAATATCAGCCAACGTCCACACGCACCTAATTTTCCTGAAGCCTGTGGAATACAATATCAAGCAATGAGCTTTTCACGTCATGGGATTGAACGTACCAAATACAACAGTCGTCACATCGACCCCTGTGCGGGCAATGAACATTGTTATTGTCCCTGAGATGATCCACTCACTTCCAAAATATGCTTTATGTGGCGACCTCGCAATCTCTTTGATTCGATGCGTTTGCATGGCATCCACATTCCTGTTGGTCCAGTCAAGGTGGTGAATTATGTAACGAGGAAGTACTTGCGTGTAGTCTCTGCAGTGTGCCTTCATAAATTGTTATGGCGGGAAATGGGATATGAACGCACCTTGGCTTAGTGATCCAGTTGACATCTGCCCTCACAAGTCTAGCTACTTTTGTATCATGACTGACTTCTTTAACCTATGCGACAGTCAGGGGTGGCTGTGATATCTAATCAGTGCTTACAACAAATGTCAATCCTTGATGCATGAACTGAAGACAAGCATCAGAGTGTGATCTCATAAAAGGAGATAGGATTGCGCACCACTCCGCCCTCATATAGCTCGAAGATAGCCCTTGAAAGCTCGATCTCTTCTATGATTCTTGGTAGCCCGACTTTCGTCACATCGATGACGGTGTACTTATCGTCATCCGCGCCACGAATTGAGATATGCTTGGCTGGATAGGGGAGAAACTTCGGGTGCGGGTGATACCTATGCGAGGTTAGCAGTAGACCCAGGTATGAAGCAGAAAACTACCATCCGTCTTTGTCTTTTCGTAGCTTTGAATCGCACAATTCGCCTAGCGAGGCACCGAAGTAAAAGGCATCATCCTTGGACAAAGGCATTTCATGAGCAGCACATTGCAAGTGAGCCTCAATGACTACTTTGCTCTCAATATCGACGGTCAGGTCATCCATAGGCTGATTATAGAGTTTGTCCGGGAATTTGACGTAGTTTCTGTCTATAGGGAGGTCTTCAGCTACCAATACAGCCAGTGAATCGCGGGATCTCCGCCCAGCACGACCAGCCTGCTGCCGCTACAGATCCAATAGATTAGCATGGCGGTCACGGATATTTCTGAGAGGCACTGACAAAGTTGGCAATGCCAAATGGAAAACCAAGCATGATGACAGCGTCCAAAACACCGATGTCTACACCAAGCTCAAGAGCATTAGTTGCAACAATACCAAGTAAGTGTCCCGAAAAAGCTTCATATTCAATGCGACGCCGATCCTGCGAGTCCCTAAGAACTACGTCGCCTAAAGTGTACAACACTGACCTCCTGAGAGTATCCTAATAATGGAATGTAATTAGTTGCAAGTTAATCAGATGCTCCAAACAAACACTGACCTCCTCTGTAAGGCATGACCTTCGCAAGAACGTCTAGGCGCCCCTCGGCGCTAAGTCGTTGGCGCAGAGCTTTCATCGCCTTCGGTCAACATCAATCCCAAGTCAACTCAAAGTTAAGTGTCATTCTGCTCACCAGCTCGCATGCTCTTCGAATCTGAATTTTTTTAAGTTAGGCCACTGAAGCCCAATTAAGTCTGGATTATGGCACGGACCTTGCAGAATAAAATGACTCGAACACCACGTATCATCAAAAATATCATGAGGTTGATGGCCTCCCACGTTGGGCCGGATTGTCCGAGTTTTGCAACCCCAGAATCCATATCTTTAACATTGAAAGGATCCCAAACTAAGTAGTCTTTCTTTCCAGATGGAGCTCCATCCTCAACAATTTCTTCCACGTCCTGCAAGAGATTTCAGAAGAGGCACAATGAGAAGCATAAGAGCATACTTCGACCCCGAACAGACGTTTCATATGCTGACTTGGCTTCGAGATGGTAGCACTGCATGACACAAAGACAACTCGCTGGTCTGACAAAGATTTGGTCAACAAAAACATGAAAGACTCAGCGACCTGGAACATACTCCCTACAGCTGCACAGATCCTGCGGAAACGGCGGATGATCTGAGCAACATGACTTGGGAGTTTTCATGAGACTGGAATGAAATGGTGCACCCATAAATCTCACCTCCCAAACAAATTGGAATAGTAATGCAGTTCATCGACCGCTACCAGTTTAATGTTCTTTATGAAGCTTAGAATACATGTCAATGTCAGCGTCAAGTTAAAAAAACACACAACAGCTCACGTCCGCCAAAGCTCCTCGTGAGGTAAAATAGAGGCGTGCAGCATGTCCTTGATAGCATTGTCAACAAGCTCCACGATACATGTTTACGCGTACGCACAAAGTTGGTAAAGATGACGGATGCCGTCTCCCGAATGGCTGGAGAAATTACTAATTGTCACGCGCAGAATGTAGCAGGCTTACTTCTCCGGTGATCTTGTGGGGTGTCTCCATCATACGTTGCTACCTTGATGTGCTGCAGTCCGGGGCAGGCACACAGTAACTGTTCCAGCGCAGTACGCTGATCCTGAGCTAAAGCCTGAAAAAAGTATCATGAAATGCGAGCATCATTATACAATTGAGGACAAACCTTGGTGGGGTATATGAGTATGGCTGTAGCATTAGAATTTTCTTCTAGAAACTTTAGTAAAGGAACCTGAATCCAACTTTCTTCAGTTCAGGATTTCCAGAAGCGGTTCCACAGAAAGCACCTGATATATCACACTTTTTCCGGACGCAGTACTGGTCGAAACAATGACATGCTTCCTCTGCACAATAGCGTTGATGGCAGCCGCTTGATGGTAATACAGTGATGTTATATTTCGCGACTCTCGCAACGCTTGTTGTATCGTATGCGAAAGAGGCTCAGCCAGCAATCCTGCGTACACGTTATCAGAAATAAGAATTACCCACAAAGAATCTTGCTACCTTCGATAGCTACCTTCTCCTTGAATGTCCGCCGGTCGACAATTTGATTTTTATACCATTGTTGTTTTTGGATCTCAAGTAGTATATTGTCAATAGAGGGCCGATCTTCGGGTTCGGGAATTATCAGATTTTGAGACTCGTTAGCAAGCAGGGCTTTCTTTGCAGAAGGGTTTACAGGGATGTGGTCTCTTGCTGCTGCTTGAAGCAGATCCGTGGACACTTCTCCCTCTGGAGTAGCCTTCATAAGCCTATTTTAGGAGTCAACAATAGCAAAAACAACGCGCGTATGCATACTCGACGACGGCATCTTTAAATCGCTGGTTTCGTTTATCAACCAAATTACTGGTTTTGCGTCAGTATGTATTCCATTACACCCAAACAACAAGGATCACCCTGATTTGGGGGTTCTAAAGTTCTCTGCAAATTCTAGGACGAGGACATGTTCTTCCTCTTCATGACCTGGGAGTCGATAGCCCAATGGTGTGTCAATGGCAAGAGATTGTGGGTGTAGCATGAAGTTAGGACTGTTTGAGCGCTTATTCTGTTGAGAAACCGTCTCTCCATGTATTCGGAGGTCACTGCGAGGAATATAAGCAAACTCGACGACATCCGGGAGAAGGGCTCTGTGATGGATGATTGTAATTACTCTGTTGAATGATAGTCGTGTCCACTTACTTGAGTTCGGCTACTTTAGACAGTTCAAGTGGTCTGTAGTCGTGTTTGCTTAACTATCACGACTTTTGGGGAGCAAACGAACCTTTTCAGAAGACCTTCGGCGGAGGAACGAATCATAGGAAATGTGGTTGCAATGTGTCTGTGGGAAGATACAAACGCAAGAACTGTATTCAATGCCTAATGTCTCATATGAGTGTATCTCAGACATGCGCATACTGTAACTCGCCTTGAATATCTGTAGTGACATGAAGACTCAAAACGCGTCAGAAGGAACGGGTTGGTTGGATTGGCATACCTTGAACAACTTCAGGTTGCGTCCCACGATACTTAGCGGAAGAGTTCATCTATATAAGTACTCAACTCACATCTTGGAAATACTCAGGCCATTCTAATGTTTCTTTCTCCTTGTCCTGGTTCCTAGTACTTGTCGCACTTGAAACCTTCTGCCTTTTTGATGCTCCTTTGGTCGAGCTCGCAGAGCGCTTCATAGTTGCAAGAGCCAGTGATACAACGTTGAACTATAATTCAAAAGTGTTCAAGTCTGCCTCCTAGTCACGAGCTGAGAGTAAGACAAGTTTCTATCACGGCGCGTCCCTAAACGCGTGACATCACAAATTGCCTTGTATTTGTCACGCTTAAATTCTCCCAGTGACCAGTCACGCTCGCTTTTCTGCGGCGAGCACCAAGTAAGTTTGAAGTAAGTCGGAATCCCTACACTGAATAGAATTGACAATTCAATTGTATCAGATGTCCACTATAGTGCATACTCTCCGAGTCGTTCCAAAGATTTCTATAAAGCCGGGAAGTAAAGTTCTCCCGCCACCGCTCACAAACCAAAATGAGCGTGCATTCAAAGAGCCTCTGCTCCGGATTATGGCTCGCAGGCAACAAGAAGCGGGTGATATATGGCCACCAAATTTGCGCATAGAGCCGCATGTCACGAAGACAGCTATTGGCAAAGCGCCGAAGGAGATCCGCGTTCAGCTGAAGAGATTGTTGAAGGAACGGTGAACATGGCATGGATGTATCATGTAAGTGGTACAAGTTTTTCTGCTCTCTTCTCACCTTATACATGTATCGTTATTACAGTACGCGCATACCTTTTCCGGCATGTCAAACATGTTCAACGTTATGATTGGCTACTGTAACTTCAAAATTTCATTGCTTAATGTAAATATAATCGTAGCGCTGTTGACGCGCCAATTCCTGACTCCGCCGGGTCTAATTTTCCTCTTTGCAGTTTCTTGTCATTTTTCAACACTCGTTTGCGCTCATGACAAGACCTGCAACATCTGTCCTAGGAGCTAACCGCTTTGTCCAGAGATTTCCTGTTCTGTGAAAAGTTACACTCGTGCACTTCTTCTCTTTGACCTGACACCAATTCTCCCCAACTATGTACGGTCCGCCTTTGAACCTCCCGTTATTCGTTCTTCAATGCTTAATGTTGCCAATCACCATCAAGCTGCGGGTCTTTCTCTTTTCTGCATGCTATTGAGTGCTATCGCTGTTATATTTTACGATACTTACTCGTAGGCTCTCTGGTCTGTGCATCGGCTTGTCCTTTCGCGCAGTATGCGATGTTCGTCTGCAAAGTCCCGTGCTGCATCGCACGCGACCTTGACGAGTGTTGTTGTCCGCTGCATGCGATTGCGCTACTTTATTACCCTGATCCGTTGTGCTTCGAATCCCCTGAAAACTCATGTTCTCGGCTTTCGTGACGCGTGATCTTTCATTGAGCACACGTGACCGTTGTTGTTCGTGCACTGAGCTATTTGCACTGTGCAGGTTGTGTGGAGTTTGACGGCGAGTTGATTGTGGTGACTCACAACAAGGGGTCCGTGTCATTGCCTCTTCTTCTCTTTCAGGCATTCAATCATACCCACTGCTCTGTGCTGCGTCGGCTTCTGACCGATGTTCTGATGTGTTTTTTGCATCCATGGATCGTTTCCCTGCTTGTTTCCAGCACAGCCTCGCCGTCATCACAATATTTGAGCGATTTGGCGCTGTGTCGGTGGATGTTCTGGGTATGAACGCGGGAAAGCGTTGAATGTATCACAATAGCGTAATAAATCTAAGTCCGCGTCACGTCAACTCGCCTTCTACACTAACGCCTTGAACACGTACTCTCTTCAGTGAGGGATATAATTTGAATACACTGCTGACAATTATTTTCCCGCTTGATGCACCCTTCGATGCCCATATCAGAATTTGATATTATCTTTGCTGGGGGTGAGTGATACATCTCGCATTGTAGTGATTATCTTGACAGAACGTTGTATCACGGTTCAGGCGGTACCACAGCTTGTGTTGTTGCAGGCCGCCTGGCTGCATGGGATCCTTCGCTTAGTATCTTAATTCTCGAAGGGGGCCAACACACGCTCGATCAAGCTGCGCATGTGCAGCCTTACCGGTATACAAGCCATCAGGCGCCTACGAGTACCACCATGACATTCAACGTTGGAAATCCAAGTCCACGTCTCAACGGCCGTGCTCCGATCGTTCCGTGCGCACATTGCATTGGTGGAGGCTCGAGTGTGAATGGTTCGTAGCGTTCTTGCACTGAACAGCATGACTCTGATACGTTGACTCGGTCAGCTATGTTTTACACTCGTGCGCCTGCCTCAGATTTTGATGACTGGGGAACCGAAGGGTGGGAATCTAAGAGCTTGATCCCCCTCATGAAGAAGGTCCTCGATTGAATCGTCTTTATATTTCTCAAGCTGAACTACTATCGCTTAGCTGGAGACATATGAGGTGCAGCCTGATCGCCCAACCCACGGGTACAGTGGACCTATCAAAGTGTCCTCTGGTGGATACAAACTAGGTGCCAGCGAAGAGTTCATCCATGTTGGCACAACGTATCACAAGAGGCAACGCGTCGAAGATACTGATGATTTAGAAACATGTAACACATACAGTGTGCGCCTCACGAATTTCTTTCTGTGGAGTCTGCTCACGAGATCCATTTCAGCCATGGGCGAAGTGAGCTTGTGCTGTCATCTATTGTAAATTGGGCTCATAGATGAGAAGGTACATCGACGGGACAACTGGAAGACGTTCTGATGCGGCCCACCACTACGTCTACAACCAAGCTCACAATGCAAATTTGCAAATATGGGTTGGCAAGCGCGTGAAGCGCGTAATATTCCAGTGAGCGTTGTACATTCAAGTTGGATTGCAACCTTGCCGATATCTTGTTTGAATAAAAGAGATAAGCGTGCCGTAGGTGTCGAGTTCACCAGCGACCTTGTGTCTTGCCCAGGTGCGGGTCACTCATCAAGCATCGTGAGAGCATCAAAGCTTGTTGTTATCTCTGCTGGGGCATTCGGTTCGCCAGCCATCCTCGAGAGGTCTGGGATCGGTGCCGAAACTATTCTGAAGCGGTGCAATATCGAGCAGCTGGTGGACTTGCCTGGCGTCGGAGAAAATTATCGAGGTCCGAGTTCAATCATTTATTTCATGATGTCAACTTAGGGTTAAGAGATCACAACGGTGTCTTTGTTCCATACTTTGCTGCTGACGAAGCTATCACTATGGACTCCCTCTGGCTTGGGAAGGAGAGTGTTGTCCAGAGTAAGCATGTTCTCGCTATATCCCTGGTCCCTTTTAAGCGCCCGGGAAATGTTTTAGAAAACCTGGCGCAATGGAAAATTGATGGCAAGTCACTTATTGCCCAAAAGTTGGTACAAAACCTTCAGTGCTAGTGATGTACTAATTAGCATCTCAGTGGCAGCGATGCAAAAATCAAATGGCGTCCTGATGACGACGAACTGAAAGCTATGGGTTCAGCCTTTCAACCACGTTGGAAAGAATTCTTCCAGGACCGCCCAGATAAGGCCGTTGCAATATTTGCCCTTTGTGCAGGGTATGCACATTATTTTGCTTTGATATCGCACGAATGCTCACAATAACCAGAACCGCTGGGTTACGCTTGCGTATGCTTCCTCCTCGCAATTACATGGTTGCCTGCTGTTTTACAGTACTACCCCCATATCTACTACCCCGTGATTTTTGTTCTGAATTTTCCAACAGCTGTACCCCGTGTCTGCCGGAAGCGTTCATATCAAATTGAACGAGAACGGCCAGGAAGGAATCGACTTCGATACAGGTTACCTGGATGAGTGAGTCGGCAATTTCAACTCACTGATGTGAGTTATGTGACCACGACAACTCGCACAGTCCAACCGATATTGTACCTCTTAACTTTGGGTACAAAAGGATGCGCGAAATTCTTCGACGCATGCCTTCATACAGAGGTGAAGTCCGCGCTGGCCATCCCCATTTCCCAACGGGAAGCGCTGCAGTCTGCGGAGAAACGACCGGACCAGTGGACTTGAATGCGCCTGACTTAATCTACACAGCAGAGGATGACGAGGCAATCGATCGATATCATCGTGGCCGCAGTATGTCGCATCCCTACCGTTATGTTAAAATACTGACTTGATACTCAGTGCAAACGACATGGCATTCGGTATGTACAGCTGAAACTTTCATGCTTTCACATGAGGTACCTGAGCCTTGCACGTGTAGCTCGGAACTTGCGCCATGAAGCCGAGGGCAGATCAAGGGGTCATCGACTCTCGGCTAAACGTGTACGGCGTGACAAACCTCAAAGTTGCGGACATGTCTATTGCGCCGGAAAATGTTGGCACGGTGAGTACTATCGGGGATCATTGACATGCAGTCTAACCGTCACTCTAGAACACATATTCGACAGCGCTACTCATTGGGGAGAAGGCTGCGATGATCATTGCCGATGACCTGGGTATTGAATGCAGATCCAGTGAGTTGTCGTGGAAAAGTCCTCGATCGCGTCTGTGATTAGTAGGCGTCTTCGCAGAAGTGGTCATGAGCATGTACTTTATGCGTCGATCACTGACACGCAATCAGCACGTATCTCAAAATCTTGAGGACGGTAATTGGATTGCAAATTCTGGTAATAATATATTAGAGCAGCCTCAATATCAGGTGCTGCATAGCAATACGACCAAGTTGCCTGCACATATGAACTGTACCATTCACAGCCGTAGCTGGCAATTCCTGCAAAAACTTCTTGATACACCGTTGGAAGGTTCCTTCTTCATGGCTGCCAGATATTCACCCACCATCTGGCATCAACAATCTACTGTCAGATGATACATCAATAACTGGTCTCAGGGGAAATATAGGTATAGACAGCACATATGGTAACACAGTATGGCAATAATTCAATTCATGTCTATAGTAGCGACTGCAATTGACAGCCTCCCTTCTTCAAATGTCTTCTCCAGGAGCTCATTGAGTCTTGTCGTCCACTGCGCCGAGATTCCATGTCCAGTCCCTTCCCACCAATGAAACTCGGCCTCAGGCATATGACGATGTAGATGGCGACTGTTAGAACTGCGTATTACGTGATCCTGGTCGCCTGTCAGGATGAGAACTTTAGGTATCGATGAGGATATCTTGCGTAACCGTGCAGGCGAGACATAGTGGGTGAGCCCCGCATACATCTGCGACAAAGCACCCAAAGGTGTTTGTGGTCGGGTGATCTTCAGACGCCGATGGTAAAACTGAAAGGAAATAAAGTCAGCCACTAACGTGCCATGAACGTATCACCATACTGACAGCAGATTGAACTTCTAAGTTAGTCCGTCCCTCTGGGTCACCTTCAGCCTTCTTCTCTAGCCACGGCTGAGGATACAGCATATCCATTACGATGGGAACCTTTACGTCAGGATCACCCGTCATTAATAGCCTAAACATGAAAGGAATTAGCATGTGGACGTAGAGGGCGTATCATATCTAACCTTGTCATCGCCGTAGAACCTTTCAACTAGAAGAACTCAGTATAGATTTCATTAGTTAATAAAAAAGACCTACAGGTGGCACATTTAGCCAGAATTGACCACCTGCTGTGGTGACAATCAAGCTCAGGGAAGTTATTCTATCGGGTATACGATCCGCCAGCTCTTGGGATACGGTGTAGGAGCCACAAATCGATTTGAAAGACAATAATAATACCTTGTGCTATCATTCCGCCCATCGAGAGGCCTACAACATGAATGCTACGTTCCTCGGTCCATTTCAGATAGTCGAGCAATACTATGACGTCCTCGGCCATGCCGCTCGTTCTAGTATAATTCGAAAAGAATCAATACACATCAGGTAGAATCAAAGTAGAAACGCACGTGTATGGACCTCTCGGAGTCCCGCTCATACCCACACCACGATTGTCGAAGACTAGTACCGAGTACTGGGGAAGTCTGCTGAAGTGCTCGACCTGATATAACCATCCGAAGGATGTGCTATTAACACTACAAATGTTTTAGCAAACCTGTAGTAGTAAAGCCTTCAACTACATTGGACTCACCCCATTATAAAGACGATCTTCTCGGGTCCGGTGCCGTGCTGTTCATAGTACAAAGAGTGACTCTCAAGCGGACCTTCCTGGCTGCGTATTTGTGTTACAGGACAAAGACCTCTGCGAGTGCATGTGTCTGGGTCGAAAATTGTCTGATATTCGGGGCCCAAAACCTCAGGCTGGTCATGCGCTACTGACATGGTTGTTTGGAGCTAGTGTTATGACAGTACCCGTTACTTATTATTAGTTGGACTTGAGCAAAGAAAGGCCCACGAACTGAGAAATTGCCGTATCCATGATGCTACCGTGTCCTGCCAACACAGCAGTAGCTGCTATAGTCCGGTTCAGAAACATTTAATCCGGGGGTAATAATTACGGGCTCAGGTATTTTGCCGCATCACTGCCGCACTGGCCATGTACTGATCAAAAATCATATGTAAGACAACCGTAGACATATTATATGGACCACTTGTTGTGTACGTAGTAGGCCCTACTCGTAGTGCGCCACGGATGTGGTACGATCAGTGGCAAAATCCTAACTTATAAGGGCCCGATAATTACTAATGATTCTGCTTGTGCGTGTTGTACACGTTGCCAGACGAGTCGATCCTAGGCTCACTTAGCACTGTGACCACTGTCAGCTCTTCTTTCTACTCTTTACAAGATATATCGTCCTCATCACAGCCCAAGACTTTCACGAATCTAATTTTAGCTTCCCTAATGACTCCAACGTCTGTCTCCGGGGGTAAGTCGTACGCTTACTACTAGAGCACTTGGTCTAAGCAGCACTTTTTAGCCCCAGCCATGATGCTGGCTGTGTTCCCATTTCTCGCAGTCGCAGGGGCTTACGTGGTCATGGTTTGGTGTCTCCACGGAAATGGCCTGGTTGAAAAGATACACGCAGGATGTGGCGTGCCAGTAGAGGGGGCATCATTCCCAACGCGTATCTCATACACCAATATCCCCCCTCTCGATTTCAACCTCTGCGTCGTCGTTACGTTTTACCATGGCTTAATGAACACCACCTACCGACCACTTCTAATACTCATGTCCACCACGCTTGCCGCAATTGCCATCATCCCTTTCGCAGAAGCCACTCGCGAATATCACCCTAAGCGGCTCAAGATACCTGCGACTATTGGCGTGATTTACCAGATCTGCAGCTCTGCAGCCGTCATGCCGATTTATTGGTTTGCCTTCGCGCTTACTGGTGGCACGACCCGTCGCAGCGATAGAATCAATCAAGGGAATGCAGAAGCACTTTTATTTGCCCTTATTGTTGGCTATGCTATCCCCACTGCTTGCATGGTGGTTCTTGAAGACCCAGTGGTGACTGCCATATGGCAGTTCTTCCCTGTGTACATGGCAATCGCCCAGTGGGCACACTCCAAAATCCGACCCCCCTCGCATCACACTGGGTCGGGATACGGCACTGTTCAAGCCATGTACTTGCTTGTATACGTCACTTCCGCTTATTTGCACGTTGCGCACGTCTGGCCTCTTTTCAACAGTCCAACACTCATCCAAAAGCTTATAATGCCCCCTACATCTCTTTTGGACCCGTCAAATTCTATCAGTGAAGGTGTTGCAGCGTTCCTGAAGTGGGACATAGTATTTACAGCGGGCTCGACCTTTCTGATAACGCTGTGGTTCGCCAGAAGTCTAACAGGCTTAGCGGTGCTGATTTTGTGGCATGTGTCGGCTACTTTCTTAGTGGGACCTGCAGCTGCAATCGCAGGAGTAATGATGTGGAGAGAAGCGACAATAAATGCACAGGCCATTGTCAAGGAAGAGAAAGCTCGATGATGGTTATCGCTAGGAGACCACACTCTGTATATAATCTTGAGTAGTTTTTTGAGAAAATGTTGTAGAATGCAGCAGATTTGAAAAGGCCCATGACGGGCTCACGGCAAAGGATGTAGATGGAATTGCACGAGAACATACGTATAACATTACTGTCCAGAAGACTGATCCGCCCGCGTTGCCATTGCTGCCTGCCCAGCGGCAGTCGCCGCCAGCCTGGACCGTTTCCTCTCGGCCTCTGATTACAGTAATCAGTGATCTTTAACATTCAAAATCAGCATGCAGAATACATACCTGCTTCTTTCTCCCGCTCAATCTCGGCAACAATTGCTTCGATCTCAGGTAGCTCCAAGTGCTATTAAGTTTGTCAGCGACCAATGAATAATGATAAAACAAGATGAAGTCGAACCGTGACTTTGCCATAACTTTCCATGACACTGATCTCGATATTTTTCGCTCCTGTCTGTACAACTTCGAGAAGACTTTTGACCGTCAGCTTTATGCTTTCTTCGCGAGTCATGCCATCTTTGTGATTTTTCTCAAGGAACTCGCGGACCGTTTTCGACGATCGACCAATTGCATTGGCCTACAAACAAGGTGGGCTATATCAGTCACGTACTATACAGTGGAGAATGTACCAACCTTCCATGCACTATAGATACCACTCGGCTCAGTCTGGTATAGTCTTGGTCGCGAATCATGTGGGTCAAACCCGATGATTAATGTTGAGATACCAAATGGTCGTACACCACCGGACTGTGTGTATTTCTGGGGGAGTATAGAAATGAGGATAAACTCCATGCCAACAACAATCGACTACTGACCTGCTGTATACCAGCAATGTGTCTTGTTATATACTCTACTGTGACGGGATCCTCTACGGTAAGTCGATGACTTTGACATTCTATCCGCGCTTTATCGATGAGGACTCTGCCGTCCGCGGTCAAGCCTGCATGATGTGAGATCAAACGATGCGACCGAGCGGGGCATTCAGAAGCGTACCGGCAAATGCCAAGCAGATGTGGTCATCAAGCATTACAACCTTTCTAACGGTACGGGGATCTTGGAGTTGCAAGACGGATTTCTTTTCGACGCCAAGGACGACTACATCATTACCCCGAACACCGACCTACCAGATCGACAATGAGCGCCACCATTAAGCTAAACAACGTCAAAGTCTTACAGCACATGTTCCCTTGCGGACAGCTTCAAGGGCATACTCGACCTATAGAATAGATGGAGCAAAGATCACGGTCATTTAGACGCGACTTCACCGACCTGGAACAAGTGACCATCCGGAGAGAAGACAGTAAGTGCTGTACAGAGATCAGTAGTTGAGCTTGTCAGCTTCTGCAAATGTCAGAGACGCACCGCGATCGTATGACCTAGACATAGCTGCAAGCAAGTGGTGGATGTGATCTACAGAGGTGATACAAAGTCTTACTTATATGCTTGAACGCGCGTCGAGGCTGGCGTACGTTCGCTTAGTAAGCGGATCCATTTATATCGAAAACACGACCAACTCATTAACATTTAACCGCCAACAAGTTAAAGTGCAGTACTTACTTACTTGCGCGACACGAATCGGATGGACTCGGACGATGAGATAGAAATTATTGGCGAGAGGAGCTCACGGCCATCGTGAGTGAAGCCATCAAGTCTATCGTTATCCTCCGCAAGCTTATTCTGGTGATACCACCAGCTGTGCTCAGGCTGGCCTAACACTCTGCCAGTTGTGTAACATGAATTTTGACTCCGAGAACCTCAGCGAACTTCAGCGCCAACAGCACTATGAAGCACACTTCAACTCCAGCTCTAGTAGTACGCATCTACTGACATGTTTTATGCTCCGCGTTCTCACATATTTGATAGAACAATCTAGTAATAAATTCAAGAAACCAGCAATACCCAAAGACTTGTTCAAACCTTGCAGCTTCCAACTACCACTTAGGAAGAAACCGGCAGATGAATTTTGGTATCCTACCCTGTCAAGACCGCCACCTGACAACTGCTGTCCAGGTATGTCTGCTAGAATTCACATGGTCTGTGACCCCTGAGTTTAACTACACCAGGCTTGATCCCGCTCTTGAAACATGCTTTGAAGAAATGTCATACCAAAGGAAACACGCGCAGAGCTGTTCTCTGCTATGAATCAGCTACTCATATCTGTGTCGAGGCATTTGACCGCCGATGGGGATGTGGGTAGGTATAACACCAGTCACTATTTCTATCTAATTGACGTGCCATATCAGATATCGCAATTTCCTCATGGCATGTGCTGCGCTCATGGATCAGCAAATCCAGAACATATATTTTGCCTTACTAGATGACCCCTTTCCCCCTGGTGTTCGCAATTTGCAACGTTGGATAGAAGCTGCGTGGAAGGAAGGTGCATATGTCGGCATCTGCAAGGTAATTACAGCACTAAGTTGCCTTTGGCAGGTTATGACCGTGAAGGTGCCAAAGACTTAAGGAACCTGGTAGACACAAATAAATGGATTGGTACAGCAGGTACGACTGAAAAAACTGCTGCTTAAGGTTCCGATTGATTCATAGACGCGCTTTCAGAACTCTATACCGCATTCACATTTCGTGGAGTCCCGTACGTCATTCCCTCTTTGTAAGACGACGTGCTGAGTCTTCATACAGCTCGCAGCTCGTAGATTTTGATCTTTCAAAGAGCGAGAAAGGTGACTTTCAGTTCTACATTGGCGAGTATTAGACTTATCCCACTGTCAGGGATTCAAGTTATGATAGACTGGATTGTCCAATACTTTTCGCCACCAAATTCAAAACAAGGCACGGTGACTGATGTCCTCCGCGGCGCTTCGCCTGTGATTGCAACGGACAAAATGCCTCTTGTTCTGCAGTTTAATGGCCATTCTCAAACAATCATTGGATACGAGATCTCAAAGAATGGGGACACCAATCTTCTCGTATTTGACCCTTCAAGGTAAATTCGCTGTTATGAGTAGGTGGAGACACTGATGCAATGTCTCCAAGGCCACCTAGACTGAGCATGCGTCGAGCTGCAATAGCTGGATCTTCTTCTGTTGTATGGGAACAGTCTCGGACAAATCAAGTGCTACAGTCTGTCATACATCCAACGTCTAACGGACGCTCCTCGAAGCTGAAACGTCCTTCGTCGTCTTCCGATATACAACAGCACAAACGAAGTAAATCATCTGAACCAGACAACGAGATCATCATCGTGGAAGACTCTGACACACCCAGGAATGACGAGGGATCGGGCATTTCTCCAGGTCAAACGCAGCCATTGACACTCGACCCTAGCAACGTCGTTAATCACTTTCGGCTTGGCACGCGTAAATTGCAGTGCGTACTCTTCTATTGCACGGACCATGCGGACTCAGTGACCTGTCCTCAGGCGCAAGCAAAACTACCAGATACTATACTTTCCCATGACCGATCCATGGTCCATTGAAGAACGTAACAAGCGAAAGGTTGTAACGAGCATCTCGTGTGGTTGATTTTTCTTGTTTTGACCCAACAGTCATGTTTCCCAGTAATTCTTCAGCATCCCACCTCGTAATTTGACATTTTTTTTGATCACGCACCTGTACAGGATAGTCGATGGTGGAGCATGACCGTGTAAATCCAGGCGAGATGAATATTGAACCGATATTTCAGATTCTTTTTGTCCCATTCGAGCACATCTACGTGTAATCTGCTGACGTATCTGCTCTTTGTGCGAAGTTTTGGACGCAATCATAGTGACAAACTAATCAACAGAACCACCGAGTTCCGGCCTCCTTCAGGCTTAAATACCTCCATAACACTGCCCAGGCCATCATTATCCCCTTGCAGAATTCATATCACCTATTGCACAAATAATGCATTTCTCCTTCCGTTGCGTTGTTACTGCGTTGACGCTATCTATGTCTGCCAGTGCATGTGGGTCCCAATACTCGTCTTGCAAATCATCAAAGGATTGTTGCGGTGGTTTTGTTTGTTGGATAACCAGTGTAATTTGCTTTTTTGCGTCTAGAATTCAATCCCTTGACTCATTGTTTGCCCTGTGATACTAATAGGCTCCTGATGGTTACTGCGTTCTTCCCGTTCCCCCTTCCCATTAAGCTGGCAGTGCGGATGACATGTCGCAACAGTAAGTCAGTTCTGCTTTCGCATGCTATCGTGATTAATGGCACGACGTGTAGCTCCTCGCTAAGTTCATCAATATGGTTGTTTCTGGAGTCTGGGTATATATCCCTGACGTTCAGGGATTTGAGCAGAAGAATATGTCAAACAGATGTGATACAAATGCCCAGATGAATTATTAGTGACATGCAGGTGCTGTCAAGCTTTGTATGAAAATCTGTCAGAGTTCCTGATCCTTTAAGATCCATGCAACTACAAAATCGTTCATCATGCATCGTGTGGAGGTTTAATGTTGAACTGGTCCATTGAAGAACGTAACAAGCGAAAGGTTGTGACGAGCATATCATGTGGTTGATTTGACCCAACAGTCAGTAATTAATTCTTCAGCACCACACCTCGTAATTTGACATGTTTTTGACTACTGTTTCAGATTCTATTTGTCCCCTCAATTTATTTGGGCACATCTACGTGTAATCCGCTGACGTGTCTGCTCTTTCCGCGAAGTTTCGGGGTGACAAACTATCCAACAGAGCCGCCTCCTTCCGCCTTCAGGCTTAAATACCTTCATAGCGTTGCCCAGGCATCATTATACGAGATTCTCCGTTGCAGAATCCATATCACCTATTGCACAAATAATGCGTTTTCCCTTCCTTTGTGTTGTTACCGCTTTGATGCTATCTGTGTCTGCCAGTGCATGTGTGCCCCAGGGCCGGCCTTGCAAATTATCACGTGATTGTTGCGATGACTTTTATTGTGCGACGTACGGTGTGAGTACTCCTCCGAGCGGTTTACTTTTTTGCATCCAGAATTCAATCTCTCGACTCATTGTTTGCCTTGTGATACCAATAGATTATTCGTTACTGCGATTATCCCCTTCCCCCTTCCCGTTGAGCTGGCGGTCCAGATGACACGTCGTGACAGTAAGTCAGTTCTGCTTTCGCATTGAAATGCTAATAGCTATTGGTACTGTGATTAATGGCACAATATATAGCTCCTCGCTAAGTTCATCAGTATGGTTGTTTCTGGAGTCTGAGCGAATATCCCTGATTCGAATAGAAGAATATTGTGTCAAACAGATGTGATATAAATGCCTAGAGGAATTCTTAGTGACGGTCAAGCTTTGTGAAAATTTGCCAGAGTTCCTGGTCCTTTAAGAAATTAAGATCTATGCAACTACAATATTTCTAGCATCCTGACGTTCATCATGTATCATGTGGCGGTTGAACGTTGAACTATAGTTGTAGCGCAATTAGATGTTACATATATCGATGGACCTGAAAAGTAGACTTGGTCGCTGTTATTTGTTATTGGAGAAATACCCGCTCTAGTATATGTAAGGCAGTCTAGCAGGTCCTCCACACAGCTTTCCGACAGGTAAGTTCTGCGATTCAGCGCACCAACTTGAAAGTATCGACTCCTTGTGCAGTACTTCGCTGAAGTCTTGCAGAAAGCTACAAGCGATCTCAAAATTCATTTGCAAGCCATTGCGAAGGACCGCCGTGTCACCGCGACGCTCATCATGCCGGATGACGATCGTGATCACGATGCAGTGCGGGCACAACAAGGAGATTATTTCTAGAGTTCAACAGTTGACTGAGGGGGACCAGCATTTTTTGACGAAGGCTATCAAGCAGATATGTTGATTGCACGTGTGGAGTATTCACGATCATTGATACGTGCGCAGAGGTGATAAGCAAGATCAGGGCTTCGCAAGGGGATCTCGGTGTCGGAGAAGCCAGCATGATGAAGTCGGTCATTAGGTTTGAAGAACGAGTCGTCAGTACTGATGTAATATCCAGAGACGACCGTCATCACCTCATACAGTGTAAAAGAGATCAGGTCCTTTAGAAAACAAACTATGACCGTGCAGTGTCTAAAAAGGACGATACGTTGACACGGTTACGCGAAGCACACAGGGACATTGAGAGCAGGCACAATGAAAGTGCGTACGGAATTATGCGCGCTGAGATCGAGCACCTTAAGTTTCGCACTGAACTGTGAGTACATGTTCGAACCACTCACCAGTGGCCGACGATATAATGTCGACTTGAATGATCCAATGATCGAACAAGATACTAAGTATTTCTTAGCTTGAACATGATGGCCAGAATATCTAAGCTCTGAAATAAGTCAATCACTTCGAGAAGGCAGTCAGAAAGCAGGTGGACTCACGTCGCATTTTAGAACTCTCTGTGTCATCCCCCCTTCCCGGAACTACATGAGATGGACTTCAGCGACAAACACAGGGAAGTAAACTAGAACATTTGTAGGCCACGATTCTTGTGATGATGGTTGCTCCGTAAATTTAGGCCCTGAAGTTGCGTCAAACAAGATGACATAAACTCTCGTACAGCCTTTATTGGCATTGTTCGTCGAGCCACCTCCATTCCCATCGTCCTTGGCTGAACAAAAAGAGACATTCGTACCTGACCTCTTGATTTTCGGAAACCATTTAGCTTACACAGATGCTGTGCTACCTTTCATGCAGAATATTGACGTAGCGATTGTTTTTGGAGTTTAGCCTTCCTGGGATGCAGTATTAGAATTGTCATAGCTGACTTGATACATCAATGCGGAACAAACACTGCAATCAATTTTCAGGCGGGTGTTACGATACTGTCAGTCCGTGCAGGCAATGGGTTCAGCCCTGGCAGAGGTAGCAAATCCAAACCAGCAACAGCACACCTGAGAGCTCTGTCCCAAGCTTCTTCGACCCGATATCCTCCCGCTCTCATGATTCCTTCACGATCCTTCCTTACTGCGTCGCTGTACATATCGTCGTACTGGTCCCGGATCGTGTAGAGATCTTCGTAAGCATACCAATCGTCCTGCAAGGGGACGTGTGGTGGATCTGGAATAACAGTACTTTGAGCAGCGCGTGCACGCAGGAGCTGGGCATTGCTTCTTAGAACTGTGGTAGTAGTAGAACGAGCGGATGATCTCTTCATTGCTTCGGCACGAGATTTGGCGATGACCTTGGCGGCACTCTTTGTGCTAGTCTCGAGGCGATCGATGATTTCGCGTTGGGATGTTTCTCGTTCTTCACGCTCTATCTCTTGTTCTCTTCGCAGCTCTAGTGCACGCTGTTCTTTCTCCTGTCGTTCTAGCTCTTCTTGTTCCTTCAAAGCTTGCGCGTATTGTTCTTCCCGCTGAGAGTTGAGTTCTATAAGAGCTGCGTTTTCACGTCGATGAGCGAGTATCCGAGCCTCAGTCTGAGCAATGTTGACGTCGTTGATAAGGTTGAAAGCTTAACGGCATGAGTACGGCATGACACCGTCAAAGATGAAGTACTCACTGATATCTTCCACCTCTTCAAGATAATCATTGTAGGAGCGGAGATCGAAGAAGTCTTCGCGTCGTTTGTTGAACCTAGCCGTTCGTGATAAAGTTCAGTTCTTGATATAGATATAGGATTACCCACTCCTTGGCTATTCGTCTGCGCACGGCGACTTCTTTTTCCACAGTAAGGTCTTCAAAAGTCTGTGGAGTGAATGCAAGCTTTCGTAGGACCTTTTGGCAGATAGGACACGGTGCGGGTCCCAAGGTGAACAAGCGGTCGATGCATGACTCGCACCTACAGGATATTGGCATCAGCTTGTGTTTCTATGCGAACTTGGATGCATACATTTTGTGGTAACAGGAACTGACAAGAAGACGGAGCTTTGGATTCAAGTACCGATCAGACTTGCACACAGGGCATTGGTCGTCCATGGACTTGTAATTCCATGGCATGTAAGTGAATGGGCTTGAAGTATAGAGACTACGACATACGAAATATTCTGTAGTTCGCCCAGATGCATCTTTAACGCCTCCGCTGAAAAGGGTAGAGGAAGTGCTCTGAACTTGAGGTGTACTGGAGCGAGCGGTGTGTACATTAGATGTTATGCCACCTTTCCGGACTGTCTTTCCTTTCAACCAGCCACCTACGTTGGCGCGATTTGACATATGTAGCTTATAGATAAAAGGGAAAACAAGTTTTTGACACTAGGGTCGTGCAGCCGGGTGTTTGTGCACGGTAATGCTGTGCAATCATCAAACACGTGTATTTCATAATACTTATACAGGGGTATTATACATAGTATCAGTTCAAGCTTTCAAGTTCCTCTCATCCAATCACTGGATCATCATTGATTATGATACAGTATAGTCTTTTGAGTATTCTCGTATTAGACTCTTCCGTTGGACCAGGTCACTGACATCCCTGCAGAGAATCCTAAAGGCTTCGCCTGTGCCAGAAGGGGGACAGTTACGAACCTTGGCCCTAGCAAACCTGAGGCCTGAGTGCCCTAGACTGTCTAGCTACCAATGGGAAGACCGCTGTTTGTTCATTATGCATTATGGCTCAGGGATCTAACCAAAGGCTGACGCCGCCGTCACCGTACACGATATCGAATTATAAGACGTTTGGACTCCGGACAGACCTGCTTGTGATGTAGTAAACCGTCGGATGAGTTGAATGGTACTAGTCGGACGTCCAGTGGGTGAGGTAGTAAGATTACTTGTGGCACGAGCGCTTAAAGACTCGAAAAGGCTAAAAGTAATATAAAAGCAGAATGAAGCCGGACACTCGCTCGCTTACACGTCACGGGGCAACGGCCGGGGTGACGCTTGTCAGGATATTCAAGTTCTGTGAACTTCTGTCTCAGCAACCGTCGTATCCTACTTAGAACCGCACTCACGCTCAACTTATCTTCCTTCCTCTCTCTTCTCATCCACTCTCCTGCTTCACAAATAATACCAGGCCTACCAACTGGCAGGCCTATCTCTACGCCTTTGACTTCGCTAAGCTTGCCCTCTCCTTCTCAGCATTCATTCAGTCATCAATTATCTCAAACTTTCGCGATTGCACCCCCGGCAGGGTGGAAGAGCAACTATCAATCTTTTTTCAGGTCCGTCATTTTATATCATCCTGCTCTGTTATCACACCATAACTCTCAACCTCCAGTCCTTCATATCTTACTTCAGTGAAAGGATGCATGATTCTGTAATGCAATCCTCCCGTTCGACCTCATTCAACGCCCCAGCTGGTGCGACTGGTAACTCGGTTGATGTTCGACTTTTTTGTGAACCGCAGGCCATGATCGGCCAGGGGCCTATCACCCCTCCTATCTCTCCTGGCAACAGCGAAGATAAACAAGAACCCAAACCCACAAATTATCTTCCAGAACAAGTTCAACAAACTGCCTTTACCGTCAACACTTCTACTCCAATGTGGCAGGAGTCACAGGTTCCCGTGGTAATAGCTCCAAAACCTAAATCACCCGCAAGACCTCCTGCAAGGTTGTTGGAGGATGAAGCAGTTCACGTAGAGAGACGGGGTGTGCTCAGGCTGCTCGATTTTGAGGTGAAAGGCGCCCTCGGTTTGTGCCCGTGTCTTCCCAAGGTCAACACTTTCTTATTGTTGATTTGACAGGTACCGGCACTTTTGGGAGAGTGCTACTAGTCCGCCTCAAGACAGCGAATACAGGATCTCAAAATATTTTCGCAATGAAAGTCTTGCGCAAAACCGAAATCGTACGCCTCCGCCAGATCGAACACGTCAACGCAGAGCGCTATATTCTCTCACGTGTGCGCCATCCATTCGTAGTGGACCTTTTTGCAACCTTTCAAGACAGTCTCAACATTTACATGTTGATGTCTTATGTTCCTGGTGGTGAACTATTCACCCATCTCCGACGGGCGGGCCGTTTCACTCCCGACGTTACTCGATTCTATCTCGCTAACATTATCCTCGCCCTCCAGTATTTACACTCCTTCAACATCATATATCGTGATCTCAAGCCTGAAAATCTACTCCTCGACTCTCGAGGCTATCTCCGACTCACTGATTTTGGTTTTGCGAAAATCGTTGACGACCGTACCTGGACCCTTTGTGGCACCCCTGAGTACCTTGCCCCAGAAATCATTCAGTCAGACGGTCACGGAAAAGCCGCAGATTGGTGGGCATGCGGTATTTTGTGTTACGAGATGCTAGTCGGCTACCCGCCATTCTTTGATGAGACCGCCTACGGTATCTACGAGAAAATCCTACGAGGCAATATTAATTGGCCACGCACCATGGATCGGCTATCTAAAGAACTGATCAAAGCGTTCTTACATCCTGACCGAAGTAAACGTCTTGGTAATATGATAGGTGGACCACAAGACATTCTCCACCATCCTTGGTTCCGAGGCGTTGATTGGGAAGCTTTGGAACGATGTGAAATCAAGGTGAGGAGCATTATCAACTACCTTGAATTTAATTTTTACCTTCACCGATCAAAGGCACCGATCATCCCCCACACGACGTCACTGGATGACACTCGTCATTTCTTGAACCTTCCCCACCCAACCCTCGAAGACATGCCCGGACTTGTCATGGAAGAAGCTCCTCCTCCTCTCCATCGGCGCTTTGACCCTATAACGTATCATTTTCTTGAATTCTAATCCGAGAACCCAGATTATTTATCGCTGCTCGACTTTCAGCTGATCTATAGCATAAACATTTCTCCATCTGTCTCCACCTGATTTTGCCTCTCTTCCACAGCCTCCATCTGTGTCCTTAGTTACCCTTGCATAGGATATCATCGGTGAGCCACCCAACCGACACCTCTGTTTTATCGTTCTGCTCTCCGTCTCGTATGTAGCTTTGATCTGTCATATGATGTATCATTCCTGTCGTGTTTGTATTGAGCCCCCAAACGTCTTGAAACTATTTATTTAATCTTGAACTTTGACCTGTAGATGGGCTTGGCTCCTTCCGCATGTAATCGTTGCTTCGAATAGACGATGTCTTTGATTGATTGTCCTTATTGAATCCTAAAGGCGTTGTCAAATAGAACCAAACAGCCGCCTTGAGTTGCCGAAAGGAAAAAGTTTCCTAAAATCACAATGGCTCGTAGACGCAAAAATCGCACACATCTGAAGGGTGCAGGGGCAACTGTACAACGCGCGAACGACGGTGAACCTAGGTCCTTCATCATCAAACATGGACAAGTGGGTTCTTCCCTCACGCAGCTCGTTCGCGATCTGCGAAAAGTTATGGAACCAAATACCGCCAGTCGTCTAAAGGTGAGCCCGACCAATCTTGTGTTTCAAACGTCTTTGAACATCTGAGTGCAGGAACGTAACCGTAACAAACTAAAAGACTACCTGACTATGGCTCCTGCGCTCGGGGTCACGCATTTGCTGGCTCTTACTGTCACAGACGTCGCGCCCTCACTGCGCATGGTTCGACTTCCTGCGGGACCTACTCTCAGCTTCCGTGTGGAACGATACAGCTTGATGAAAGACATCTTGAAAACTTCTCGATCCTCACGAAGCATGGGGATGGAGTACCTCACCGCCCCATTAGTAAGTGACACATAGTAGCTTCGATCATCAGTCTCATACAACCATGATAACTTTATAGGTCGTCCTCGCTTCCTTCCCTCCACCCTCTCCCGAAACACCCCCACATCTTCCACTGCTCATGAAATCATTCCAATCTCTTTTCCCTCCATTATCCCCCAACTCAATGTCGCTCTCCAACTGCCGTCGGATCGTCCTGATAGCATACAACGCCGATAGAGGAACCGTCGAATTCAGACACTATGTTATCACTGTAAAACCATACGGCATCTCAAAGCGCGTCCGACGCGTGCTCGAAGGTGCCCCCAAAAAATCATTGGCCAACCCCTCCAGTGGGTTCTTGGACCTTGGAAACGAGAAGGATGTCGCGGACTTCTTGCTTAGAAAAAGAGGAGAGCCTAGCCCCGGGAGCGACGGGTATGAGTCTGCGGCATCGTCAGCTTCGAGTGCTGCTGGCGATGACGGGGATGCGGTGTCGTTGGCAGATGATTATGTTGGGCGGAATAACAAGAAGGGGCAAAAGAAGGCTGTTCGACTGAGTGAAGTTGGCCCGAGGATGGAGCTCAGGCTGATTAAAATTTCTGAAGGCCTTCCAGGGAAGGAAGGCGCTGTGCTGTATCATGAATTCGGTGCGTTACAAATCAATCATATAATAATGCAAGGGTAATTGATCGTTTTATCGTGCAGTCAAAAAATCAAAAGCCGAAGCTGCTGCGCTCAAGGCTGCTCATGTCGCTAAGGAGAGATTGCGAAAGCAAAGAAGGGAGGAACAAGACAGCAATGTGCAGCGGAAGAAAGCAGAAAAAGAACAAGGGTCGCGAAAGAACCAAGAGGATTCTGATGAGGAAGCCAGTGACGCTGAGGCTGACGAATCTGACCAGGAAGCTCATGATGAGTGGGATGAAGATGAGGAGATAAGTGAAGTAGGTGGCAGCGATGATGAACCAGGGAGCGATGAAGAGGAAAGTGAGGATGAACCCGAAGAAAGACCGCCTACCAAGAAGGTTCGAATACGAGGAAAACGGTGAACTATGAAGTATGTTTCTCATGTTGGAGTATATTTATACGTTGATTTGACCCTGAGTGGGGATACGATATGTATGGAAATCGGACCACAGCGCGCATTTCATCCTCTTCCGCTCGTGGTAGAGTGATCTGGTGATGGAGACTAATGTTCAGACCCTCAAGAGCGTCCCGTCTTCAGTACATACGCAAGGTTGTATTTAAAGCTCACTGTCGAGCCGTGGATACATGAAAATGAATGGGGACAATACATATTAATATATTTAATCAACGTAGATCACAGAAGTGAGTCCGTAATTAAATTAAGTAGATAGTCCATGATCGTATCAATGAAGGAGACAATACATCAAATACAATCTGTAGTCTGTACAGTGGAGGAAGCCAGAAGGAACCTGGTCTGTTAGATGTACTAGTATGTGCGGGACTTGGACTATAGGTGGCGACCTTCAACTTCTTGGGAATAACTCCAGGTCGTAGGGGACAATGAAGGAGGTCGTTGTGTCGTTTGACGCATCGTCGAGATATGGTCGTAGGGGACCTCTGACTCATCGAAGAGCTGATATGTCGGCGCGTAGTATGTGTGGGGCCCTCAACCTCGTGGGTAGTATGACTCCATGTCGTAGGGGACAGCGAGGGAGGTCATTAGGTGTCGGGTCGTAGGGGACCTGACACCAGACGTGTTGGAAAAGATGCGTCATCTATTTTCTAACATAGAGATATCAGTAAGAGAGGTAGGAGTATGAGTGGGCCACTCACTGTTCGTAGACGTCATGCGGAGTTCAGCAGCCGATAGGACGCCGATACTGTGGTCGTGCTAGTAGGGTGTGTTGTGGCTGACGTTTTGGTGACTGCTAGGGGTTATCGTCAAGAATAGGAGGCTCCATGTTTCGAAGTACGGTGTCGATAGCATCGTCGTGTAGGGTGTGTCGTAGTTGAAATTCCGAGGATTGATAGCTTCGATATTTCGGAGTAGAGTGTTGGTGGTGTTGCGGTGCAAGTGCTGGTGACTGGAACTGTCGTCTGTGTTATCTTGTAACATGTGTTTCGATGGCTGAGAGACATTGTCGTTGAGAGTATGAGCGTCTGATCTGTCCAGCAGAGCATCAACTTGAATAGCGTAGTCGTTGTCGAGAGTAAGCGCTTCTAATTTGTGCAGTAGAGCGTCGAGAGCGTGGTCGCCGTCGAGAGCAAGTGCGTCGATAGTGGAGTTTTCGTTGGAAGCGACAAGAGCCTCTGATTTTCGAGGAAGAGCGTTGATAGCGTGGTTGCCGTCGAGAGCAAGTGCGTCGATAGTGGAGTTTTCGTTGGGAGAAACAAGGGCCTCTGATTTTTGAAGAAGAGCGTTGATAGCGTGGTCGCCGTCGAGAGCAAGTGCGTCGATAGTGGGGTTTTCGTTGGAAGCGACAAGAGCCTCTGATTTTTGAAGAAGAGCGTTGATAGCGTGGTTGCCGTCGAGAGCAAGTGCGTCGATAGTGGAGTTTTCGTTGGAAGCGACAAGAGCCTCTGATTTTCGAGGAAGAGCGTTGATAGCGTGGTTGCCGTCGAGAGCAAGTGCGTCGATAGTGGAGTTTTCGTTGGAAGCGACAAGAACCTCTGATTTTTGAAGAAGAGCGTTGATAGCGTGGTTGCCGTCGAGAGCAAGTGCGTCGATAGTGGGGTTTTCGTATGCAGTGATAAGAGCCTCTGATTTTTGAAGTAGAGTGTCGATTGCGTAGTTGTCGAGAGTAAGAGCTTTTGATTGTTGCAGTAGAGCATTGATAGCGTGGTCGTGCAGATGTGGCTGAAATTTGGATAATTGAGAGGGAACATTGTCGAGAGAAAGAGCTACCATTTTTCGAACTAGGTCGTCGATGGCATGGTCGTGTACTACGGTGCGTTGAGGTTGACATTTCGATGAATGAGGGGAACCATTGTCGACGTGTGGACGAAGAATTAATAAATGAGAGGATACATGGTCCAGAGGAAGAGTTGAGAGGCGAGAGGGGGGATCGTCGAAGGATACATTGTCGAGAGAGTGTGTCGAATTGAAATGAGAGGGTACATTGCTGAGAGGAAATAGATGAGAAGGTACATCGGCGAGAGAGATAGTTGAAATATGAGATGGTACATCGTCGAGAGAAAGAGCTGACATTGCTCTTGTTAGATTGTCGTCGATAGTGTGAGAGTCGTATTCAGAAGGTACATCGGCGAGAGAAATAGTTGAAATGTGAGAAGATACATTGTCGAGAGAGTATGTTGAAATGTGAGACGGTACATCGTCGAGAGAAAGAGCTGACATTGCTCTTGTTAGATTGTCGATAGTGTGAGTGTCGTATTTGACGTGCAAGGTGTTTTCAGGCTCATCGTCCGTAAGGCACTGTGCTGTAACCTGACAGTCTTCCTATAGATCAAAATATTAGTTGACGGAAGTCAGAGAAATCTCGCCGTCTCTTACCTCGTAGAAAGTGCTTTCGTCAGCAAGTGAATCAAGGTCTGTGGTGTCCGAGACGCAGTCGCCGAAGAAGACGTCCTCGTCGAAGTACTCACCACTGGCTATGAGCGTCGTGTCAGAATCAATTATAAATAAGCCTTCGGTGGGACCGTCAAAGGCGGGTTCAATTGATTCAGTCACTGCGTGCGACGAGGATGGCTGAACTGGTGTTCCAAAAGCCTTGGTTGTTGCGATAGCATCCGCAATCTTGTCGCCAGAAAAAGGTGCGTTGGGCTCGGCGGTATTGTCCACGTCCTTGTGAGCGGGGACGCATTGGAAATCGTCGCTGAGGAATTGTCGAGCAGCTTTAGCGGTGGCTAGAAGAAGGACAGTTGTCGAGGAGCAGACAGTGGATGTGACGAGGCTAATGGAAACCTTCTCTGATCTGGATATGACCTGAATAGTGCGGTCGATGACAATTTCTTTGAAGAAAGCGGCTGTAAGATAGCCTTGGAGAGCAACACGGGCGGTACGGGTCAAGGTAGTAGTAGAGATCATCATGGCGAATGAATGTAGGATCGTAAAGAAATTGGCGGGCGTGAAATGATGAATGGCGGAACTGACTGAGGAATATCAGTGCGGCGACAAACACGAGGTATTTATACTCCAGGTTTAAACCTTATTTGCACCAGATTTGCAGACCGATAAACAAAGACGATCGCGACGCGGCGCCTGTCACGTGTTTGAAAAATCAACCATATATAACTTCGGTGACTGAACGATGAATGTCATAAGTATCCCCCCGGGCACAACTCTATAGGATTAGATTACATACCAAAGGCAAGGTAGGCTTGATTTACATCAGGCTTGGTCCTTCGTCAAGGAGAAGCTGGGTCGATATATGATTCAGACGACTGAGAATGGTGGTGGTTGGATCGACGTATCGCCGTTCCAATACCATGGCTACAAGTCCTAAATATATTCACAATTAGTAAATCACGGGTGGGATATAAATTATCTATGGGATCCAGAGAGGTGAATATACGTTTATGAAGACTACTCATGACTGAGACGGGGTGTTGCTACTGCGAACACTTCCAAACCAATCTTGCCAAATATTCTCGGCTCTCATTTTCACCCCCTCCCAGTTGTCTAAGGCAGGCCGAACATCGAGATAGAAAGAGACATTATTTGACGATGGCCCTGCCCCCCGTCCGGTATAGAAGTCGATTACGTATCTGATCCGGGTTCCGCATCGTTCGACCACCCAGTCATGACGATCGAAGGGAGCAGAGTACCTGCAAAATAAAATCAGCATTCCCCGTAAGAGCTGTAGGCTGAAGCACGTACCCGAGTAAGGTCATGAGTCGAGCTTTTGGAGTCAGGTCATTAGGTCTGCCCTTGAAGGTTACAAGCTTTACTCCCCCACACTTTTCACCACCTCTCCCAGATTCCCATTTCATCAGCTCTGACCAGGCGCGTTCATTGACGGCGTTATGGATAGGAATGATGGTCTTCATATCTGGAGCATGCGGATTATGATTCTTGCGTGCCATGGCAGCAAAAAACTGAGCCTCCGACGGGTATACCCAATTACCATTGTCTGTTCGGGGTATCGAAGAAACCTCCCGTTCGGTCGAGAGCGAAGATGCGTTAACTGGATATGTATGGCTGCTCCCTGGCAAGACAGAGGCCCATGTTGTACGAGATTTGTGGTCGACAGGACAGGACTGGTCAGAAGAATGACTACCGTGGTCGACCGGACATTTGTCTGCCATGGCACAAGTAAAGATAGCCTTGATGAGTCATCAAATCATGGGTCGGTTTGCACGTGATTGGGCTAGTGGACCGGTGAGTTGTTCGGAACTTGTTCCCGTACGCGGTGGCCGCTACGGGTTGCAGCTTTATTCAAATGGCTGCAACGTGGAAGAGCTAGCGCTGTGGTTCACATTCGGTTCTTACCCTGGTACTTCATCATGCCGTCCTCGCAGCCAGTGTTCTCGACGCCTCTGACACGCCTCTTCAAGATTAATCATCCCGTCATGCTTGCAGGTGACTTTACTGTGTTATAGTTCTCATAACGACATTCATATGTGTGTAGGCATGAGCGTTGCCGCAGGGCCCAAACTAGCTGCAACAGTGACCAATTCGGGCGGCATTGGTGTCATTGGCGGAGTTCGTCAGAACCCCAAGATGCTCCAGGAATCTATCAATGAACTCAAGAGCTATTTGGAAGATAAGACCGCACCATTCGGCGTAGACCTCTTGCTTCCTCAAGTAGGTGGTAGTGCTCGAAAGACAAATGTAAGAGCCCATCTCCTACCCAGAGACATGTGTCTAACACCGGTATCTAGTATGATTATACGGGCGGTCAACTTGACGCACTTTTAGACGTCGTTATAGCCAGCGGGGCTGCACTTTTCGTTTCTGCCGTCGGTGTGCCGCCAAAACAAGCTGTTGACAAGCTTCATGCTGCTGGAATTCCAGTCATGAAGTATGTGTGTGTGTTACACTTAGAAGTTGCAACTGATTAAACTCACCCTTAGTATGATCGGTCATCCAAAGGTAATGCGCTTTCCAATGAGATATAGCCTGTATGTGTCTAAATTGATGTCATTAGCATGCTAAGAAAGCCCTCGAGCAAGGTGCGAAGCTCACTTAGCTTCACTCCTGCTCTGCTCATCGTTTCCAATATCCTCCTAGGTGTTGACATCATCTGTGCACAAGGTGGTGAAGGGGGTGGTCACACTGGCGAAACTCCATTCTCCATTCTGATACCCACCACTGTTGATCTTTGCAAGAATGCCAAAAGCCCTTTAACAGGTGAGCAGGTCATCGTCGTTGCTGCCGGGGCAATCGCAGATGGCCGTGGTCTTGCTGCCGCACTTTCGTAAGTACTTCCCACGCCTAGTACGCTTCTTCGGTAGTGACATGTTTTAACCAAGGTATGGTGCGTCCGGTGTTTGGGTCGGCACCCGCTTTGTGGCTAGTACCGAAGCAGGCGCTCCTCCAAAACACAAGGAACTAGTTGTCTCAGCTGGTTATGACGACACTGTCCGGACCCTCATATACACTGGTCGTCCGTTGAATGTGCGGAAGACTCCTTATGTTGAAGAATGGGAAACCCAGCGACAGGGCGAAATTACAAAGCTTGTTGCACAAGGTCATGTCCCGCACGATGTCGAACTAGAGAATCATCCCGAGAAATCTCTGGAGGGTCGAATGTGTAAGGAAAGCTCGTTTGGACTATTTTCTCTGTCTCACATATTCACGTATGCAGGGTTAATGGGCAAGGTAGCAGGATCCATCAATGTACGTCAAACGATCATATTGAAACGCAATTGCTAATGGATTTCACAGGATGTTAAGCCGGCGAAGGAGATGTATGTGGCCTGTTTTCTGCTCTGAATTCTACTGACATCTTTACCTAGCGTTGATGAGCTGGTTGCAACAGCAGCTGTGAGCTTGAAAACAGCTTCGGTTCTAATGATAAGCAAAGCGAAGTTATGAGTGGCGATTTCCCTGGACTCTAGTTGTAATGGAAGGCCAGCAGAGAGCGCGACCTCACCGGAATATGAATTTATTGTATCCTTATTTCAGTTGTATGTACCCCTGTAGGATCTTCATTTCATACCTTGAACACAAATTTGATTTCTACGATACTAAGATATCAGTCCACAAGAAAGTCCTTGAATTGTACATGGTTGCAATTTATGGCTGTGCCATTTTCATCAGTTCTGATCTTCCACGAGGCTCTTCGTTGCCTTCAAATCCGCCTTTACCATCTCTGTCACGAGGGAATCGAAGTCGACCTTGCGCTTCCATCCAAGAACACGCTCGGCTTTGGCAGGGTTTCCAAGAAGAAGACTGCATACAAGTATGAGAATTTGCAAGAACAGGCGCGACGAAGTAAACATACTCGACTTCTGCGGGACGGAAGTACTGTGCGTCGACTCTGACTACCACCCGCCCGGTCTGAGCATCGTAGCCCTCTTCTTCCACACCAGAATTGCGCCACCTATATAAAATGAAGGACACATTAGACGTGATGCGAGTCAGGAGGGGATGCGTACATTATTGTAACCCCGACGACCGCAAAGGCTTTCTCGATGAACTCTCGTACAGGGTGAGTCTCTCCGGTGGCAAGAACAAAATCATCGGGTGTAGGCTGTTGAAGCATGCGCCACATGCCCTCGACGTAGTCCTTGGCTATGAGAAACATGATTCACTAGAGGCAATGAAACTGGACAGGTAGAATCTTACCATGTCCCCAATCTCTCTGTGCATCAATGTTACCGAGGTACAAACAATGCTGCTTGCCGACACTAATATCTGCAACTGCCCTCGAGATCTTCCTCGTGACGAACGTCCTCCCTCGCCTGGGGCTCTCGTGATTGAAAAGGATACCATTGCACGCATACATGCCGTACGCCTCACGGTAGTTCACCGTGATCCAGTATGCGTACAACTTGGCGACACCATACGGGCTACGAGGGTAGAACGGCGTAGTCTCACTCTGTGGGGTCTCGACGACCTTTCCATAGAGTTCTGAGGTTGAAGCCTGGTAGAACCGCGTGTGATTTTCGAGGCCGACAGTGCGGATGGCGTCAAGGAGGCGTAGGGTACCGAGGCCATCGACATCGGCAGTATATTCTGACATCTCGAAGGACACCTTGACGTGCGATTGGGCACCGAGATTGTAGATCTCTGTGGGGAGAACCTGGGCGAGGATGTAGACAAGGTTGGTGCTATCGGAGAGATCACCGTAGTGCAGCTTGAATTTGTTGGGTCCTGGGGAGAATGATCAATATGCAAGTTGTACGATCCTATATGGACACGCACGCTCATGCTGATCCGCATAGAGAGAATCTAGACGACCAGTGTTGAAGCTGGACGAGCGACGGATTATACCATGTACTTCATATCCCTTCTCCAGCAGAAGCTCTGCCCTGTATAAGGTCGAGAATCGAGATATAACTAGCGATTGACTGTACGAGAAACATGCTCACAAATATGAACCATCTTGACCAGTTATTCCTATACAATTTCAAATCAGCATACGTGCAACATAACGACAAGCCAGCAAGTGAATGTGTAGTATAAAAATGAGCGAAAGCAATGGCATGATTGCCTGTTTGTTTGATCGGACTGCGCATCATCCACGTTGAGGCAAAAGGAAAGCTGAAGATGAAACGAACCAGAGACCAGCGCAACTTTCCTCTTCCTGAACTCCTCAGGAGACGGAAGATCGATTTTCATCAATGGAGTACGAGCGATGTCAGAGGGCATTTTGAAGTACTGGTGGTTGCGGATGAATTCAAACTTTCAACTAGCACAGTTAATATAGCTGAGTATTACAAGTATAAATGGAGACAAATGGCCGCAAGGTTGTGAATCGGGCAAGTTCGGGAATTCCTTATTTAACTTAAGAGTAGCAGCTAGTGTACAGTACTATATATTATCCACCGTCCGATAGTGCAAGCCCTTCGAGCTATGACTGATGTTGCGATTGGAACGAGCGCAAATGTATATCATTCGATCGCAATTTGATGGACATCACAATGTACACTGCTCATATCATCTGAGCGAGTATGAATTACTTTCTGCGCCACGAAGAACAAGGTTCACCGCTTCCAGCAGAAAGAACGGCCGCTGTGCATGCGGTGATATTTGACACGATCTTGTTAGGCTTCTTTTGAATCTACCGAGAGGAGAGCAATCAGTATTATGACCCAACAAAGCTCGTTGTACTCACATTTTCGCTACTAGAAAGCGCAGTTTGGCATAAATCTTGTTCTTCAGTGTTGCAACGTTTGAGCGCCAGCTCCAGGCGGTTGTTCCAGAAGTCCAACATGCAACTGGACGCGGCGGGTTTCCGAGTCGTAACATAACCAGATCAACGTAACAAAAGGAAGACGTCTGACAAAACAGCAAGTCTAGCGTAGAAGCCGGGGTTAAGGGAGAGGAAAACGTCTAGGGACCCCGAACTTGGTTGATAGCCGCCTCCAGGCCTTCTTCTACATCTTCCTTAGTACCATCCTTCTTCACAGACACGTCAGCTATGACGGCGTGAGTGCCCCCGTTCGCCCCCCTCCACTGCTTGATTATCGAGGGCACTTTCCCAGCGTTTGCCTGCAGCTGGAACTTATGGTAGACCGTGCCCTCGGTGGTGACCTCCCCGTCGTAGTCCCAGCGGACGCTGAGTTGTTCCAGCTCGGCCTCTTTTTGGGGACTACCGTCTTGCCCCGGCTGGCGGTGGGGTTGGCAAAATTTTGCCGGGCCTTGCCGTCGACGGCGTGGGTGATAGCGGCTCGTAAGACCTTCTTCATCTTATCTTTGGTCAAGAGACGACACCTAGATGCCCTCAGCGTTAGCAAACATTGACTCAAGATCAGTGCGGAATCAGCGGGGCGTACCTCTTCGCGGTCTTGTTGAGTAGTGATAGAATGTGTGAAACAACTGTCGACGTGAGATGGAATGAAATGGACCGAGCAGGAAAGGAGGTGTACGCCAGTAGAACTAGCGAGAAGCGAGTGCTAGGATACATCAGTAAGAGAACGTGTGAGATACGAATATACTACGCACCTCAGTAGTGTTAGGAGACAATGCTGAGGTGTCAACAAGAGACGCGGATGATGTATCTACCTACGGAGGATCAACGAGAGGAAGTGTCACAAGGCGCAGAAGCTAAGAAGTACTGTGACAGTATGGTGTCGATGGTGATCAAGATAACGAGATAGTGCAAGAAAGGTAGAGAACAAGCTAACAAGAGAAGCTAACAGCTAACACACCCCCTCACCGAGATACCAAATGTAATCCGATGGACTACTTACTTTGCATACCGCGACGCATTTCCATTTCGGCCAGCACTGGGTCGATTCCAACACGTTCTTGGCTCCTTCGGCGATTGCGAGAATATTGTGGATCCGCTTTGTCAGGTCACTCGATGAGAGCCAGAGGCGCAACACCGAGGAATATCTAGCTCGATTTATTACATGTATTCCTCTTCGTCCATGTCGTCCAAGGGCCAGTGTGCCGCGATCTGAGCCCATTCCTCCTCCGACTCGGCCGCCGCCAATCCATCCTCCTTCAGCTTCTTGCTGAGTACCATGGCCTCTTCGTAGTGCTCGGCGGGCATCCAGCCCTCAGGCCCGAAGCCGATCATAACCCGGCACCCCTCTAGAGACTCATCCGCTTCTCTCTGTTCTGCATCCAGCTTCATTGTCTCGTGTACGTCATCGGGGTCGAACACGACAGGACACGGCGGGCCTCCCCCCGTGAGCGTCTTCCAGTTCTCTGTTGCTTGTATCAACGCAACCTTCAGCGCGAGAGTTTCGCCCTCCCACGGGTCACTGGCGTAGCAGAAGAGGCGACGGCGGAGCATGCCCATGGGGTCCGTTAACGCTGCGTAATGAAGCTCGTTGTACTCCTCCGTGTTTTTGACGTAGTGGTAATGGACGAGGCGGCGACGGTAGAGTTCCATCTCTCCGCTTTGCTGGGTTTCGTCCAATTCATCCAACTTCTCCGGTAGCGAAGGCCGCGTCATAGATTGCGAGCCAATATCATCATAGTTCTGTAGCTGTTGGGGTATACCAGTAAGGAGAAACAGGGGTAGGATCGAGGTGTGTTGCCAGTCGATCAGGCCGACGACGTGCAAGTTAGAGTCGGGCGACCTAGAAACGATGACATTGCTCGGCTGCAGGTCAGGATGGCGGATGCGGAAATGATCGAGGGCCGGGTTCCTGGGGATGAGTGAGGATGCAATGAGGAGATAGTGGACCAGGTTCTCGATGTGATCTGACGGCGGCTGCTCCTGGTACTTGTAAGCCTCCCTCCTTACGCGTTGGAACGGCAACAGCGGTCGACCAAACCGCCGTAAATAAGCTAGTTCCTTTTCGGCCCCTCTTATGAGGGCTGCTTCGGCACTTTCGTCTGCAGTTATCAGCTAGTTTAAGGGAGTAATAATAAAAAAGCAGCGAGTGGCCTACATGGTCCTCGATCTAAGTCGAGCTGTGATCTCCTGCCATACCATAGACGCAAACTTGTACCTGGGCCGACGCAGAAACGCTTGTTCTCTAGTGTGATGCCCGGCCTAGTAGGCCAAGAGGCGCTCCCAGCTGCATTCTTCAAGTCTTGGGCATAGTAAAGGCTTCCGCCAGCCGGGAAAGTAATTGACATCATCTTCGACTCGAGTTCAGCAAGTTGACGTGAGATTGAAATGATTTCCCCTTCTCCTAGATCAAACCATATGTCGCTTAAATTGGTGCCTTGTACGAATTCCATAAAGATATACTCGGTCCCTGCCGCGTTGTTCGGCGTAGGTGAGTATCCGTATACCTCAGGTATAGGCAGCCCAGAGGAACGGAGGAAGGCCATAGTAGCCACTTCACTGGCGACAGCAAAGTACTTGGGAATCGTAGCCGGGTACAGGATACGCGCCACCATTTGGAAGCCACAGCGCATGGTAATGAGGAAGGTGCGGTTAAACCCACCCTCGGCTAGTTTTTCCATACGGATAATAGCATCAGGACTCCGATTGACGGCCTCCGCTGCAAGTCGACGTAGCTCAACGACCTTGAAGACACGTCTGCGTTCTGCGTGGCGAAGGTCATCGTTGAAGCTGAACATATTAGATTACAGGTTAGACGTATACCCCATAGAATAACATGTATGAGACTTACATCCACCGCCCTGACGTATATTCAAAAAAGTCGCTAGGAGGATGCGCCATGATAGAGAACTCACGACGTTGCGGCCAACCGGTCGGGGTGGGGATGGAGCTAGAGTAGGAAACGCGACATGAACGCGGTGAGGAGCGAGGACGGCGCAGAGACTGCCGGACTGAAACTGCCGGGAAGTCGAAGACGACCTTCAAGAAGGGACGGAAGAAGGGATCAAAAAAGAGAGGCTGCATTACATAATAAGAGAAGACTGGATGTTTTTAATTTTGGTCTCGTGATCGCGTCTTATCTAGCATGGGTATAAAGTAGTATACTCACCCTCATATGAAATCACCTTGGAAAGAGTACTCTAGTGTCTCACAGACTCAGTCATGATAAGCACACCGAACGTTACAGGAATCGCAGTTATCACAGTTGCTCTTGCTGTCGTATGTTACGGCAAGGGTGTTTATCCACGCAGCTTTTGGAAGTTCCTGCGACAGAAAACAGCCCTTGTGGCTGGCAGAGGACTACCAGACTTTGCTCGGTTGACAGGCTTCCCTCATCCAAAGCCAGTACACGATTTTAACATTGCTCACGCTCGTCCTCGTCCATACCGGCCTTTCAGATGGGAATACCACCAGAACATGTGTATGCGGGCTGTATCGCCGTTAGTATGCTTCGCTTATCTATATCTTTTGTAGCCCTCAAGAAGTTGGAACCAGACTATTGGCTGGAGCTAGAGAGCACATATCGCGATCGCATTAAGCAACGGCGACAAATCTATGCCCTCCATGGCAAATGCGTCATAGATGAGCTGCCCGGTAGCGAAGCAGCTTCAAAGGAGTTGATGCAAATGGTTATTCAGTACCTCTGCATGAGGTACCCCCAACAGTTTGAGTTTGATGAGTGGACTTTGACGTTCCGCAACCACATCATCGGCTCGACGGCTGACATTTCAACGGTGCATCCACTGGTTTTCTTACTTGAGAATGTCCCGGAGGACTTCCTCATCACCCAGGAAGACCCCGATACTGGGCTCTACACCTTACGAGCTGCCGTCTCAACATCAGCAGTTGGCTGGAATATTGGTCAGAAGATGGGCAAACCACTGCATGAAATTCATGGCCCAGTTCCCGATTATAAGGAGAAGATGGCGTTCTCAATGGACAGGTAAGTAATGTAGTAAATATGTCAAGCTCACTTATAAGAACACCGCAATGAATTTACAGGTACTTTTCTAAGATGCCTTGTGACAAGCCCATTCAGCGAGCGTCATGGGGCCTTGAAGTCGGGGAGCCTCTCTATCTCCAGACGGATGAACCAGAGTGGAGTCATCGTCACCATCAGAATCCAGACCTCCCTCTCACCGACATTCACATGCGAGTCGATTGGCAAACATTACGCCGCCTGCCAAATTCCCGCGCCATCGTGTTCAACTTCAAGGCCTTATTCACGCCGGTGACAGATTTCCGCGAGGAACCATTCATTCCAAAGTTGCTTTTGAAGATTTTGCTCGAAGGCAAGAAGCCTATCATGGAGTACAAAGGAACATGGTCCGTCGAGCACAAAGTTATACCTGCATTACGAGAGTGGGCAAAGGAGCAAGAGGACAAGGGATGGGTCCCAAAAGATTGGCAGGAGAGGACATTGAACGAGGACCCCTTTTATCCCGGGTGGGAGAAGCATTACCCGATTCCTACCTAACAGCCGCAGATCAGATCGATCATTCTTGAAGTATCTCAGTCTTCCTCCATGAGTTCTGCGAGTTCTCTCTCTTCCTCTTCCGTGATCTCGACTTGATCCTTAGCATTGCCACTGGGTTGGGGAGTGGGAGCAATAACTGTAGCTTTCGACTGTCCAGCAGGGTTATCTGGCTTCGAATCATGGAGTTCTACAGGAATTATTTGAATGTATCTCAATACCCACAGTATGGACTTACCACTGAATCGCCATCTGCGAATGGTGCCATCCAGACTGGTACTGATTATCCATGGCTCTATGCGTGTTCTTCCGTCGTCTGTGCGACTTTTCTGAATCCATAATCTCAGCGCAGTGACATCATGCCAATGTGCGTCGATCTCCCCTAGAACCTCAGGCTCGGATGGTGTTGAGACATCATACAAGCGAATAACATCCCCATATCCAGTCACGATATACGGCTCTTCAAGATCGGAGAGTGCCAGTGGAAGAATCGCTCGCACAGGCAATGGGTGCGTGAGGGGTGGAATGGGTTTTTGCTCTGAGGATTCTGGTTGGTAAGGAACGACTTGTACTGTTTCATCCGATGATGCTGAGGCAAGGAGTGAGCTAAACAATAGCATGCCATGGTGAGCGATCGCTATTACCTGTCCAGATGTAACCTGCATCATAAATGATTTCGGTGATGCGCGTTCGGTGGTGGTTGAGAGTGTCCTGAAGAGTGCTTCGCCACCGAGGCCGCGGCCCGCCCTCTCTTTCCAGCTTCCACACCTTCAATACTCCCATGGTGTCAGCGGTAAAGAGGGTCACGGAACCATCGGCATTGGCAATTCCAGCAATGCATTCTACTGGGCGACTATGAGCCGAGACTGACCCGGCAGGCTGTGGAGGCTTCTCAAGAATGTCGGTTAGATCCCTAAGCGCAGATGTTAGGACTGCTAGTATGAGAGGAGTTCGGTTTTACCAGAATTTGACAATCTTATCGGAGCTACTGCTGACCAGGAGCTTCACAGATGGCACGACAAGTAGAGTTTTGACAAAATCATCGTGAGCAGCCGTCGTTGAGATTAGGCCCTTTGTCTGCAAGAGACGACCTGCATTCAGTATATACAAGGACATGAAATGCGTTCAGGTACATACATTAGTATTCCATATTTTGATGGTCTAGCAGAAGGACTCCGTTAACATCACTTCAGTGGCTGTATATATTATCCCTTGCCTTGTCCCAAGACCCAGTTATCAGAAGCTTTTCATCACCCGAATTCGGGATCCTGTCATAAAAGGCGAGACAGGTCACCGGCGCGTGGTGACCTCTGTATATCTGTAAAGTCTTCCCTGTCTACAAAATGCGCCGTGATCTCTCAAGTCGAGTGATGCAGATGGTCGAAAGTTGAAACGTACCTCTAAATCGATTTTCTTGGCCACATGCGCACTCTCAGCAATCCATGCGTAGTTGCCACGAATTTGAATGTCGATTGCGTTGCCGGTAAGCTGAATTGGAGACCCAAGAGATTTTGTTTTCTCCGCCTTTTGTCTGCGAGCCTGCCATCGATCTGAGCGACGAACAGCTGAAGCGATTTGAAGGACAAACTTCTGTCAGTTCAAGTTCAGCTGCTGATCTCAACAAATATGAGTGATCCGCGGTGATTTCAGACATTGTCGATATCGGTAAATGTAAGCCATTCGCGATTCAGTGGAATGACTATTTGGTATTAGGTAAAGGCTTCTGAAATAAACACATCCTGCATTCATGAGCAAGCGCCTAGCATCATTTCATGGCCCTTCTACGCCAACATCATCTCCTGCATCACAAGTAAAGAAATCAGTCACGCCAGCATCGCCATCCAGGGCTTCCGATGCGACTATTCATCGAAAATTTAAAACGTTGCTCTACGAGTTGCGCTCGATCGCAAATACATGGGATGATATCGTCCTCCTCGACGGCTTAAAAAGTGCGCGAACTCTAGTTGATTCCCGCACCGAATTGGAGTGTGTGCTTCATCTCTCATCCTTAGCGGTTGGTAATTATGAAGCCCTTCAGTAATGCACTTGCCATGGTCCCTGCCGATACACAGCCTGGGTCGCTCATCATTAGTCCAAAGCTCGACGCGATGGATGAATGTATCACTCTACTTGATTCTGTTCTCATGAAACTCGTAAGATGGTACCTGTCTTGTGATTCAATAGTAACGAACATTTGTTAGTCGAAACTATTGCGGAGAATGAGCACTGTGCTCGATAACATGGAGGCACTGATGTTTGAAGCAGAGAGGTTGAAGGGCTTTCAATGGTGCCACGAGGAACCTCTGTGGGTTTCATGGCCCATCGAGAAATTTGGTAGGCTAAGATCGCTCTTGTTGTGACTTTCTAACGAGGTTTGCAGTGCTGTCTTTGTCTGAGCTGACAACTCCTTATTATCGGTCTCTCGCACTTCATAAGGAACTAGTTGACACCTTGCGCAGTCATACTGTGTCATTCGAAGATTCTCGGAAGGCTATCAATCAATGGGTGGAGCAGCCTTTCCTAAGAGATGACGGTTGGGACGCAAAATGGGAGGACCTTTGTGAAGCAGAGGTTGAGAAATGGGACACAAGATAATACAGACCACTAAAAAAAGTAACAACACTCCCAATGTAATATAACAATAATATATCACCATTTATGAGTCTTCCTCGTCGGAAATATGGATCTCATCAGCGTTGTCCGCCTGTTGTGGCGCCAAGTCTGCTGCAGACGAGGCTTGGTCCTCATCTGGTCTTGGAAGAGCTGTCTTTTTGGCTGCAACGAATGCGGGACCTTTTGCTTGCTGCTCTGCAGCAGCCATCGGGTCTGCTGGCTGTGCAGCGGATGACTGCTCTGAGGTACCATTTTGTTGCGCTGACAACGTCTGGGCAGCAAGATATGATGCTTCGGTATTGAACTGGGCTTGGACACTCCGCTTGATACGAAGCATTTCCCTGAATGTATCTTCCGAACCCGTCTCGATTTCGAAACTGTTCCACTCCTGCCAGAACTTGGGATTGACGCGTGGGTCGCAGAATTGGGAAGCATGAGCATAAATGGCGCGAGCCCGGTCGATTTCGCCAAGTTTGCGTTCCAATGCTGCGAAACGTAGACACATCTCAGCAGTTTGCTTGTCAGGAAGGACCTCAAGTGCGCGCTCGAAGATTGGGCGGGTGGCTGGTAGGCCATAATTAGCTGTGGCCTTCGCGATGTATATAGTGTACATCTGTTACCATGATGTCAACGAAGGTCCTTATGGAATGCAACTGGGTGCGTACCTCAAATTTGTTCTCATCGGCGACAACCTGAGTTGCACGCTCATAAATAGACATGGCCCGCTTTGCTAGACCATAATCCTCTTCCAATTGACCATACATCAGGAACAGGGGCTTGCATGACTTCGGTGGACATTTTTCTAGTGCTTGTTCAAACAGGTCACGAGCCCGCTCCAACTTAGATCCTCCCTGAAAGGTATTAACAAGACGGGACAGATAACAGTTAAGCACAAAAGCACGTACATATCGCTTCACGAACTTCGCCAAATAAATATTCCATATTTCAAATGATATGGGGAAAGTGAAGACCTCTGTGCCGCGCTCGTACACCTGGTTGTAAGCACGTTGAAGAATCAGCCAAAAAGACAGTGATCAGATGAGCCGCACCTTGAAGCTGTCCTCCCAATATTGATTTTCTTCAAGGAAAGCAGCGTAGTTGACGATAACTTGAGCATTGGCAATCTTCAGATCCATAATCTTGTCATAGACAACCTTCGTCGATTCAACAGTCCCTATTGACTCCTCAAGGTCAACGTAGAATGACCAGAGCTTCAAGGATTTGAATAATCTGGCTTGGACGGGCAGTGACTGTCGGAAATCAGCAATTTTGACAAGTAGTCCACTAAAACGGGCTCACATGGTCATGATAATTGATTTTGGTGTTTTTAGGAATGGCAGCTGCGCGTTGCATAACTCTGACAGCCTCGTCATAGTTTCTGAGAGCAGACAGTCAGCAATTCAAATAAAAGCCTAAATGATGGTCCTCACTCGTGTCGAAGCTCCATCTCTGACCATTCACACCAAATGTCCGCGAGGTCCTCGACCGCTTTGAAATTTATTTTGGTGGCTTTCTCGAGAATTTTACGGGCGCTATCCAAGTCAGGCTCCGCCGAACCTGAGGATCCACCTTCCTCGTAGAACTTGGCGAAGTTAACGTAAAGTCTATGGAGGTTGGCAGTAGCCTTGCGGGGGTTGATAGTCTCCAATGCTTTGGTGTACGTGTCGGCCACCTGAGCACGCGTCAGATGAACCAATTTCAGCCTTCAGATTGATGCATACCTTTTCATCATCTTCGCCCCAAAGAGCAATTCTTTTTTCCCACTCCTGGACGTCGTTTGGATTTCTTCGGAGTAGAACATCGTTGACCAAAAACGGTCTTCTGTCGATAAGAGCTTCGAACTCCTTCATCTTAATGTCCATCTCTCGTTCAGTTTCCTTCGTGTCTTCGTCGTCATCTTCTTCTGGACTCTCGAGACTTTCCATCATTGCATTGATTAATGACTCGCAGAACTCTGCATATGCATCAAAAATCTGCGTGAAGTCCCTGATCGTCAATACCGTTGCGATGCCCGCTTCAAAGGTGCTTATCGCCCGATCAAACTCGCCACGTTTGATCCAGTAGGTCGCGAGCCCAGTCCAGAGACGGCCAGCTTGGTCTTTATAAACTTCAAGGCCGTCCTTGTGGACAATGCGTTCTATATTGAGCTTCCGTGGGCTGAGAGGATCTTCATCCTCATCGTATGCTCCATCAGTTCCAACCGGAACAGGGGGTCCATCCATACGTACGAGCTGCCCATCCGTTTGTGAAGATTCCGCGTCGGCTTTCGCATATACATCATTGGACTCGATTGTGGCTTCCACGTCAAACCCAACTTCATCAGAAAATCGCTCGACAATATCAAGGAAATCTCCAAGAAGCTGATATGAGCTCTTCCCTTCGGGACTGACATACTCCCCTCGTGATGCTTTTCTTGCCAGTGAGAGCAAGAGCTTGGCAGCTTCGAGAGGCCGTGGTACAGAGTCTACAGGAGAGAGGAGAATGGAGGTGTAGTGTTCGGTAACACTTGGATCAACAGTAAGGTAACGCCGGTAGACGGACACTGTGGTAGATCCGCCCTTCGTCTCGGCCCAGAGTAGATACCGAACCCATATTCGGGAATGTAGTGAAGGCGGTAGAGTACGCAAAGCTCGGTCAAATGTCCGACGAGCATGCGTGTGTGAGATGAGAGATGGGCACATAGGGTGGAAGAAGATGGATGTGTACATTAGCCATAATCTGGGTAGCTGAAATGATTCTGCAGTTAGTACAAACACAACGGTTTTGGCAATAAAGCGTACTTTGGGTAACCACATGAGGGCCCTTTCATATGTAGCAATCAGCGATCTCCATTCGCCCCAACCTACGACTCCGTTAAGGCCATCCTCCCATGACTCTAGGTCCTCCTTCTCCTCCTCTAAAGCATCTTTCATTTCCGGTAATTTCTTCCTTCCGCCAGCCCTTTTCTTGATCACCTGTCTGCCGAGAACATAGGACATTCTCATCTGGAGGTACGACTTCCATAGTTTGAACGAGCCAGGAAACTGAACAATAGCTGCTTCGTAAAGGTAAGCTAGACACTGCAACGAATGTCTAGCCAGTGGAGTCGCGAGTGGACCGAGGAGTGTCGCAATTTCATCGGGCACGTTTACGCGTCGTTCTGCCTTTAGTTGCGCGCTATATGCCTCTTTCGTCGTATGTATAGCAGTCCACCATGCACGAAAAGAGGATGGGTTTCGGAGAAGGTCTTCCTCGCGCTGAACATCCTTGATAGACAACAAGTTTGAATAGGTTGTAGGTGTCGGTATTGGAAGTGTCACAGGAAATTGGGATGCCAGTAAGTCCACTGAAGTCGACTTCTCTGCAACCGAAGGCATTTTGAGATCCTGGTATTGAGTTTTGAACGAGAGCACAGCGCCGCCAGAGTTAGAAAGAGTATTTATTTATTTATTTTTCTCAAGATCTAGTAAATATTGATAATCAAACTCTCCCTGCTCACTATTAACCAACTGCTATGGTAAGAATTACGTTCAGATCGTTCTGCGCACAATTTGAATAGGCATAAAACAGCATAACGTCAAACGTCATAAACAGACTCCAGAGGCTCTTGCTGAAAAAAGACAGCGAGAAAAGTCCAAGATCGATGAGTACCTCGCTTTAACAGACGATGTGTTATCTCGAGTACGAATCGCTCTCACTTGGGTACCGTCATCTTTCTGATTGAAATCTGTGTAGAAGAAGAAACAGGACTGGAGCAATGATGCTTTTGAATTGACGCAGCGTTTGCTCCAGATCAACCCTGAATTTTACACCGTGTGGAATTATCGTCGAAATATCTTACTCAACGGTATATTTCCTCAGAGGTGCGCATGTACGAACATGACGCGAAATTTCCTCAAAATTGGTGCTCTCGCAGTACTCCAGAGCAAATAAATAACCTTCTCTCTAACGAGCTTTCCATGACTACTACAGCTCTGAAAGCAAATCCGAAAGTCTACTGGATATGGAATCACCGTCGCTGGTGTCTCGAGAATGTCCCAGACGGGCCAGAACGCAACGAGGTACCGTCTATGGAATGGAGACAGGCAAATTGGGATAAGGAACTCTTTGTAGCGGAGAGGATGCTGGACGCAGATGCAAGGAACTGTGAGTCATCTCACCGCTGCAACCGCACATGTTTGATACCCACTTTCTCTAGTCCACGCTTGGAATTATCGCAGATATGTCCTCGCAAACATGCCCACACGAAGGCCTGAGACCTCAGAGTTGGCTTACACTTCTCGCAAAATTGGAGCAAATTTCTCCAATTTCAGTGCATGGCATCAAAGGTCTAAGACCTTGGTCGGACTGTGGGAAAGTGGTCAGCTGGATCCTATCCAGTCGAGAGACGACGGTACGTGCCTTTTTCAATCGGATTAACTTCTCTGAGCTTTTTTTCTTTTCTTTAACAGAGTTCGAGTTTGTAAGCAACGCATTATACACCGACCCAGAAGATCAAAGCGCGTGGATATACCATAGATGGCTCATTGGTTCCGGTTCGACAACAGGCTGTTTCATATGCAATTCAACGTGGATTGACTTGGTGCATTGAGCAGGGGAGAACAAAGCACAATTGGAACGCGAGATACAACTCATCTTCGAATTGCTTCAAGAGCAACCTGATAGCAAATGCAAGCGGTCATGTTTGTTAATCTCGCAACTTCTCAATTCTTTTTTACAGGGTGTATGGAGTCATTGGTCCACTATAAGCGACTTTTACTTCAAAATCACGCTCAAGATTCCCAAACGCTGAAACAGGAGTGCGGAGAGTTACTTTCTCGGTTGGCAGACTTGGACCCTATTCGGTACTTCAGATATCAGGATTTAAGTAAGCTCTCTGTACCAGTGTGCAACAAGGTGCTTATTATTTTCAGAGAGGGACCTCGATCAGTAGTTTATTTTGCTTGGTTTTCTGGTTAATCTATTTGTTGTTCGCGCTGATCAATTGCGTTCCATCTTCATCTCCGCCTCTCGGTGTCTTCAATAAGTCGTGACTGTTTTGATCGCTAGGCCTCAGGCTTAGCCTTGCATCCATTGGGCTTCCATACGTATTCCCTGTAAGTGAACCGCCTTTAAGGGATGTGGTTTTGCGGTTTGCGATAGTATGCATAGCCGTCTGTGGCAACACCCCAGTTCTCATCAACAACACCTTGGATATCTGCATTCGCACTGTTACCTGAGATAACGCTATATTTTACTAGACCCTATGGTTGTCAAGAGAGACGTCGCGGGAGGCGTGAGGCGCTGACAGTAAGTGTGCCCGATGATCTTTTTAGTGACAACACTTACACTTGGCTGCATTTTGTTTTTTAATGGTTATTGTTCTCAGACGCAGCGTCTCTTTCTTTTTATCTGCGTGTTTTACCACAAAACTCGCAACCCGCCCTCATTGCGAGTTCTCCCGAATGCCCTACGACGATTGTAATGTCAAGTTGTATCCCGTTCAGAACTTCAAGAATCGCGACGGCTAGACTGTTCAAAGCGACTTTTGTTTGCGAGAAACTCGGGTCTAACAGATTGCCTGTATTGTTTGTCCTTGATCTCGACATCAGAGGATGCATATGCTGCCGTGATGGGTTGTTGTCTGTGCAGGATAGTGCGTGACATATTTTTATATCCATCGTGCACGTTGGTTCAAAGACTTGGGTGTGTGTTTCACTGGGATTATAAACTTCAAGTCCGAAAGCTGGACCAGTTTGATTTGACTCAGACGAGGACGAGTATAAAAATAATAGGGGAAATATGAGGTATGTTGCTTCGATGCAGTGAAAAGGCTCGTTGGGATGAGGGAATATGTCCACAATCGTTCCGGTGTTGTGAGACTAAGTGATTGATCATCACTTCTATCCCCTTCACCATCTCGTTCAGCCACCAATTTCCTTTAAATCCGCAGTCACCGGTGTTACGCCCTCTGCGGATCCGCACTCACCCCTCTTGTTCTTTTTACATAAATATACATATCACGTTTTCAAGTTGCAACACTTGGGCTTCTATTCTCTAAGGCGCTTTACTGCGTGGACCGTCTGCATCGACGCTCACGAGGCGGTGTGACAAATCCATGTATCAGATGTGATACTAGGCTAAGGAGACATGACAAGTTCTTGGTGAAAGTTCTGCTGCTACTCCACTGACCGATATGTTCAACCCGAAGCACCCGAACCCTGAGTGGTCCATAACAATTATCACGCCTAGTCATCAGCAGCACCGTCAATTTGAAGACATGCAGCTCCTACACTAGCGTGATGCCTGTCAGCAACTTGTACGGGGGAGGTATTTTTATCGACCGGCCTGCAAGACATTTTTAAGACAGATCCAACAAGAATGCTACTAGCTTACTGTCTGCCCACAACGCTGACAACGTAGAACGAAAGGACTCCATGTGCAAGGAAGGCCACACAGCTCAAGATAGTTATGATGTTGACAACACTATTGTCAGACCAGAAGCAGGCGATAAAGATAGCTGCCCCAAAGCAAACGCCATACTCGTCAGCAGATCTGAACAACATCTAGTGCCTCACTCACACACAAACAGAAAAAAAGTAGCAACAGACAGACAGAATGAGGGGTATGCCAACCATAGCAGCAGCGCGATGACTTGGTGTCGTGGCATGCACTGTGCCGCGTGTCAGATCGTGAGCCAACGCAGACAAACGGACTCACTTTGAGGGTTTCCATGTCTTTGTGAGCGGTGCTAGTTTCATAGATAACAAGCACAGCAGATCCGGATATTACGCTGAGCAATGCGGCACCAAATGAAACCATGGCGAAGATGTACGAGATTGAGGAGTTATAAGCCATCAAATGCTCGATAGGAGGCACGGACGACAGGAATAGAGTAGCAGTTGCAAGTACGAGCCCGGCCTGAAGTCCAGCTATAGAACGTTAGCCATAAGGATCGGAATATATCAAACATACAGTGATGTTCGAGTTCTGGAATCGATTGACCATTATTGAGACATGGTCCTTCCATTCTTTGTTCTTTGTATCTTTCCAATGGTCGAGAGACTCCCGACAGACTGCAACAATGCACAAGATTTTGAACGCCAACCTCAGGATAGGATTATTGGGAGCTCGACAGTTTTCGGGGACTTGAGAGTTTACAGACTCGGACGTCATAGCAGGGATGCAACTTCTGGGCGCTTGAAGTGGGACTGGAGGGCAATAAGAAGACTGACTATCTATAACGTGGATACACGATGCACCACTCCACAGGACGAAATTCAATGGTTCGATTCGTTAGAGAATCAAACTAAGTTGACGAGAACGGCATCAGAACACTGCTAAATCACTGCGTGCAAAACACTCACATAACCCGTGTTCAGAAAGATCGTCGCTTGTGGGAACGGAATGCCATGAGGTACTTAGCCTGGCCTGCTGGATAGCCAGTGAATTCAAATTCTGATCAAGGTTTAGGCCCAGCCGGGTCACGTAGCGCTCAAATTTACGTTCAACGGTCTTCTCGAGCGTTTCTTTTATGGATGAGTCCATGGAAGCTGGAAGAATCAAGATCGAGTCCTTTCCTGCGAGAAGCGCTCGCTTGAATGTTAAGTGAAAGGCATTACTGGTGCGTGAGTTATATGTGAACCGTGCCACGATGCAGATCTATGGAGTCGAAGTCCTAGTTGCCAACTGGTCAGGACGAGCGCTTCATACTCACTGATCAGGATTATTCTCGGACCCGAAAAGGGTACGGGTATAACGATTTCTTAGTGATCATGATCACTCACACACGTTGTTCATATACATAGCCGGTCCGAATTAAGGGTTCGTGTTGGAGTATCGGGTGCCCTGTCCCAACTCGGAGCCTCTATCGGTTCCGAAATGAGGTAACAGTCTCATGACTCATGTCAATGATGAGGCTATGTATGGACTGGCCAAATCCAAATCCAACAAATCAATATTTGCTCACCTGGCCTTCCCAATAAGTAAGCCTTATTAAGCTTGGTGATTACGCGTATTGCCAAGCCTAACTAGGCTTGGTTACAGTCAAACTCCAACACCAGCATTAAATATCGCCCCAAGGGCCTTTTTACCTTACAGCCTACTACTACCTACCCGCTCAAAAGGGTAAGAACTGTTCCCCGCCCTCTTCATGTATACAGTACTTCCCGCGACCTCTCCAACTTATCCAAACTTTGAACAACGGCGGCTTCCCATGCCCCTTCTACTCTTCCTATACACCCTCGACATTGCTGAGGGGTCATAACCATGATCGCAAACAATCCAACCATCTGTCTAGTGTCCTAGGCACTGTACTACTCCCCTCAAGGCACCCTACCTGCCCACCACATGCCACACGCCACACCACACCACACCACACCATCCTCTTCATTCCTGCTACCCAGTATCCGGGCACCCGTGCTCCCAACATCTTCCTCTATACCTGCCCGCCACACGCCACACGCCACGCCATCCTCCTCATTCCCACTACCCAGTATCTGGGCACCCGCACTCCCAACATCTTCCTTTATACCTGCCCGCCACACGCCACACGCCACACGCCACACGCCACACGCCACACGCCACACGCCACACGCCACACGCCACACGCCACACGCCACACGCCACACGCCACACGCCACACGCCACACGCCACACGCCACACGCCACACGCCATCCTCTTCATTCCCGCTACCCAGTATCCGACATGCCACGCTGTAGAAACAACAATACAGAGAGGAACAAATGAAGCTCCAGACTGTATCTATAATGTTGTGAGGCCGCGCATTGCCTAGTCTGCTATACTTGACACGACAAGTGCGTTCGACCCTAAAGGGGAAGCGAGTGCAGCAAGGATCTAGAAGTAGATGCTGAAGGCACTACTGGTTGGCTGATGCGAAGCGCGGGAAAGCGCGCGTGCGTATATAGAGATAAGAGATGATAGTGCTACTTTCTAGAGAGAGATTCCAACTAAGCTGAGTTGTGTGTCATGAACATGGGGGTTCTAAACTACTTTCTGGTATGTACTACTGGCACTTATGTATGGCGCCTAAGCGCTGTCATGCGGAGCTGAAGTGCTACCGAGTAAGGTATGTAAAGATATATGTAAGTAAGGGTCCATGATAAAAATAAAGGTGGAACGATATGCAAATAAGAGAAATGGAAATATACGCACTAGAGAACTTGGTGGACAGTGGATGGATGCATCTGAATGGCTGGTGCTATAGGGCGCTCAAGCGTGGGAAAGCGCACGCGCATATACATCGTGAAGCGCGGGAAGTGCGCATGCATGTTGCACGTTGCGCGGGAAAGCTGCGCCTCATGTAGGAATAGCTGCGGACAGCATACAGAGTGATGCTGCAAGTTTGTGCCATGTACTCCCTAGTGAAAACTGCCATATCATGCAATGAGAGGCACGAGTCTCTACACCGGCACTAAGGTACAAAATTTGAGTATAGATCGCTAATTGACTATAGAAAGTTGAGGAGACATGCTGCAAGGGTGTCAAGATGGGATAGACACAAATGGTTGCTGTCCTTAGGATTCGTGTATCATTGCTTGGAGGATGAAAGGGTGCACCCAAATATATTTTCGAAACTCATCTGAAGACCACCTTCCTGCTCTTTGAATTATGTCTGGAGAGACCCCCACAAGCACGAGAGCTGTTGCTCCACCGGCTTGTATGGAGTGCCCACTGAAACCACAATTTGCAAAGATGTGCTGGAAATGTGTTGTAAACCAAGAACAAGTCAGAATTAGGCTGTTTGCGCGCAGCCACAGTTCCAGGTGATGAGGGAACACTGTGTCGCGAGACATCAGGTAATTCAAGAAAATCTCCATGCAATTGTCTTCATATGATGTGCATTGCACGAGCACCTGACTACCATGTCCAAACTTATCTGTCTTGGACACAGGTAGAATGTATGATACACAGTTGTCCTCGACGTCCACAGTGTGACACATAGGGACAATGTTGTAGGATTGAATGTGAGGTGCGTCAGGCCACACAAGTTCTCCAAGATGTTGAAGTGTTTTGAACCCAAAATATAGTTGTGCAAGGAAGAGGATGTCATCGTGATCTGCAGATGTATGATAATGCAAGAAAGCTGTATGGAGATTGTTGTGTGACAGGGGTTGTTTTCTTTTCACTGGGTGGCTGAAACATCGCTTGCAACCGGCGAGAGTTCTCTGCACCAAGCGCGAATGACGTTGTAGCACTTGAGCTTGCACTAGGCTCATATTCAGCTGATTCACGATTCATGTCCAATGCCCGTTGCATGATAATCACTTCCCACTCAATCCAATGCTTTGACAGCAGACCCGACGTTTCGGCTGTATTGGACCTGATATTTTCCTGTGCACTTGTCCTATCCATGTCCCTTCCTGTCTTGCTAGCCCCACTAGGTGCGTAGTTCATTATTTCGCACATTACTCACATTGCAGCAAGTGCTATCACATGTTTTCCCATAGTCCGCAGCACCTCGTGTTTATTTACATGTACTTCGGATCCGAAATATTCCACAGCTACATTCGCCTATGGGTTCCGCATTTCTATGTACTTACATATATATTGGACTGATCTCAAGCATTATTCATCATCCAAGTAGTGGGGAGCCGTTCCCTGATGCTTTGTGGTCAAACCCGATATTTTGTAGTTCTTAGTTGACATTGCAAATATTACCACTCTTTCTATCTGAAACACCCATCTTTATTGATATTCTGCATACCACTCGCTTTCCCGACATTCGCTATTGCTATTCCCGTAATCTGCTGAACCTGCACCCGAAACCCGCTGTAGAAACAACAATACTGAGAGGAACAAACAAAGCTCCTGACTGTATCTGTAAATGTTGTAAGGTCGCGCGTTGCCTAGTCTGCTATACTTGAGACGACAAGTGCGTTCGACCCTAAAGGGGAAGCGAGTGCAGCAAGGATCTAGTAGTGCGCGCCAAAGGCGCTACTGGTCGGCTGATGTGAAGTGCGAGAAAGTGCGCAGGTGCGCGCGAGGCGCGGGAAAGCGAAGGTACGCGCGAGGCGCGGGAAGCGCGCGCCTGTGTGAGCGGAAACAAGTGAGAGTAAGTGTGAGCTTGCTTAAGTGGTGATATGATGCAAGACAAGAGATGAGAGTGCGAGGTGCCAAGGAATAGATTGCAACTATACTCTGCTAGGTAGTCAGTGGGTAAGTGGGAGCTAAAGTAATTCCCTCCTGGTAGGTAATGCTGGCGCTTATATGGCGCCTAAGCGCTGTCATGCGGAGCCGAATCGCTACCGAGTAAGGTATGTAAAGATATATGTATGTAAGTAAGGGTCCATGATATAAATAAAGGTGGAATGATATGTAAATAAGGGAAATGGAAATACACGCACTAGAGAGCTTGGTGGACAGTGGATGGATGCTTCCGGAAGGCTGGTGCTATAGGGCGATCAAGTGCGGGAAAGTGCGCGCGCGTATACATCGTAAAGCGCGGGAATGGTGCGCGCATGGCGCGCGTTGCGCGGGAAAGCTGCGCCTCATATAGGGATAGCTGCAGATAGCACACAGAATGGTGCTGCAAGTTCGTGCAATGAACTCCCTAGTGAAAAGTGCCATATCACACCATGAGAGGCATGAGTCTCTACATCTCCCAGGGACTTAAATTCTGAGTGTCCCCACTCAGCGCGTGTGTGGTGAGGATTTTGTGCGATATTATGCGCGGGTGATGCATGTACAATGCTTGGGTTGTTGGGCGATGAATGCACAAGTGCAGGAATTATCACATGGTATGCGTGGGGCGCGGGAAGTTGCGCGCACATTGTGCGGTGCGCGGGAATGTGCGCGCGTTAGGCACGAGGGCGCGGGAATGTGCGCGCATTAGGCGCAGAGGTGCGGGAATGAAGCATAGCATGGTGAATTGCGAGGGTGACTCTGATGTGAATAATGCACCATGGGCGTGAGGCGATGATGTGAGAGTGATCTGGATGTGGCGCGCGAAGCGTGGGAAAGTGCGCGCGCACAAGGCGCGAGAAGGCGCGTGAGTGTTGCCTGTGTTGTATTCTGTGGGGACACAAGGTGCTGTCGCGCAATGATCTCAGAGTCCAATATGCGTGCGTGGGCATGGTGCGAAGTGGCGTGGTCCAAGAGCGATCCAGTCCATGTCCAAACCAAGTCCTGCTAGGCGCGCTAAATATTAGGTGCTAAAGGGTTGAACAGCATGAGTAAAACTATATGTGAAAATGCGAAGGAAAAACAGTAAACTTTGCGGATGTCCTATCCGACTTGTCTTCTTCGTGCGGCTGTCGACATCTACACCTTCCTATGAGCAAGGCGCGGGAAGCGCGTGCACGCGCGCACGAGGCGCATGGGCGCGGGAAGATTGCGCGCATATGGGCGCGTTCTAAGGTAAAAAGAGCATGGTGCCGCATCATGCGTGCGAAGAGAAATTAATATCCTATTGAGCTAGGTGGGCACAATCTAAGGTTGTTTTGTTCTTTTTCTTCTATGTTCTTCTAGGTGATTCCTATATGCATATATATCAGTGTGTTATTAGTCCTTGGGACGGTGTTATAATGAGAGAAAATAAAAATGAAAGAGCGCTGGACGAAACCCAGGGTAAAACGAACGATATCCTATGAAACAGTGTTGGTATATGTTTTTCTTTAGTGCGCCGCTGAAGTGCTCAATCCTCCTCCTTGAGCGCGTGCGAGTGCACGTGACTAGCGCACTACGCGTCTCTTGCGAGCTGACACTTTACCCAAGGTAGGGTTGGAATGCGCTTGGGGGGGCTTGTAACCGGCAGAATAAATTCCTGCACAACGCGCTGCAGGTTAAAGGCGCGCCAGTGGGAGGCGCTGCGAGGGGTGTAGAGGTGCTCTACAAGCTGATAGGATGCGCGCGATGTGCGCGCCTTGGGGCGATTTCGCGCGAATTTGATTATATTGGCCGAACACGCGAGGAACGGCCATTTCTCTGCAAATGTGTTAGCGAGAGACATATATAGCATGGAATTAGGCGCAAATGTTGCGCAAATGGGCTGTAAGGGTGGTTTATCAAGGCGCAATAGGCGCACAGGTGAAAAGGAATAGTGCACATTAGGGTGTGCAGGAACGAAATTGACATGGTAAGCAAAAACGTGAAGAATGCGAATAAACGTGGAAAGTGCAAAGTTAAAGATGATGATAGGGGAGTTAGGCGCATATGTATGCATCAGGCGCGCGCCTAAGTCGCGCCTGGATGACTGATTGGAATATATTTCGCGTGGAATGACAGAAATGTGATTTAAAAGGGGAGGAACGATAGAAATGCGATAGTGCGAAAACTCTGCTAAAATAATGAATGCGCGAGGCGCGGGAATTATCGCGCGATGCGCGCGATCATGGCGCGTGAATGAGGGGTGGTGCGAAGATGAAGTTAAAGTGTTTGGAATTGTCATATAGCTCCTTAAGAGCTTTAAACATGAAAAAGACAAAAAACGCGAAATGAGATGAGGATAAATATACAATGCCTCTAGGTGCGCGCATTGCACGTCCTTAGGCGCGATGTGGTGCGCCTGAGTTACCCCAGGGTCGCCTGAGACATGCTCTGCTTGGTGGTTGGGCAGTGCGATACACGGATGCTTCAATGGCAAGCGATAGTCACTGGAAGCAAATAGCACGATGTGCACGTGATCGTTAGTGACAATTGGGATTACCGGAGGCAAACTCTGGTTGATGCATGGTGCGACTTGAGCCTCTGATGCAGTAGGAGGCTCCTCTATAGGCGCGCTAAGGTGCAATAGATGTTTAGGGTCATCCCTGACCTCTGATGATGCGAGCGGTGATAGCGGTGATGGCGATGGTGCGATGGGCGAGGTTTCTTCCTTAAGCGATGCGATAGGCGAGCGTGTTTCGGGCGATGGTGTAATATCTTCCATAATGGGCGCGTTATTGTGCAATAGATGTTTAGAGTCATCCCTGACTATGGGCGATGTGATGGTGATGGGTGAGCGTGTTTCAAGTGGCGCGTTAGTGTGCAATAGATGTTTAGAGTCATCCCTGACTATAGGTGATTCGATTGATGCTGATGCGGGGCGTAAATGAGAATTGTCAGCGTGCAAAACAGGCGATGAAAGAGATGATGATGGGGGCAAAGAGGTGCCTGTGGTGCGCTTCTGGTTGCGCTTTGCGAGTGCGTGCTTGAGTTCGTGATCTAAAGCGATGCAGTCTGGTATAGCTTTGCGTGCTGGCGCAGTTGATGGTTCTGGTGCGTGTGAATCGCGCGAAGGCGCGGGAAAGGCGCGGGCGGGAGGCGTGAGAATAGGAACTGGTGGCCTTTTGTCAAGTACTACATCTGAGGGTGTGCGATAGAAGAGTCCAGCTGTCACACTAGCGCTAGTGGTCGTATCCTGGGTTGCGCGGCTCGCGTGATAGTGATCCTTGCACTTAGCCACTTTAGCTTGTACTGGTGCAGTTGCTGTGAATGAGTTCGCAATTGGCGCTACCACAGGCGCGCTAACTGGCGCGCTTGGCGCGGGAAAAGCGCACGCAGTTAATAGGAACTGCGCAGCTGCGAAGACGTCCATAAATGGGTATGGGTCGTATGGATGGTGGTCAGGGAACTTGATCATAAGGCGCAAGTGAATTTGCGCCTGAGCGTTGCTAGGGATTCCTTCCATGAATACGCGGTCGCGTTCGGCCTTTCCAATGCGGTCTTCATCCATAAGTGGCTGCATGATCTTCCTGAATGCGCGCAGGTAATTGCTTAGTTCTGTGCAAGAGGGCATCGGTTTGTTAGCGTATTCGCGCGCGATGGCGCATAGATCCGCGAGCGCGTAGCGCCTCTTTCCATCCCATCCAGGATACATTACCTTAACTTCTGCCATGAATGCGTCATAATCATCTACTGCCGCTTCAGGCATGCCTTTCCATAGTTCTCGATCATCGCGCTCAAGGTAGCGAATAATACCTTTGATGCGGTCAAGTCCTTGGAGTCCTGCTTCCTCAGCGAGCTGCTCATATGCGTCAATGAATTCAGCGAGGTTGTCTGTAGTGCCATCGAACTTGGGCGCATTTGTTGTGCCGCGGATGGGCATTCTAAAGGGCATTGAAGCGCGGGAAAGGCGCGCGCACGAGGCGCGAGAATGCGCGACTACTAATGGTTAGCTTGTGTAAGTGCAAAGAGATTGACCTATATATATGCGCTAAATGGCGCTAAGTGCGAAAGTGCGTAAAAGTAGATCTTGCTGACTGTTCCCCTCACGGTGGGCTCCAGTTGTAGAAACAACTATACTGAGAGGAACAAACGAAGCTCCTGGCTGTATCTGTAAATGTTGTAAGGTCGCGCGTTGCCTAGTCTGCTATACTTGAGACGACAAGTGCATTCGACCCTAAAGGGGAAGCAAGTGCAGCAAGGATCTAGTAGTGCGCGCCGAAGGCGCTACTGGTCGGCTGATGCGAAGCGCGAGAAAGTGCGCAGGTGCGCGCGAGGCGCAGGAAAGCGAAGGTACGCGCGAGGCGCGGGAAGCACGCACGCACGTGAGCGGAAACAAGTGAGAGTAAGTGTGAGTTTGCTTAAGTGGTGATATGATACAAGACAAGAGATGCGAGTGCGAGGTGCCCAGGAATAGCTTGCAACTATATTCTGCTAGGTAGTATGTGGGTGGTAAGTGGGAGGTAAAGTCTAAGTTGGAAAGTTCCTCATAGTATGTAATGCTGGCGCTTATATACAGCGCCTAAGCGCTGTCACGCGGAGCCGAAGCGCTACCGAGTAAGGTATGTAAAGCTATATGTAAGTAAGGGTCCAAAATAAAGGTGGAACGATACACAGATAAGAGAAATGGAAACATACGCACTAGAGAACTTGGTGGACAGTGGATGGATGCTTCTGGATGGCTGGCACTATAGGGCGCTCAAGCGCGGGAAAGCGCGCGCATGGCGCGTGTTGCGCGGGAAAGCTGCGCCTCATATAGGGATAGCTGCAGATAGCACACAGAATGGTGCTGCAAGTTCGTGCAATGAACTCTCTAGTGAAAAGTGCCATATCACACCATGAGAGGCATGAGTCTCTACACCGGTCCATATTTCCTAATATACTACCGGCCGGTGCAATTTCAGGGGTGGTTTGGTTGTGTCAATCAGTTCATATTTGATTGAGATACAGGCAATACAAGATTCCATGCTAATTGACCGGGCAGGTGGATATCGATTCAAATTGACCGGTTCAAGTGGACCAGTCCATATCCTGCATTATATGGGTAAATGGGGCACAATGAAGATGAGTGGGCCAAGGATCACTACCATCCAGTAGAATTTAGACCGGTACATTGATCATCCAATACATTTGCCATCCGGCAGGACATATCATCCAGTACATCTACCAGTCTTGTTTCCCACCAGGCCTCTGGACCATCAAACTACCAGACCTCCGGACCACCAAACCACTGGACCTCCAGACTACCTGTTTTTCATGATTACACCACCATTGAAATTGCCTTGATGAATACTACATTACTGACAAACTGATTGGGGTTGAAACCAATTGGCAACTGGCAACCGGACCCTTAGGATATGTCCTATATATGTCCCTAATCATGGTCCTAAAGTTCTGGAAAGATCCCTCAAGTATTTACTGTAAGATAAGCAAAACAACATAGGCTTGACATATGACAATTGACCCCTGTCACTGAAAGTCACTGATATATATCATACAGGTCGAAGATTTTATTAAAAATGTAGTAGTATATATAGTAGACTACCTAATGAACCTAAACTGCACATTGCCCTGCAGGTAGAGTGTTTGTAGAAGAGTGTGGTGAAGAAGTATTAGGATTGGTGAATAAAAGTCCAACTACTACATGTACACCAAACTGGTAAGTTTCAATGTTTTGGGCTTTTGGACTTTCCCACACTCTATTTCAGAGGTATTTCACTGCCCTAGCTCTCAACTGTTAGCAGATCCTTCTAGAAATCTGGGACCATGATATTGACCATGCTTAGAATATAATGCAATATGGACTGATCCACTTGAACCGGTCAATTTGAATCGATATCCACCTGCCCGGTCAATTAGCATGGAATCTTGTATTGCCTGTATCTCAATCAAATATGAACTGATTGACACAACCAAACCACCCCTGAAATTGCACCGGCCGGTAGTATATTAGGAAATATGGACCGGTCCACTTGAACTGGTCAATTTGAACCGATATCCACCTGCCCGGTCAATTAGCACTGACTTTTGTATTGACTGTATCTCAATCAAATATGAACCGATTGACACAACCAAACTGTTAAGACCGTGCACAAAGGGTAGGACTGATTCCGAGGGGCTTGGCTTCAGCTCGTGCGCTGCGCCCCTTACCCGAGTATGTGCCCTTAATTTCAGAATGATGTCCGAAGAAAGTCCAAGGACGTCCGAAGGACATCTAAAGCGCGGGAAAGTTCGGAAGGACTTTCCGGACGAGTGCAAGTAACTTCCGGACGAGTGCGGGAAAGTTCCGGAGGAACTTCCGGAAATTACGATGAGGTTTCGTCCTGATACGGATACGTGTAATGGCTACTTAGGACAAGTCCTAAGTAGAAGCAAACAGAGGAAAGGCTGCAAGGACAAAGTCCGAAGCAGAATAGGTCCGGAGGACTGCGGGAAAGTTTCGGATGAACGTCCGGAAACTTCGGAGGATCGGATGAGCGGATAAGCGGATGAGCGGATAAGCAGGGATCGGATAAGCGGAGCTCTGGCCTAGGGAATTTCTCCCTAGGCCCGAGATGGATATTGACTAAGTCGATAGACTAGAACTGATATGAGGACTTAGAGTGAGATCTAGTGCGAGGACTAATATGATATTCAGACTGAGGAACTACAGGACATATACAAGAGTTTATATACTAAGGAAATAACAGAAAGATCAGTAAGCAAGCGTCCGAGGCTATGTATGAATAAGCAAAGTTATCAAGCGCGAGTCGGAAATGAAGCATAGGTTAATGGATCAGTAAGCATACCGGTAGTAAGTATAACCGAGATACCGAGGACAAGGAATACCGAATAGAGGAATAGGCTGTGTCAACGTTATATGCACAGGAATTGAATTAGGAAGCTTATCGTATATCGGATCGGACCGGACCGGATGTCCGGACAAGAAGCGTGGATATACGGGATATGATATTAGGGCAATAGGACAAAGGATGAATGATGCAGGCTAGCTGCGGAGGTATGGAGGTGTGATGTACGGAGATAAAGGGATCTTGTTAAGACCATGCACAAAGGGTAGGACTGATTCCAAGGGGCTTGGCTTCAGCTCGTGCGCTGTGCCCCTTACCCGAGTATGTGCCCTTAACTTCAGAATGAAGTCCGGAGAAAGTCCAGTGAAGTCCGAAGGACTTCCGGAGGAGCGTGGGAAACTTCGGAAGGACTTTCCGGACGAGTGCGAGAAACTTCCGGATGAGTGCGGGAAACTTCCGGAGGAACTTCCGGAAATTACGATGGAGTTTCGTCCTGACGGGGATATGTGTAATGGCTACTCAGGACGAGTCCTGAGTAGAAGGAAACAGAGGAAAGGCTGCAAGGACAAAGTCCGAAGCAGAATAGGTCCGGAGGACCGCGGGAAAGTTCCGGAGGAACTTTCGGAAACTCGGAGGAATGGAGGAGCGGAGGAGCGGAGCTCCGGCCTAGGGAATTTCTCCCTAGGCCTGAGATGGATGATTACTAAGTCGGAGGAATAGAACTGTTACGAGGACTTAGTGTGAAGACTAGTGCGAGGACTAATATGTGTATGATATTCAGACTGAGGAAATACAGGAGTATCTACTGGGGTTTATATACTAGAGGCAAGTCTGTGCAGATCAGTAAGCAGAGGGGTAAGGCTATGTACGAGCATGTGGAAATGTATTAGAAAATAAGACGGATCATAGGAAATGAACTCGGAGATGAAATGAGGTACGGAAAATGAGGAAGTCTAACTCAAGAAGGAACATACAAAGGGATAAGGCACGGAAGATAGACGTGGGTCGGATCTGGATGTTCGGAAGTCCGGAGACAGGTGATTACCATAAGGGGATGGGCGCTGATTTAAGGTTTGGGTTCGGACATGACAGATAGGTCGGATCCGGAGATCCGGAGATGTGGATATCAGATCTGGCATCCGGATATCAGATGCAGGAGTACAGGGATCCGGACAGATAGAGGATTGGGTCTGGAGACATGGACAGGAGGTCCGGAGGTCCGGATGAGGCGTGGGAACGTCGTCAGATGTTGGTCCGGAATGCGGGATATGACAGATCTGGACATGGATGCGCGGATGTGGATGTGCAGAGGTGCAGGGATCCGGATGGGTAGAGGACTGGAGACATGGATAGGGCGTCCGAAGGTCCGGATGAGGCGTGGGAATATTGTCGGATGTAGGTCCGGAATACGGGATATGACACCGTGCACTAGACTGTGCCTTGCTCTCTCATTGATTGGTTTTGTAGCATGCCGAGCCATCTAGGAAGTTGGATTTGGTTCCCCGGGCCTACACAACGACTGACCACCTTCTTTACATCAAATATGATTGGGTAAGTCCGCCTCAAAATCTTAAAAGTTATGTCACATCATAAAATTGCAGCCCACCCTTGGCATTCAGAAAACAACAGCCTTTCTCGCTGAGTTTCCCCAGGGACGCAGCCCCATTGACATCGCTGTCGCTCTATCACAGCTCTTTCAGCCCTTTCAAACCTCCATGATTTCCCCAGCGTTCAACAACTATCACCCATTCCAGCCACCTCTTGTTGTCCCAGAGCCAGAGCCTCCTGTGTTTGACACACTCCCGTTTGGACGAACCCTGATTGTCCCTGAGGTACTTCCAGTGGTGGATTCCCGTGATCCTTCTGTGAACATGACTAGTTGCACGACGAATCTCGACGATGTCACACAACCTGAAGTGCAGCAAGCAGACGGTCCAGACACACTAAGCATCATTCAAGAGCAGTATCCCCAGTGGAAAATAGTCCTCATTCGCTTGAGGGTCGAGATGACATCCGACGTTGCCCTTGGAAAACCCATCAATCTGTTCTTACTCACACAAGTGAATTACTGCAAGGAAAGGGTACAATTTGTCCACGAGCTCTTCCAACAAAGCCTCGCTGCGGTCGGGATAAGTCGCACAGCTCTGGATCGTGGTCAGGAGCTCATTCATATAATATTCTCAGTACATTCTGACTCTTTTCTAGTCATATCACTCGATGGCCATACCCATATTTTGGAAGATACTATATTGGGGATGGTACGTTTTCTTCATTGATTCTATTTACGTTTCTCACCTAAAGTAGGTCGGTAAATGGTTGTCTGCCCTTCTGTCTCTCATGAAACGGGCAGCTACCATTGCAATCGCAGATGGCGGACTGATGACCAATTTTACCCTTCAAAACCCATGCCCCTTCGCCTTACAGAGTGAAATGTGTTCCACGTGTGTACAATTGATGAACATGTTCATCTCTCCCAACTCAACCTGTTTCCCGATTGCCGTCAGTTTTTTTCATTGACTCTAGGTGTCGATATCTTATTTTCCGCAGACTAACGATTTTGTGCGGTTCCTTTGCATGAGCATTGCGAAATCACTCGTTTACTATCTGGTATACCAGCCCTCTAAATCGGCCAATGTGACGAGGATTATGGCTGATATCAACTGCCCTGTCTTCAGGGACGCCTCACACCTGCCCCCGGCGACGTTAGCGTTTGCAGGGGTCTGCGTAAGTCGCTTCTGCATTACGGGCTCTTATTCATCTAAATGTGCCCCATTGTGTCAGTGTTACAGTGCCCTATTGTCCTATCTGATAGATATAGTCAAGACAGGGGGAGTCGACATTGACTTGTCACAGTTCCCTTGTGTTAGCGAGGTTTATGACGAACTTCTCGGAATGGCTACGGTCCTCTTCGCACAGGAAGACGACCTAGAACTCCCAGTACTCCGGGTTTACCTCGCAGAGTTTTGTAACCTGAGGTGAGTTGACATGATATTCATTTTATTGCTACTGATTAATGGAATGCAACATGCAGGAAGACTGACATGGTCAAGATCGCCCGCCACAAATAAGTCGAGCTGAAACATAATTCGCTTTCTATATGTTGTTGAGTCATCAGTTGGGTTTGAATGTACATGGCCCTGCGTTGTGTTGCGAATCTTGAGATATGTGAGGACTAAGAAGCTCGTCATGGTAACTACAGCAACCCAAGTCAGATTGTGGCAGCTACGACCCGCAGGCATGGTTCATGCAAATGAGCAAGTATGTCTACAACCCTCCGGTAAGCACCGATACCTAAACCCACCAACTGTACACTCCAAAAATCATCACACAGGGACTTGCCGACCGATGGACTTTCCACGTCATACATTGATATTTGGTAATTCTTTTAATTACTTATTCATGCTGTGTTTTTTTATAGACCGCCGGCGTACAGCCACCACTGCTAGAACCGCTGTCGCACAGCCACGGCCTCTAAACTCCCTTGTAAGGCCTAAATGATCGCATGTGAGCCTCTTGTTGCTCCCCCCCCACTTCAATATGTTAAATATCAGTTCAGCTTTTCTTCCTACATGTAACACTCCTGCGACAAGATACTTGCTTGGTGAACACACCGAGAACGCCCTGAAATTTTGGCTGCAGAAACAGGGACGTGAAATTGTTAGTGCACTCACATGTTTTGCATATTGTTTTCTCATAACATGAACTCCAGCTTCCAGACTCCCTCTTGATTACAGCATCTGTGTTGTTTGGATGGGTTGACCCCCTTGATCTCATCGCCGTCCTTCATATAAGCCTCAGGGTCTCCGCAGTGGAGAGACAGCTCCAGCAGAAAGAGTACACTAGCATCACCTTCCTTGTGCAAGGAGGGTGTTGCTTGATGGAGCAGAGGATGTATAGAGCTCAGATGGAAGTTTCCTTATTTAGTAAAGCTATTGTGAATGTGTATGAAGAGCTGAACACCCAATACCACCCACGTAAGCCATTCTCTCATGACATGATTTTTGACACCAATCTTCTTCTCCTAGCTACACGGCAAAGAGAAATTCTCAGAGAGAACCCTGTCGTGCATGTAGGAACGCCCCTCTCTGTTCATGATGATGCCTTGTCGGTCGATTTTGATCGCTCTCGACCATCAAAAGCTACTCGAGAAAAATGTGAGGCATGGCTTTCCACGTCATGGCAGTTTCAGACGGATTTCCCGCAAACTCGAGAAGTTTACGAACATGTCTCAAAGGTCAGTAGTATTCTACTTTGAGGGACTCGGTGTTCTGACACTATGCAGACCAACGATACATTTCTTCCCCTGCCTTATTTGATGAAGGCCTGGGTTAGTAATGTCACATATGGTGACTACATCAGCACATCCTGTGTAGACACGAACCCCTTCTACCTTGACAAATCCGACAGCTTCAAAACAAGGGAGGACAAACCGCTGGATGTACTCAAGTCCGATTTTTGTATTCTGCAGCTGATGAAACGACGTGCCCAGTCCGAGGTGGACATGTTTTCTGAAGCTATTGCACGCACTGCTGGGATTCAGTGTACTAATGATGGTGGGTTTGCAGTTTTTACTTTTGTTGTCTTACTAATGTGACTGTAGGCACGTGCACATCCTCTGGAAGTGCTATGACTTATGAATCACGTCTACCCGGCAACACCTCTGATGATTGGTCTGACGATTGGTTTGATGATTGGTTTGATGATTCTGTATCCTCCAATGGCTCTGCGCTCATGTGACACTCTCGCCTGTAGTTGTACCTTGCCTTGAAGTGCAGTGCGGAACATGCATAACTATTGTATTGATATGCCATATTACGCTGTCTGTACGTTTGACTGGATCTTTATTTATATTGTGTTATCCCTATCATTATAACTTTGGTTATCGATTTCTATCTGCATAGTGTCTACGTTTCAGGCAGTCGAACTATAGGTGCCATGGTTTGAACCTGATCAATGGTCTGGTTCACTGCGACACCATTGAACGTGACCGAACCGAAGTATGTATGGTTCTTTGTCTGCTTTGTATAGGTCGGTTCTTCATTGGTTCTTGAACGGTTCCAAACGGTTCCGAACCTCACGATGCTCAGTATTCTTTCCGAGTCGGTTCCAGAAGATTTTCTTCCATTATTTAATGTGACATTCTCGTCGGATGTGAAGAGTTCGAGTGTCTCATCGCTCTTTGTCCTGTAAGTGAACCATGAAAAGCTACCTTTGATATTTTCATTCATTTTTAGGCTATTACCTGCTTCACAACTCTCCCGGACGGAGAGTCCTGAGGCATCAAGGTTTCTAAACAAGTCTTATCAAGGCTTCAAACTCGAACGTGCAGACTGGAAAGTCCATGATGTTGTCAAGGTATGTTGCCATGGAATAACACCTTGCTTGTTTACTGATGTCCTATTGTAGGGGCCTGCTATTGCACAACAATCTTTCTCATCTGCAAAATACCCAACAACCTAGGTATGATCCCTACACTCCAATGTCTTGACAATCATTAGAGATTGATGGCAAGTAATGAATGGTACGTGTCAGTTGCCGATGCCATCCAACAGGGACTCACTCAAGAATGCCGAAAAATATTGCAAGAAGGCGAGTGAATCAGACATTTACCCCATCTGTCTCGGTGAGTTTTTGTGTTTCCTGCTTTGCATTGTTGTTTCTCTCACATTTGAAGTTCTCGACCCAAACTATAAGCTAACTTATATTGAAAGACAATGGACTCCTCAGGAGGTCGCTCCTGGACAGGCCTGCCTCAAGGTGGGCTCGGACTGATGCTCAATTTTTTGTGCTGACAATCAGCATGCTCACCGCCTGCAACGTGCTGCACCTGATGCCAACTTGAACGCATCATGGACGACAACTGACTGGGTGAAAGGCACTCTCACCCACTCGGCTAGACCGCCCATTCCATCTCTCTCATGAGGTCGCCGTGCAGTATCCTCTTATTGATTCCGCAATCTCCGTGAATTCTGAAATGCCCCACGTGTACCACTGGGTGCACCACTGGCTACACCAGCCAGCCTTAAAAAGTCAAGGAGCTGCATTCTCGAAGACACTTGAAGTTGTGGGCAAGTTTTTCTTCTGGGCTGCCTTCCCCCAATACAATGACGAACAGGTGAGTCATTCGCCCCCCTCCTTCTCTTGCAGTGCTCTCTTGCAACTTCTGCAGGTTCATTCATAATGCTGCCTCAATGGCAAGCAAGTACTCTCTCTTGATGCCTGATGATCTGCCTATGCAGACCACCTCCAAGCACTGCCGAATTGCTGCTCATTACGTCAAACAACATGTCAATGCTAACTTACGAGACATTGAGAGGTAAGTCTATGCCCAAGCCCAGTTTTACACCGCACTGACAGGGTTTTTTTTATTCCAATAACGGTTGTTTTACAGGCGAGGAAGCCTAGAGGCATTCTTGAATCAGGAGACGGGCATTGATCAGGATGCTGTCTTGGCTTACCTTTCTGATGGCACGCGCTTGCGTACCGACAATGTTTGTGAGCTAGTGGGTGCACATGACCAGGCAAGTCGTATTCTCACTGCAAACACGGAAAACATTAACTTCACAAACAGACTATCTATGTTTTCAACAAGTATTATTTGGATTTTGACTTAAACGACGTGCTTCACGAGCTAAGGGTTAACCTACCACTACAACCTCCGATTGAAGGTGCGTGGCTCCCAGCCATACTTGATATTTTGATGTCAGCAAATTGTCACAGATTCAATTTCTACAACTCCTCCATATCGACCTCCACAACTCGCTGCATCTTACACATGCACCTCGAACATGTCGTCCATACCGTAGCCACCCTTCATCGTCAACATTAAGTAGCTCGAATTGCATCCAGCAGCCTCGAACTGAACATCCTTGCTATAGCTGACATCTTTGATGTCATCGCTATGACAGCCCATAAGGACCTCAAACGTCAGGCTGCGCTCCCTGCTGGTCTGGATGCGGATTTGGAAATTATAAGCCGCATGAAGATACATATCAAATTTTTGTCACCTGCTGTGAGAACTGCAATTGAGGACAGAGAGCAACCAAGGATGCTGGGTGATTATGTATCGAATGTGAAGATGAGACAGGTCGCTGACGCGTGTGCGAGGACGCATGGTATGTAATTGAAAACAAGTTGGGATGTCATTCTTATGTTGTCGGTTTAGAGGATCTCCGGGCTCAGTTCCAAGGCGCTGAGAAGTCAGCGGCCAGATTAATGAAGGGAACTGATTCTGTACGCGCAATAGTAATGAATACGCAGTTGGTGTTCCTTATCCTATGATAGTCTGTATATCTTACTCATTCATAGAATTCTAGAGAGTGCGCATGCCTCAGGCCATCGGGCGCAGGAGATTCTTGAACAGGCCTCGGACATTACAGCTCTTGAGAGTCCTGCCATGGATTCAAATAGCTTTCTTCGTGGTATGTCTGATTCATAGATGCATCAATGAGGTAATCATGTTTCAGAGCTGAAACATCTTGATGGTGTACTGCGAAACGAAGTACAAGCTGTTACCGAAGCCAAGGTTTGTCTTCAAAGTTGATGAAAGTGCTCTTCTTGATGCTTTGTAGAACGCATATACCGAGCAATGTATCGGGGTCCTTCGGCAAATCAGTGCCTTGAATATCAACATTGTGCAGCTGCCAATGACCTTATCTAACCTGCAAGGCAAATTCAGGGCTAAGAACAGCTTTTCTCACATACAATCATAATATGCTGTATGCATATGGTGCCACTGTCATTGAGATCATGCGACGCAAGGAATTTGGTCAGTCAATGCAGTATTGTGTGACCCCATGTCTGATCTCTTAAATGCAGCTCACTTTTTCTATCAGCGTGCACAAAGCATTTTGGAAGTGATGGCCAAGCTGTCATAAGTCCATGAAAGTTGTGATACTATGTTACAACTTCTGACGAGTCTGTAGTGCAAGCGAGTGGAAGCGTCGACAGGTATATAGAGGGGAAGTGCATGTATGGTTAACTGCCATTCGATATGAAAGGAATGGATGATGTTGTACCGACTATCGACTTTTCTCCTTCCGGTAGCAAAGAGCCGTCGTATTCGCTGAAACGAGATGACATTGATGGTATTGTTTTGTCCTCTAGGAAATTGGCCAAACTCATAGTGAAATACCAGTGTTGCTTCAAGTCCTGGGTGATCTGGAGTCCTGGGCGCAGTCAAGTTCAGACCCTGTGGCGATGGGCTCAATACAGGAAGCAAGAAGTGCAGTGGATAAGCTCATAACTAAGATGGATAATCTGGAAGCTGGGTTCGACCATATTGCTGAGCATTCTTGTGAGTAAAAATCAATCGCCAGACACATCTAGTTAACTTCGTGCAAGTACTCTCGGCATCACGACTGTCCTCATCATGCAGAAGGTGTAAGTCAATATTTTTTCTATTTTTGTTCTAATATGGGTACTCACGTAAGTCACAGTAACAGAAGCAAACAAGCATGCATTTCAAGAACTGGCTGAGCAACTGCACGAAATGCAAGAATCCCAGGCAAACCAGGAAAAGTAGATACAACAAGAGTGGACGTCCTTTCAGGCTGAAATACATCGACTGCATAGCGATCTTCAAACCACTGAACTCACATCTCACTCCGAGCGGGAACGTGCGGATATACTGGAGTATGAGCTGCACCAAGCCAAAGTGCAGATTGAAAGCAAGGTTGCAGCCCGACGCATACTGGAGCGCTGTAATCTGGAGTTGGCCCAAGACTTCAAAAAAGAGCGACAGAATCGTGTTCTAGCACTTGTTGATGCAACGGAACAGACATGTGCAGTTGAAGTAATGAGGCAGGAGTCATCGCAGGTCCATTCGCGAGCAGAGGAAGTGAAAGCTTTGGAGGCTAGGAATGCATCAAAAATTTCCCAGCTGGTCGAGGAGCAAGGAACAACTCTGCAGAACCTGGAGGCAACACGTTCCAGAGGGGAAAACTTGGAAACCCAGATCCAAACTGCTCGCTCTGAAGGTGAGGAGTTGAACAGAGCACTGAAGAACACTAACCTGGAGAAAGATAGCAAGAGCAAACTCCACACCTGTTGCTGGTCCATCTTCATGCCTATATCGACCCACGGCTGCCTAGCGTGTCTCTAGGCGCTGAATTGTCACCCGAGTTCTCGCTGGATGTCAGCATGTCAGATGGACCGAACACTGTTGTCACTCCAGAACTCGAGCTGCCAGCTGTGACCAAAAGGTACTACCATTTTCTCAGCTCGCACACTTGGTTCCAACTTGAAGCTCAGCCTTGCAATCTTGTCATCATCCATACTCACATCCATACTCGCTCTCCCCATCTCGCATTACCTCGAGATTCCTTTGGATCCAATTAGCCTCACTGAAGCTCTACCTTTCTTTGTGTGCATGGTTGGTTTCGATAATTTCCTCCGTCTTGCAGCTGCAGTATTCAACCATCCTCATCTGTTAAGGAGGGCAGGTGGCGTGGCCAGATGAAACCTGCTGGCAAAGTAGTTATGGAAGCCATCGAAAACAGCGGTAATGCCATCTTACATGAAATGCTCATGGTACCTGATTGTTTTAGGTCCGAAGGATCAAAGCTGCTCGTGATATGACAAGATCTCGGAGCTCCAACAATCTTAGTGAACGCAAGCCAAGTGCCCTTGTCCGTTTACCTTGAGTCCAGGACGCCAGTCTTAGCTGTCAGCCATCAACCCTATGTCAAGGGTTCTATGCTCAGAATAGAAGAACAGCCTACCACCAGAAGTTAAGGAAGAGAATCCCCTCGCACGTCTGAAACTTCTTCTCGTACGTCACTGCCGCACCTGACCTCCTTTCCTGTCACATTGATGTCCAATTGAATAGATTGCACCCTTCCTAACTATGCACATTCTCAACTTTGCAACCACACTCACTCCCGCAGCCATTTCAAGATACCAGACTCAGACCTTGATTGACTCTGCAAGAACCGCCTATTCGGTGTCACACAGAGTTGACATAACCTCTCCTGCCATTGCTAGTGTCCTCACCAACCTTGCTGCTATTGACGCCACTCTTCAAGTAGAAGTTGAGGTCGAAGCCAACGTGTCTGCATCTACTGATCTGCTTGTCAAGATCGCCCCGCCCCTGTACATCCGCATCACGCCACCAGGTCCAGTTCGTCCCCGCGTACTATTCAGATCTACCGAGGCGATCGAGAACTTCATGACTGGTTGGACAACACTCATTGGCGACCCCATTCTATCAAAATGGATTGTCCTTGTCCTCGCTGTCAGCGTGGCACTCAAGGGTATTGCTGAGGGTGCTATGCGTGGAATCCGAATCACAGATGAATATACCCATGAAATACAGCGAACTTGAGGATAAGCAGGTCTCTTTTTGTAACTTTTGATCGAGTATGTCCCAATCTGTTGTCCAGACAGTTCCCAAGCTAATCGTTTTGCAGGACTCCTCTTCAGTGTTGATGATGCTGAGGTGCATGACTGTTTCATCACCTATGATGTATTCGCAAATCAATACTGGCCTCATTTTCCGCAGAATCTCACGAAGAATCCCAGTAGTCCTTTTCTCTTGTGATGACAATGAAATACTGACACTACCCCATCAGACCCGTGGTTGGTTTTCGGCGAATTCATGAGTGAGTGAGAACACGGTGGTATCGTCAACTGTGCGCATTCTGTGACCAAACTCATACAGAAATTTGGCCAAACACAATCAATAACCTTCGGCCAGAAAATGGGGTGGTTGACAGGCTGAAGCCTGTATTTTTTACCGGTTGGGATAACGATACCGTTCATTATGAGTAATTCTTGTTTGGGGCGAGGTAAGCAGACCTGGACAATATCCCTCCGTCCCTCCTGAGGATTCTTCTAGCGTTAATCATGTCAAATTCAGAGCTCAGAAATTGGTTAGAGGTTTATTCATATGCTGACAAGGTGATGGCCGCTGCCTGTGACTCTTTAATTTCGAACTAATTTATAGTTTTATTAGTACCTGCTACTCCTTCTCGTGTCTCCCAATATTAATACAAACCAACAACAAAGGTTGAAATAGGACTCGGACAGCCCTCAATTCTCATTCAGTTGGACTCGGAGCCGAGACTTATAAGAAAAGCACAGTGAGTAACTTCTCACAGTCATCAATGTCCTGCAATTAATCATCCACCAAAGCACCCAACCTGCGTGTCGCACTGTTATCAGTAAGATAGGTAGAGATGCTCAGAGTTCTTTGTCTTTGCGGAGAAAATCCAAATGACACTCAATCCGAGTTGTTCGAGGTTTGGGTGAAGGTTTAGAAGGGTGGAGGTTTAGAATTGTGGCGCAGATCCTTCCGGTAAGCTCGATATCTCTCCCATATTCATGATAGACTGTATCAATGTTCGAGGACATTGACTCGTTGGTTTCGGCAGGTGTATTGGTTTATGTACTTGGTCAGCCAGCCGGTGCAACTACATTGTATACTGGCCGTGAACCAGCTGGCTGTGACTTACCTCTTTTTGGTGTGTGACCATTCGAACCACACATCATCGATACTTAGTTTGATGATTATTACCAGCCTCCGGCATTGCGAGGCCAATGTCTCACTCTGAGTTCAGCTGTTGCTTTGCAAGCTCAAGACTTGTTACGGAGATGCATGGATGCGTTAGGCAATCACGGCTCATCAGAATGCCAATGCCAACTGTGCATGCGACCCTAACGATGAGCTCGCTAGTGCGATCTTCCTGTGTACATATACCTCATACTTTGACATAGTGTGAGTGGCAAGGACCGAGGAAACGAGCACATATAGACGGGACACTTAATTGTATCTTATTTGAAGAAAAAAGTATTGTATTGTATTGTATTGTATCTTGCAATGTGAACGGACGAGGGAGAGATGCCACGAGACACATATCTTCATGATTCTGGGTCATCACGAACTGGATGCGCTGCTAATGAACTTAATCAATATTCCTAGATGTCTCGATCCCATGCTTCCGCCTCCCGTCGCGCACGCTCCTCTCCTTTTTCGTAATACTTCTGTCACTTATTGTCTCCTCATCTTCTACACCTTTCCCTTCCCTCATCATCACACTAGATCATGAACATCAAGTCAATCCAACATAAATCGTGGGCTAGTATGCACCATACGTATCGCAAGCTAATTGTCACCTGATGAGACGTTTTCACCCCCTCCCTTCCCCTCTCCTTCAAGTTTGGGATCCAACAAAGACGCTAAGATAAAATGAGTGACAAAAACACGAAACAATAAGTCACTCACAGCGTTCAACTGACCCATAGCTCTGAGGTATGTTGTTGATACTGGTATAAGTTGAAGTACGAAAGAAATAGCTGACATACTTAAATAGTAATATATTGAAACTCATCCAGAGGGCCTTTGCCTGTCTTCCCGCATTTTCCACGTGGCATCTTCGCATGTTTTCTTAATTTCTCAGAGTTCTTAAATCCCTGACGAGTCTGATTACTTAGCATTCAAGGCAGCATTGTAGACATCAAGAAGCTGGAGAGCAGCGTGAAGAATTGACACGCACAACATGCCCTTCGTCAGCAACGTCAACCTAAGCTTGGTCAGAACGGTCAACGACAACTCATGCTGTTCCAGGTTTGCTCTTCAGTGTTCTCAGTCCAGCCGATATGCTAACAATCCTCAAGATAGATGGCTTTGATTGACTATGAAAATTGGTGGAACTTGCATCATTGCCGATTAGATGGACATGGTACGCCTCGCCCATCAGTAAATACTATTCCTCCTTGCTCATGTCCAAGTCGCGGTTCTTGGATATACTTTTACCCAAACTTCAGTACTCGACCGGACAGGCCGGAATCAACTTGCATACCGTCCTGATTTCAACCCTCACCATGTGCATATGACTGAATCTATTCAGATTGGCTGTCCTAACTTAGATCTGGCATTCTAGGACTTGCACTGAGTACGCCATGGCTTATATCAAGCTTTTAATTTTTGTAATGTCATATTTCAGGTCATAGCTTCATGCTTGTTATTTAATTGTTCACAAGATGGATGGCGGCAGCGCTGGCGAAGTTCTAGTCGCACCTTCAGGTTGGGGTGATGTGACCATCAAGTTGAACTTTTTCGTGTGCTCTGGAACAGGTACATACTAATGCATCGCCCCTTCATACTTGTGGAATGCTAACACCATCATACTCACAGAATCCGATTCGGAACCCCACCTTAACAAAGCTCTCACTCGTATCTTCAATTTTTCAAAATCCCTCACTCCCTTCCGTAGTCTTCCCTTTAGCGAATCGTTCTTGTTTTAGCGAGTCTTTTAAATGCATATTCATTTAATAACTTCTAGATAACTTGAGGTCATTTAACATGATCGAATTCATAGGCAAGTATCCCGTAGCTCCATCTGTTTGCGTACCACCCCAAGCTAACGCTCGGCCCAACCCAACCTATCAAATCATATCAACGATGTTCGAAGCTGGACAAATTGGAAACCTAGAGTTACTATTGTACACCCCTGAGTGAAATTTTAACACATCTGACTTGGTCCATTGTCAGTTTCAATCTGTAGTCCATGGTTATCAAGCTTTGTAGATGTTAACCATGTCAGATTGTAAGATGAGTAAATGAAAGCAGACTGTTGCACTCGTAGTTATTGCAGCTTTTATGCAATCTAGATATAATTCATATCTTTCATCATAAATGTGTTGCATGCTTGCAAGATGCACATCAAAATGACCTGCCCCAGCATAGTTATGTCTTTCATCATAAACTTGTTGCATGCTTGCAAGATGTGTGTCATATCCCGTATTCCGGACCTACATCCGACAATATTCCCACGCCTCATCCGGACCTTCGGACGCCCTATCCATGTCTCCAGTCCTCTATCCATCCGGATCCCTGCACCTCTGCACATCCACATCCACATCCAACATCCCTTTACCTCCATACCTCAGCTAGCCTGCATCAGTCATCCTTTGTCCCATCACCCTAATGTCATATCCCATATATCCACGCGTCTCATCTGGACGTCCGGTCCAATCCGGTCCAATCCAATCCAATCCGATATACGATAAGCTTCCTAATTCAATTCCTGTGCATATAACGTTAACACAGCCTATTCCTCTATTCGGTATTCCTTGTCCTCGGTATCTCAGTTATACTTACTACCGGTATGCTTACTGATCCGTTAACCTATGCTTCATTTCCGACTCGCGCTTGATAACTTTGCTTATACTTCATACATAGCCTCGGACGCTTGCTTACTGATCTTTCCGTTATTTCCTTAGTATATAAACTCTTGTATATGTCCTGTAGTTCCTCAGTCTGAATATCATATTAGTCCTCGCACTAGATCTCACTCTAAGTCCTCATATCAGTTCTAGTCTATCGACTTAGTCAATATCCATCTCGGGCCTAGGGAGAAATTCCCTAGGCCAGAGCTCCGCTTATCCGATCCCCGCTCATCTGCTCATCCGATCCTCCGAAGTTTCCGGACGTTCGTCCGAAACTTTCCCGTGGTCCTCCGGACCTATTCTGCTTCGGACTTTGTCCTTGCAGCCTTTCCTCTGTTTGCTTCTACTTAGGACTTGTCCTAAGTAGCCATTACACGTATCCGTATCAGGACGAAACCTCATCGTAATTTCCGGAAGTTCCTCCGGAACTTTCCCACACTCGTCTGGAAGTTACTTGCACTCGTCCGGAAAGTCCTTCTGAACTTTCCCGCGCTTCGGATGTCCTTCGGACGTCCTTGGACTTTCTTCAGACATCATTCTGAAATTAAGGGCACATACTCGGGTAAGGGGCACAGCACACGAGCTGAAGCCAAGCCCCTCGGAATCAGTCCTACCCTTTGTGCATGGTCTTAACAATGTGCATCAAAATGACCTGTCCCCAGCACAGTCATATCTTTCATCATAAATGTGTTGCATGCTTGCAAGATGCACATCAAAATGACCTGCCCCAGGCATAGTCATATATTCTGTCATGAACTTGTTGCATGCTGATCTTCCCCTGGCATAGTCATATCTTTTATCATAAATGTGTTGCATGCTTGCAAGATGCACATCAAAATAACCTGCCCGGCATAGTTATGTCTTTCATCATAAACTTGTTGCATGCTTGCAAGATGTGCATCTAAATGACCCATCCCTGGCAGAGTCGTATCTTTCATCATAAATATGTTGCATGCTTGCAAGATGCACATCAAAATGACCTGCCCCGGCATAGTTATGTCTTTCATCATAAACTTGTTGCATGCTTGCAAGATGTGCATCTAAATGACCCATCCCTGGCAGAGTCATATCTTTCATCATAAATGTGTTGCATGCTTGCAAGATGCACATCAAAATGACCTGCCCTGGGCATAGTCATATATTCTGTCATAAACTTGTTGCATGCTGACCTGCCCCTGGCATAGTCATGTCTTTCTTCATAAACTTGTTGCATGCTTGCAAGATGCACATCAAAATGACCTGCCCCGGCACAGTCATGTCTTTCATCATAAATGTGTTGCATGCTTGCAAGATGCACATCAAAATGACCTGCCCTAGGCATAGTCATATATTCTATCATAAATTTATTGCATGCTGACATACCCCCAGCATAGCCATGTCTTTCTTCATAAACTTGTTGCATGCTTGCAAGATGCACATCAAAATGACCTGCCCCTGGCATAGTCATATTTTTTTTTCATACACATGTTGTGCCAAGATAATAATGTATAATTCTAAATCTAAATGTATCATAATGGGTTTTATTTGTCAGCTCTACCTGGTCATATCAAGTCCGGGTTGATTTCCTGATGGGCCCGTCTCTATTGGTACATTGTCATGCTGGGCTGTCCGTCTGAGACGGGTATAAGTTACTGTATTATGTGACTTACATTTAACTTGCTTGGGGTCGTGAGCCCAATTCGCGAGAATAGAGTTGGTTTTTCGTAACAAGGCAGGGAGCTTCTTCTACCTTCTGATGACGGAAGGATTTGTGAGATTGGAGAGATCAAGTTTAAATCCTCGTTGCTTTTTACGCGATTATTCGTCAATCTCTGAAGCAGAGTCGGACTCGATAACCTCTGACTCAGAGTTTTCTTCGGAGTCTGAGTTAATTGGCTGCTTCGCACTAACAATGCTTTCTGGTGATCTTCCTCCATCTTCTATGTAAAAGCACCATAATCAGCATAATCCTCAGCAAGAACTCACCGGTTTACTGATGCGATGCTCGCTCAAAGAGTTCGAGAAAGGCATCGGTTTTGGATAGAGAATCTCGTCGATAACGTCCTACAATACTAAGACAATCTGGATTGAAGGTACTTTTGCGCACGAATGATGTTTGATTTTGAGAAGTCCGTTTTGATGAAGAACTCGATTCACGACTTTCTTGAGTTTGAGTTTGAGAATTCGGATTATGAGAATCCATTCACTGATCAAGATGGAACGAGTAGAACGAGTTCAAATATAGCGAAAATTTCATGCTGAACGGCGGTAAAGCAGAAACGATGCAGTTCACCTAAAGCGCGGGTGCCCAGATCACAGAAAGAGGGGCTTCGAGCCACGTAAGCACTGCGGTGCATGGTCCGTGCGCGGACACGATCATTGAATTCATCTCACAGATTAAACCTGTGAAAACAAAGCTTTACCTCCGAGTAAAACATAAGAAACGTACAAGATATTTGAAATAACATAAGTACAAGACGAAATATATGTGACAAAAATAACATAGGCACAAAGGATCAAATAACATAACGAACGTCAGAGCATCAGGGACCCTCGACGAGTTCCTCTTCATTGATAATAACAAGCTGGAGGCCCTGGAAACATACACACGAACCTCGTTTTCAATGTACAACAACCCTCCAACCAGGATGGAGGTCTTCACGGCGAGGGGCCAAGAGGATACTCTGAAACCTCTGGAGAGGGTAGGTGTTTCGCCCTACAAGAAAAGTGGGTCTAACAGACCGTGTGAACGGGAGGATAGTGCTGCCAAGGGTGCATGCTTCACTAGTACAGTACAATGAGGGGAGCATGTCGGCTGGCCGAGGAACAAGGGAATATCGGTTAGTATCTCATGTGTATGGGCTGAGCTCTGAGAATCAGAGATGATGGTCGCTGACAAACCCTATCGGGTTTTGCCGTTATTTGCGCATGAACAGATGCAGCCACTATAGTCATATATGACGGTCCTACGGCCGTGACTTTGCAAGCAAGGTGGTAAGCGCTCAGGAAGACCGGCGCCCGTAGGTTTGAGCGCAACTCCTAAACTATTATCAGAATTTGATTCACGAGTCAACTAGGTCTCCCCACGGCAGGTCAGGCCTCGTGCCAATATGCAACATTCCATTCTCGCGATCTTTCTGAACACGAGTTTTGCACGCGGTGATCTAGTGTTCTGATCCGGGTCGTTATTGCCAAAGTTTGCTTCTGGTCTGTGGAATAGTACATTGTGCATAAACGTTATACTAATGATATATAGTCTTATGGGTGCCCTCTTCTGGATGCCAGGTTTCAAAAGCAGCTCTAGTCATTCCCGCCATGATGACGTCCATGCCTGTAAACTCCTCCCCTAAAGTCCTTGAAAACGGCTATCAAGCTCCCAATAATCCTATCCTGAGGCTGGCGTTCAAAATCTTGTGCGTTATTGCGGTCTCTCGGGAGTCTCTCGACCATTGGGAAGATACAAAGAAACAAGAATGGAAGGACCATGTCTCAATAATGGTCAATCGATTTCAGAACACAAATATCACTGTATGTTTGATATGATCCGATGTTTATGGCTAGCGTTCAATAACTGGACTTCAGGCCGGGCTCGTACTCGCAACTGCTACTCTATTCCTGTCATCCGTGCCTCCTATCGAGCATTTGATGGCTTATAACTTCTCAATCTCGTACATCTTCGCCATGGTTTCATTTGGTGCCGCATTGCTCAGCGTAATATCCGGATCTGCTGTGCTTGTTATCTATGAAACTAGCACCGCTCACAAAGACATGGAAACCCTCAAAGTGAGTCCGTTTGTCTGCGTTGGCTCACAATCTGACACGCGGCACAGTGCATGCCACGACACCAAGTCATCGCGCTGCTGCTATGGTTGGCATACCCCTCAGTCTGTCTGTCAATCGCTACTTGCTGTTTGTTTGTGTGTGAGTGAGGCACTAGATGTCGTTTAGATATGCTGACGAGTATGGTGTTTGCTTTGGTGCAGCTATCTTTATCGCTTGCTTTTGGTCTGGCAATAGTGCTGTCAACATCATAACCGCCTTGGCTTGTTTGGCCTTCCTTTCAAACGGAGGCCTTACTCTCTACGTTTTCAGCGTTGTAGGCGAAAAGTAACCTGCTAGCACTCTTGTTGAATTCGCCAGTCTAATTATACCTTACAGGAAAAAACTCGCCCACACAAGTTGCTGACAGGCATCATGCTAGTATAGATGCTGCATGTCTTCGGCTCTGACAGGGATGACGGCGTGATAATTGTTATAGACCACTCAGGGTTTGGATGCTTCGGGTTGTACATATCGGTCCGTGGAGTAGCAGCATCGCTTTCTCGAAGAACTTGTCATGTCTCCTTAGCCTAGTATCCGAGTCGATCAATGCCACACCACCTCCTGATCGCCCATGCGAACTGTCCACACAGCAAAGTACGTTGGAAAATAGATGCCCAGGGTCCGCATATAAAAATTTCAACTTGAAATTTATGTACTTGTCAATGATTCACATATTTGAGCTTTGAGTTTCTTCAGCACTGTGAAGTGTCTGTGCGCGGTGTTCGAGCTGTGGTTGCTGGTAATTATTCTCCAGTACCCAGGCAATTTATGTTGCGTAATACTACTCGGCGTTGTCATCGCATGACTGGAATGATGCATCGTGCCAGCATCAGTGAATTCAGTGGTTCCCCGCAGTGTGCGGACAACGTTGCTGTCCAGCCATTCAATTGAGCGCCGTGATGACGACACAATGATCCTGGGCTGATCCTGGGTCAAGATTGCTTTTTTAGGTGGGTTCTTATATAAAAGTGGTGATATCGCAGACTTCCAAGTAGCGCTCAAGCGAGGTGGAAGCTCAGCGCTCAGCGCTCAGTGTTCATGTACATTGTCATGTACTCAGCATGGTCACTGATCCTGCAGATTAGTTTGCCGATGCATCCTTGCAAGCATTGCCCCCGATTCTGGAACCACGAACATGTGCAAGTATAAGGGTCGTCCTGTAGGCTACGTCCATTCAATAACGTCTCAACCCCACAACTTGAACACTCACGTTATGAGCTCTACCATCGATGAAACGATATCTAATGATACTCCTAGTAGTTCAGCCTCTCAAGTCCTGAAAAACTTTCCGCTTCCCACTCATCCCATTCTGAATTCAGCGTTCAGAATCCTGTGCGTTGTTGCAGTCTCTCGGACGTCCCTCGAACACTGGAGACACACAAATGACGAAGAATGGAAGGAGCATGTTTCAGTGATAGTCAATCGTTTCCAGAACTCAAACGTCACCGTGCGTTTGATGCGATCTGGTCGTTATTACTAACATTAAACAATTGGAATTTAGGCTGGGCTGGTACTCGCAACTACTGCTTTGCTCCTGACGACGAGCTCTCCTGTAACCAGCTTGATGGTTTTTGACACTGCAGCCTCCTATGTCTTCGCCATGATTGCATTTAGTGCTGCATTGCTCAGTGTAATATCGGGAGCTGCGGTCGTGGTCATCTATCAAACTAGCACTGTTCATAAAGACATGGAACAGCTCAAAGTGAGCTCTGCTTATTTGGGGTGTCGCGTGGTTTGACGCTTGCTGCAGGACATGTCACGATGCCAAATTATCTGCCTGTTGTTGTGGTTGGCATACCCCTCAATTTGTCTGGCAGTCGCCGCTTGCTGTTTGTTTGTGTGTAAGTGAGTTAGCAGAAGTGTTCCTGTCGATGATGCATGAGATTTTCTTTGGTGCAGCTCTCTTTATCGCTTGCTTCTGCTCTGGAAATGTCCCGGTCCAAGTCATTTCAGCCGCAGGTTGTTCGGCCTTCGTTGTCAATGGAATCCTTACGCTCCACGTTTTCAATTGTGTGCGCGAACCGTAAGCGAATGACACCCTTGTTTCGACCTGTCTCAATTCGTTTTGTAGGGATGCCGCACAAACCCTAGAAGTAGTAGAGACTGGTTACGAGTCTACAAAAACCCACCGTCGGCTCGGGCGGAATGCGTTCTGCATGCATTGAATCTTTTGCCATTGGCTTAGTTTCAGTATGCGGGCCCACGTTATGAATCCACTCATACTACTAGACTTGAATTGAAGCCTTTCAAGTTATTGCAATAAAATGCAGACCACAGTAATGTCATGCAAGTTGGTGATTCGCACGAGGGTTTGTTTGACTAGTGTGCGGTCACCTCTGCTCGGATCCTACTCATGTGACTTGTGGGATTTCCTTCGGTATACCGTACAACTCTTCTTATCGTTTTACGAATATATCCTTATTCATGTCATGATACCACCTTAAGGGGGATCTTGTTTCACGGAGTCTTTATGTACTAAGACGCTCATCTGTGGGCAGGCCACAGCAAGGCTACGGTAGGCTTAGCAAGGGATCCCTCAGGGCAAGTCCTTGAGGCTGTTTTGTAGACGCCAGCACTGCCCCTGCCAGCCTGCCACCGATAGCCAAGATTAATATGAACTAAACATGGAAGGACAGGATTTGCCGCCACTGGTGGCAAGCTCCTCCGAATGGAAATGCATATTAGAACTTCCCGTGTATTTGACATCATGGTGCGTTCGGAAGATCCACGATAAATCAACATTCAACATGCATAGACGTTCTCCGCGACTTCGTGTTCTATATCAACCCTGCCACATTTGCCACGACTTGCCAAGTTGCTATTGAATATTGATCGTCGGGTAATCGCGAGATTTTGTTCATCCCTGCAGCCGATGAGGTGCGTGGTTACCAACCCTTACTGTGGTACTTTTCATAGGAACTGTTCCGAAAGCCCCTTTATGTTCCCAGATGAATGATCCATCCAGGCCAGGGAACTCACTAGAACGCACACCATGAGCGCTTGAGCATGACCATATCCGCTTGTCCAGCTTCTAGATCCAATCACTTTTACATTTCAAAAATAATGTCTAAGATAGGCCCCCTCGCGCTTCAGCGGACAAGGAGCAAAAAACGCGCGGTCAGAAATGATCTGTCCTCAACTACACCAAATATCTAAAACCGACTGGGCCCCGAAGCTCTTCAATACTTTTCACATTCTCGTTCCTCTCAATCTGCTCATTCAGATGCTTCAAATAAAGATGCATCCCACCAAACATGGTTGTGGAAACCCCAATTGCTGCGATGCTGACGGCGTAAGAATACCGATATGTTGGGCCCCATTTCGACGGCCATGCGTACCTATTGGAGAAGTGCAGTTGTGGATAATCAGTAAGAGCGAGAAATCGGTGACAATGTTACAGACGGTCCAACAATATTGCCTATCTGCCCTATTGTGTTAATCAAAGCAATAGCAACGGCTCGCTTTGCAGGTTCTCTGGCGAAAGTGTTGTTAACCCACCCCCAGAGCACCAGATATCCAGCGATGAGCTGAGCCATCAGGAACCTGTGTGTCTCTGAGTACAACAAGTAACGCTTCATGAGTAGGGGCTTAATTACAACGAAATATAGCGCGCAGCTTTGTTCATCGTAAAGATCGATATGATGAATGCAAGGGTACCGAGTGCATTGGAGGCAGCAAAGTATTTGTAACGCCTCTGCTTCTTGTCAGAGTACCTGATCCCCATGAGATGCGATTTCAGGCAAAAATGGTTGACGGACCATGTAAGAGCAAATGCCACTATAGTCGCGAACGCCCACGGAGGAGCGCAGAGTAGCAACGTTGTAGTGGTGTCATATCCCAGTGTTGAGCATAGCGTCGGGAAGTAACCCATAAAAGAATGTGCTATGTACTGGAACATGAATGCAACTGAAAACCACCACACCTTCCAGTCAAATACAGCATCCCACAGTCCTTGTATGGTCGTCTGTTTCCCACTTTCGTCAGCCTTACCATAGCCATCTTCCAGAAGGCGAGAAATGGCAAGTGATCTTTCCTCTGGGGTGAGCCACCTAGTGTTGTGCGGGAAATTAGGGAGTATGAATATCGCGCAAATCGCGATTAAGATGGTGACGCCGCCTTCAATGTAAAATAACCATCTACAGACCATTCAGTTCCAAGGAGTGACAGAGGCTATCGTTGCTTGCCTCCATGCAGCTTGACCAAGTTTGCCCTGCATGCCATGAAGTATACCGGATGCAAAAAGCGATCCGAATGCAGAGCTGAATAAAAATCCAGAAAAAAGAAGAGCCGTTCTCATGGCGAGCTCGTCCCGTTTGTACCATCCAGATATAAGAAATAGGACGCCAGGGAGGAAGGGGGCTTCGACAAAGCCGAGAAAGAACCGCGCGACCAAAACTCCGGTATAACTTGGGTCTGGCTATCAGAGATTAAAATGATGCGAGACTAGAATTTGTACTTCGTTGTGGTCCCTATGCAGAATTAGCAGCGATATTCATAAACGACCGGCGTCGACAAACCGGTTAACACTGATATTGCACCCCATACTATCATACAAGACGGAATGAAGACAGCAGGTCTCTCCAGCCAGTGCAGAAACATGTTCCTAAATCAAATTCACGTTCACCGGTCCCTCGATGAAGGAGAAAACTTGCCCTGGCACTTGCATGATAAGGAATCCAACATATAGGATGGACAAGACCGTGGCGTATTGTTGCCCCCGCAGGTGCAGGTCTTTCTCAAAACCTTGTAGCCGAGCATTGCTGTGGATGTCATGAGATCAATGCAAGTTCGACGATATTCAACGTACCTAACGTTTGATCTATCGATCTAAGATGCACGGCAAGTATCTGAGTAGAGTTTTGCAAAAGCCTCAGACTCACCATGTTCATGGTATACAAAACCAGTATCACGGACATACGCAAATCAAGTTTCCTCACCAATTTCCTTTCGAGGTTATTACGGCTATGACTCGGACAGGGTACGCCAGTGGGCAAGTCGTCGACCGCACCGATGGCGCCACCCGTTTGTGTATCATTGAGAACGGGCATTGTTAAGAGGAGGGAGGTAAACGCAACAGCTTGCAAACTATCTACTTCGCGACACGTCACATCAGGGAACCGATCTGAGTCCTTTGGGGTACGTTACGTTGTTCGCGGGCCTTGACGTCGTAATGTGATTTTAGCTACGAAAATAAATTGTCATGTGATGGTATATGTATAAGACGATATAACCTCCCCACCAGTCTGAGCATCAGTGAATCCACCGGTCTTAGGTATTGTAGCCCCATGCTAGATCACGTCTGCCAGGGTTATTAATTCATAACACTGGCAACACCGTTGATTGTCCATGACTGGTAATTGGTTTGGCTAATTGTTTACGCTGGAGGATGGACTCGGAAGAGGGAGGCCGCCATGTCAATAACGTTGCAGCGAGAAGATAGGTATCATTCGGCAGACGGCTAGGGTCAGAGGATATACAATCCAGAATGTGCATGGTAGACTGTAAGTCTGTAAACATTCCATTATGGATATAAACACACCCTAAAAATGTAGCCATGTACAGCTTGGAAGACCTTTTCGAACTTCGAGTACGGCTGCTGTCGCAGTACTTGACATAATTCTGCACTATGTGCACCGCCACGAAGTATAGCTTTCCAGTGGTACGGTCACGTCGGCTTACACTCTGAGTCCTCCGAGTCGCTCAACATTCTTGGCATCCGAGATACTGAAGCATGCATGCGAGAGCTTTCAGTATCACTGCCTTTTGGCGTAACGTTTGAGCGGACGACAGTCTTGATTACTTCAGTTTCACAACTTTCTGGATCCAAATATGCCAGCCCGTTCCGAGTTGGTAGCTTCCTGATAGCGTCGCATCTGCATCATCTGTATTTACCATGACCTGTCTATGTTATGCAACGCATCGCTTCTTACTCCATCCCAGCACCCTGTATAACATCAAGTGTGGTGTGTCAACAACCTAGACCTGAATGAATGTCCTCTCGCGGTGACATTTTTTGTTACAGGTGCCTGACCGTTCGCGATTGACAAAAACTGACATTGAAGTCGGGGAGTCGCTGGCACTCCAGCACTGTTGCGCTGTCATTGATAGAAAATGTATGTGGCATACTGAGCGTTACCAGAATGATATGAAATACAGAACGAAGATGCGTAACGCAATTCACAAACCAGAGACAATCATGTCATGACTCATTATCGATACAGAGTGACCCACTACCTGAGGTGTCATCTCAAACAAGTCCTCAATCTCTTCCAAGGTCTTCCCTTTAGTCTCCGGCATCAAGAAATGGCAGACGGCCGCGGTGAACAGTGCCGCTGATCCAAAGAGGAAATATGGACCGCTTGGAGAAGCCCGCAGAAAAAGCGGCGTAGTAAGCGCAACAGTGAAATTCACGAGCCAATTGCTGAGCTGATAGACGTTAGATAGTATGTACGGGCAAGCGAGAAGAGTACGTAACCTACCTGCTGGACAGCACATGCTTTTGCACGAAGCCGTGTGGGTATTATCTCGCATGCGTATATTTTAATAACCTGGAGGAGTTAACTCGCGCGTGGTGAATGACTCTGAATCAACCTACCACAGCCCATGAGCATGAGAAACTCGCCTGGGGTACAGCTCATTTAGTACTTTATGGGTGGTTTAACATGCGCGATACATACCACAAACATGTATATGAGTATGATGACGGCCCATTGTGGTCCTCTGCCACTCAAGTACACCTGTCCATCGGCTTTTCCGCCATAGATCGCATATAAGGTACCGATGGCCATGAAGCAAGTAGCAATAGAAACACCGCCACCGATCAGAGGAAATCTTCGCCCCCACTTGTCGACCCACAGTTGAGCAGGTATCGTAAATATCAAATTGATTATTCCGGAAACACCAGACGCAAGGAATGCTGCTCGATTTGATGTAAAACCAGCTTGAGTGAACAGGATCGGAGCGTAATAAAGGACCGCATCGATCTACAGACAAGGGTGTCAATCGAGACTCCTCAGGCCTCATCGTCGGTCGTACAGGACAACACATACCCCGCACAACATTTGGGAAGACATCAGAAACACACCGAGAAAGCTCCGTCTGATATAACGCTTTTGGAATATCTCACGATAAGAAGCATCTTCTTGGCTCTGCTCCTCGAGACTGCCTTTAATAAGATGCAGCTCGTCTTCTACAAGCTCGCTGCTAGCACGGAGCTTCTGAAGAACTGCACGAGCTTCATCTATCCTCCCCCTCTGGATGAGCCACCGCGGAGAATACGGCATGAAAGCCATCCCAGAGACAAAAACCGCAGCCATACTCGCTTCCAAAATAAACGGTGTCCTCCAAGCCAACTCACCCCCAATTCTCGAAGACGCATACGCAACAAAATACCCCAAAGCGATCCCGACGG